AGTACTATCCTAGAAGTAGGACGGGTTATAGTATCCTATTAGGTTCTTCTCTAAGACTATATTACCTAGGAAGCGGAAGTAGGATATCTATAACTAGGAGATACTAGCGATTATAGAGAGTATAGATAATTAGCGGGCTAAGCTATCGGGACTATAATATAAAGAAAGATTCGAGGTCCTAATAGATTACTAGGCGTTAGAGTACTTTATATTATTAAAACTTCTAAATACTTATTAAGCTCGCTAGAGTTTAAAACTTTTCTAGTACTATTTTATTATCTACTACCGACTAGGATAATAAAATACTCTTACAGATATATTATTCTACTTCTAGGTTAAATAATAAGGGGAACCGGAGAGCTAGATATTACTACCGGAATCCTACTTAGATTCCTAGATCGTAAACGAGCGTAAGACTATTCGAATTAACCGACTCTATATTAGTAGCGACTTAATTAAATAGTTACTCTTAGTAAACCGGGATAATCTAGAGCTAGAAGTATAGTATTAGGAAGCCGAATAGGAGAATTCCTTAAGTAGATTCGACTTATAAGAAGGAGTACTAATCTGTAATAAGAAGCTTATAGTCCTAGTATATAGGTAGCTACGAACCCGGTTAATCTCCGAAGTCTATAATTAACTATCTTTAGCCTATCCGAGCGCTAAGAAGCTTTAGAAGTTCCTAGTAAGCTATTTTTAGTAGGAGACTCTCCGCTAGGATATTATTCGGTTTTCGGATAACTATATAATATATAAGCGTACTAAAATCTAGCGAATAAAGACTCCGGGACTCCTAAACCTATTACTAGTATCGGATAGATCCTAGTAGTATATCTCTATAGACTTTATATACCTACTAAAAGACCGATATAGATATAATAATATCTTAATAGTAGTCTATAGATTAACGAAGTAGATAGTTTATATATCCTTATTTAAGGATACTACGGCTAGGGATCTAGTAAAGTTATAGTTAATATACTATTATAGGTAGATAGGACTTCCGGACTTAATTATATCGGATAGAGGACTATAGTTTATTATATTATTCTAGAAGATCCTATATAAGTTAATAAGGATTAAGCGGAAGTTATCTACTCTGTATTATCCTTAAATAGATAGATAGTCGGAAAATATAATCTAGTTACTATCTTAACGACTATATATCTTTATAGATAAGTTCGCTAATAACTAGTCTAGTCTACTATTAATAATAGACTTTACTTAGGTAATTTTATCTTATAAGTCGACTAGGGTCTTACTATACTATACTAAATACGGGTATAAGCTAAGAATAATAGTTAATTAGTAACTTAGTAGTAGCGAATAGGATCTCTATAGGCTAGACCGGGAGATAGCTCGAGACTAGATAGATAAAATTCGCTAAGTTTATAAGTTCGTATAGGATAATATAGCTTAAGCGTAGGAACGTTAGTATATCTAGGCGAATCGATATCGTAGGGAGCTAAACTTCGACGTTAGAGACCTTATTATAATTATAATAAAGGATAATCGGTAGATCGTAGAAGGGCTATTAGGTAAACTCCGTCTAAAAGTAGAGGGACCTTTCCGGATTATCGAGAAGGTAGGGCACGCTTTTCGACTATAACTACTAGAAGGGTTATTACGATATAATATCTTTAACCCGGAGAAGTTACGCTATACGATAAGTATAGATCTACTTCTAGAATAGCTCGTCCCTAAACTAGCGATATAGGTTATACTAGAGCCGGAGTATAATATAGAGATAATCCTTACTTCGCGAATTAACCGGTCGAAGCTTTAGTATCGAGTAAAGTAGGTAGGATTCGAGAATAATATAATATAGTATAATACTAGTAATTTCCGGACTATAGCTTCGAAACTCCGGGAATATTATAAAACCTATCTATCCCGCCCTAGATCTCCGGTAAATCTTAACTATTAGTTAGAGTATAAGGCTCTTAATAAGAAGCTACTAGTATATCTAGATAATAATATACTATAACGTTACCGCGCCTAAGAATAGTCGCGAGTCTGAATAGGGGGTAATATAACGTATAGGTAATAAGTTAATAGTTAACTAGCTAGTCGGTTAACTAGTTCGTGAATAGACTTAGAGTATAGAGTTAGTTAGATAAGTTAACTAGTTAGTTACTATAAACTAGTAAGTTTACTAACTAGTTAGTTAGCCGACTAGCGAGTAGTATTAACTAGTAGGTTAGTTAGCTAGTTAATAGATATAGACTTAGGGAGTTAAGGAGGAGATTATATAATCGATATTTACGTTTATAAGATTAGATATTTACCTACGCGTTATTAATAGAAGCCTTACGCGTGTGTATACGCTAGAGCCTAAGGATTATTTACCTTTTGGTTTACTCCTATAGAGGAACCTTCTATCCGGGACTTTCTATAAGGATTCTGCCGCCTTACTATAGCCCCGCCTACGATAGGTATTTAAGGCAGTACTTTACCTTCCTTATTTCTTCCTTTCCTTTTTCCCCTTCGTCTTGGTTTTCTTCGTTATATAGGATATAGTTACTTCACCTTCTTCCTTCTATACGTAGGTTCTCGTAGCTATACTACCTAGGAGTTATAGTAGATAGGATATAGTTCTTCTAAGTATAGTTACGGACGTAACTATATATATATAGAGGACTAAGGGTCCTTACGTAACCGAACGGAGCCGTACGGTAAGGTTATAGCTTATCTAGCTCTAGTCATCGCGAAAAGGAAGGGTTAGGATGCCTAAGGCAGCTACGGGCCCGTGATTATAGTAGAGTAAAGGGGTTAGTAGAGGGTTTTTTTGTCCTTATACGTATCCGCTACTACCGGATGCCCGGGGTTTAGGGTCGTGTAAGGTCAGAAGAAAGTAATCGGATTGTTTCGCCCGTTCTAAAGGACCTTTAGATGAAACCGGGGTTTGCTACCAACTGCTACGGAAAAAGCGTTGGAAGGAGGAAACATGGTTCATTCTGAGTAAACTACGGTTGGAAGATACAGGTTGTGGATGGCGGTCACGAGACCTTGCCTAATTAGGATAGAGATGGGGGCTTGCCCTGTCACCAGGCAGGTGCCCCTGATAGGACCTGAGCCTGGGAACAGTCTAGTAGAGTCGCCTTCTGCCTGGCAGCGAAAAGCAGTCCACGAAGGAGTCCTGCTTCTCTCGACGGGCGCTACATGTGAATCATGAAATTTGAAAGCACTACAAGAATCTTTCCTTCTCATGTTTCCCCGACCTTGCGAGGTGACGGATTGCCCTCATAGGAATTCGTAGTCTGCAGACTCTGGGGAAGCGGGTCGACTCGCCGGGAGTGCCGCATTTGAAGTCCATAACAATGGTAGCGCTTCAGTGTGCCGACGACTGTGTAGCCTTGTGGGTCCTGTTGACCCCCTGGCAGGGTCGTTGACAGCCGGTCTTGACCTGCCAACATCCTGCCTGGGATGGCATCGCCTTGGTTTCGTGCCATTCGTGCATGACGATGTGTCCTGAGGTGGTACCCATTGATTTTACTGGTAAGCCTGCGCCACCAAACAGCCACCATCTGGGAGGGTTGATGATGCCCGAGCTTTCTCCTGTGGTGAGACGAGCACTTTATCACCCAAGCACATCCATTCATTTGCTGTATATGGTTGGACCCTTCACGAAATCTTCTTGTCGCCGACCGGGCTTCCTCTAGCTGTGTAAGACTGTTGCCAGAGAGGTCACGATGCCGAACCATAAAAGTTTACGTGATCACTTGGCGGAGGCGTTTCACGCAGTACACCCGACACTTGTAATGCGGGTTAGCGTCGGAAAGCATCACCGTCTGGATTATTTCTGTCGGACCCGCCACGATGTCATGACTGCTTTGGAGTGGGGGCAGGTCATGTGCTAATCCGGAGGGCTTGTGACAGTCTCTATAAGACCGGTGCACTGTCAAGCTCCAGTCCGAAGCACGTGCGAGTATCTACGAAGAGAGCTCTGAGAGCGAGCTGCGATGAGATACCATAAAGGGTGAGTAGTTGACGGTGGAGACCTTGAAACTTGTGCCTGGTTTTCAACATCTCTTTTACTTACTGGTCACGAGAATTTAGTGATCTAAGTATACTTAGGCGAAGTGCTGAACATATCCACCTCAAAGTCCCTGTAGACTCGTTCTCATCCATGCGATGGAAAGTTGTCTTCTGAGATCGCCTTTGTCCCGCCTGTCTTTCCAGGCAAGATATGGTACGGCGGCCGATAAGCGCACCTAGAGACGTGTTATCGTATCTGATACACATACCTACCTATGTAGTATGTACATAGGAAGCTTGGAGAGCTACCTTCCTCTAGACTTTACTGTAGCTGTCGTCTTTTCAAATTCGGCGCGTCGCCGATATTCGTCACATCGCTTTCGTTCCTGAGTGTAACTACTGCAGTGCAATAATTGCACTGCCTTCTAAGCACTTACGGTCCGGCCGCCGTGCTGTACTCATGTACTGGACTCCAGAGAATCAAGGATACTTGCCCGTTGAGTTAGCACGATGATCATTTGAAGAAGTGGGGCCTGGCCTTGTAAACGATTGTCAACACTGGAGCTAAGTACCCTTCCTGATTAGCCGGGGAAATGATTCCCGATCACCTGATTACACAAATGCCCAAGTTACCCGGGGCCGTCGGCGGGCAAGCGCCAGGCGGACGAAATACAACATCGACTTCTCCACCACGAACTGAACCCACTCCACCGGTCCCCCAGCAGCTCCCCTTTACCCTCCTGCTATCTTTAGATTGAGTGTGCTTCGCTCTCTCCATCGCCATTCACGGACTGGAAACATTTTCGATGGTGCACCTTTCCCCTCTTTGCTGCCAACTGAGGGATTGGTAGACAGATAACGGTGGGCTTCCACGGTTTCGCTTGTTATCGTCATACAAGAATCGTCGGCACAACTTGAACCTCGTCATCAAAGCGGCCTCCGCTCTCTCCCTCTGCTCCTCCTCCTCTCTTCTTTAATTAAGGTTCAAAGCTGTGTCTCGACTCTTGATTGCTCTGCACGAAATGCGACCACCACGCCTTCTTCTCGTCCTATTCTTCTTAATATTCTGCCCCATTTTCCTCACCATCTTCTCCGCCTTCTCGTCACCGCGTATCTCGACCTCAGAAACGCCCGCTGGTCGGACGACTGGACTGCATGCTTTGTTTTCCTTTAACATTCCATCCTCGCTCTTCCCGCCATCTGCGGTCATCAGTCTGACCGATGATAATTCAACCTTTTTCCTGGCCCGCCCTGCGGCATTTGGCCCGCTGTTGCCTGGCAAAGGCCTCAGTGGCAAACTCTGGGTCGGCAGCGGGTTTGGCGAAGGGAGTCTGATGACGGGAACAGGAGGCGAGCTGGGCTGCTCAGATATACCTGGATGGGGGGAGAACAATCGAGCCAAAATTTACGACACTGCAGGCAAGATCGTCACGCAGAAGGCCCGGAATTCTATCGGAGGAGTGTCCGGCGAGAATACGATTCTACAAAGCCGAGCATACCTTGCCCCGCCAGCGGGCTCGGCTGGCCAGATCGAGCGACGCGAGTCTGTGGCTTCCCAAACCCCGAACGACGGAACAGACGATCATTTGCATATCCCCTTAGCGGATCCTGCTGATTCGGAAGAAAGGCAAGCTCCGACATATCCAGATTCACTCTCAGTCAAGAAATCCTCTCATGCCGACATTCAATCCCTGCAGGAGACTGCGGAGATTGAGGGCAACATTGTCCTTCTCAGTCGAGGTGGCTGTGGATTTCTGGAGAAAGTGATGTGGGCGCAACGTCGCGGCGCTATTGCCGTGATTGTTGGCGATGATACCCGAGGAGGCAACCTGGTGACGATGTACGCGCGTGGCGATACATCGAATGCCACGATTCCTGCTATTTTCACGTCTTATACTACTGCGCATCTCCTCTCTTCACTCATCCCATCACATTCCGGCTCGGTCACTAACCCGGGCTCGAAGCCTTCACATGCAAAATCTGCCGGTCAGACGACTATGGGCATTCCCGCGGTAGCAGAGCCTACAAGCAGTTTGGCACCGATTAGCCCTGCATCGACTTCTACTGTTGCGTCCAAGGACAACTCTGCTTCCCTTGACTCGAATTCGAATGGCGGTTTCCTGCGTGCTTTGGGCTCGTTGCTCGGGCTATGCAACAAATCCGGTAATTCAAACCGTCAAGTGGACAGCCGCCGCCCGCCGAGTAGCGGGGAGATCGATTGGCTGGTCCCCGGCGCTCTGGAGACCAAGGGATCATTCTCTAGCTCTTCTCAGCATGGAAAAGAGTCCATTCGCCGCGGTCGCAATAAAGCCGGCACCACACGGACCTCAAAGGGCTCTCAAATGTCCAAGGAAGACGATGAAATCGGCAGCGAAGACTTCATAATCGGCGTCCAGGACTGGAGGGATCCAGACCTCATCGCCCCCAAGGAAAAAACACTGGCACTACCCAGCACGACACCTCAAGGTGACCCGAAGTCTCAGAAGACGCCAACGGACGAAGAACCGGCTTCTCCCTCCAATATGCCTCTCGGTGGTAGCATCACTCCGGGAAGCGGTGAATATCAGAGTGTAGAAAAGCTTACCGGCCACGGTCGTGATGCTGGCATGACCCACAACAAGCACGGCTCAAGCGCGTCGTCCTTAGTGTCCACTTCCTCTGCAAAATACTGGTTCTCTGACCATTTTGGATGGGGTCGCAAACACGAGCAGCCCGCTCAGCCTTCCAAAGCTGCTGCACCCAAGCAGGACGCGGTACTTCAGGACAGTAACCCCGTGCCATCCTGGCTTGACCTGGGAAAGCCTCCTGTTTCAGATCATGAGGGACTCTGGGTCACTCTGTCTCCCACCAGTGTGTCAACCAGCCCATTTTTTGATACCCTGTTGGTGTTGGTTGTCAGTCCACTCTTGACATTAACAATGGTCTACGGACTGCTCCTGCTGCGATCACGGATGCGACGGCGCCGATGGCGCGCACCGAAGTCCGTTGTTGAACGGCTCCCTGTCCGCACATATCACACCATTGCCCGAACTCCGTCAACGTCAAGCTCTGAATCGCTTAGACCAGCCAGTCCGGGGCCTGTGACGCCATCATCTCCACTGCTGGCCCACTCAAGCCGTTCAGATCGCCCACGTCTAGCTCGCTCACGCTCCCAGACAGTCGCCGGTATTATCACCAATTCGGCGTCTTTGCCCAAAGAGGAGAAGATAGCCAGTTCACAGACTGGTTCTACGCTCTGGAGGCGTAAGTACACAGGTAGGCAAGTGGAATGTGTGGTCTGTCTCGAGGAATATATCGATGGCCAAAGCCGGGTAATGAGTCTGCCATGTGGCCATGAATTCCATGCAGAGTGCATGTAGGGCGCCCTTATCTCATTCCTCCTTCTATCATTGATCCAAAGTCTAATTTGTTTCGTCACTACTAGTACACCGTGGTTGACCACTCGCCGACGCACATGCCCAATATGCAAGGGCGACGTTGTCCGCTCGATGGGCCATTCCCAAGCGTCCGACCCCGATGACCACGACGAACCCTCCGGCCGCTTTCAATCTCGAGAACAAACCGAGCAGTCTGATACAGCCTCCCCAGTGGTACCCATAGCCGGCATCCCCGAAGCTGCCGACCCGGATGACGAGCAGAGCGTGGGTCTTCTTTCTGATCAGCCCGCTTCTGCTTCACAATCTAGTTGGCGAAATTTTGCCTCTTTCAGTTTCTCGGCCTTAGGCGGAGATAGTGTATGGAATCAAGCCCGGGCGGATCGCAATCGTTAGCGATGTGCTTCTCCATGCTCAGCACATAGCCGGGCGTTGGCGTTGATTTCCACGGTGTCTGTTATATTAGCGAGCCTCTATCACTATTCTTCCGAAGTCTAAGCTACTGAGTGCCGGTGCAATACACTTGTGGATAGACCGATCAATTCTGGAAGCGGCTGGACGACATCGTGCGTCAAACGCCTCCAGTCTAGACTTTTCTGTTTTAATGAACGTCATGATGTTGCTCCAGTGTCGTTCGTTAAGTCCAATAGCGTGCCGGTAGATTGAAGTTAAAATTTCCATTCTCAGCAACAGGGCAGCTTAAAATATCAGGGCTCTTCTAGTCAATAAGGAGGAATGACTTGTAGAGGTAGATCCTTCCATTGGACTGACATCGGGTAGTAGAAGTAAGCTATCTGCCGCGGATGGCGATTTATAGAGCAGGGGTAATATGCATGTCATTTTTAAGAGGTTGAAAATACGTATACTCGCTGGAAGTGCAATTAGACTGCAGATTCACTTGTGAAGACATGCTTGCTTCTTACACAATCTAGTCGCGAAGTTGTGGATTTGAATATTATCAATAATCCTCATGGACGAATAAACAGGGGAGTAATTTTCAGTCGCCCGCCGACGCTGGGGGTAGCTCGTAAGTGACGTCTGAACAAGGTTACTCCCGTGATTCGTTTGAATGTTGAGATCGACGTTACATACCGCCACGTGACTGGGCGAATCTATATCGTATCAACATCTCATCCTTGGAGCATCTTGTTTCTTGAATGGAGCGAGACCGTGAATCGCCAGATGGGCTCTCGAATATTTTGTTTAGCAAATTATTCTCGCTGCCGATTGATACTCAGCTGCTACAACTAGTACGTCCGCGATAGAAACTGAAATAGAGCTTCGCAGAGTAGAACATGATTTGAACTCTGAAAGCACCAGACATGCACCATACTCTATATACTTACACAGCACTTAGACCAGCCATATTACTCTGCGGTGATCAAAGAACAGACATGTCACAGCTACGTCAGATGCAGCCATCATTCTCGACAAATGATACTGCAGACGAGTCTCTTCACAAGTCCGGCTTCGATCACGTTACGAACTCCCGCTCCCAATATCATATGGAGTAAATTAATGACACAACGGTTACAAGACTTTGCTCATGAGCTTTAGACCAGTAGCTCGAGTCAATCATCCGTCTCGTCTGTCTTTTCACACCTTGAAGCGCCTGCTCCAAAGAGAAAATAGGTCAACTCGTAGTGCCTCAATTCCGTGGACCCGACAGTCCATGACGAAAGAAAGCCCAGAATGATGGTGACCATAATCCCATGCTCGGGGGCAATCATGGCGCTAGATGTGAGTGATTCCCTCTGTCTCGTGTCAAAAGATCCTGCGGGTAGTGTTATCAGGTCCGGAAAGCGTCGAGTTCGGTGTTCGTAGTCGATTTCTGGCTTAGATGACCAAATCCGCCGCAGCAACTTGTGGAGCTCATATATATGGCTAGCAGAGCAATTGAAACTCTGAAGCGTCGGCAGTAGAAACTCGTAGCGAGATCACCTGCTGGGGAGCTTATCTGGCGGACCCTCGCAAAGAATGGTTGTGATAAATGTATGCTCAATTTATGCCGCTTGACATCGATTTCGTATCAAGAACGCTCTTCATTCGGCCACTTACAACCCTCATGACCATGTCGATACAGAGGTCCGTCGACGTAGAGCCTTCGGAGCATATACCGTTTATGCCCTTTGCTGCACCTGGTCGAAACGGACTCTTTTGATGCGTTCCACTCGACATTGTTTTGGTGCTCTGAATAGTTGTCGGCCATCGGTCAATCTTGCGGGCGCAAGCGAGCCTAATCATCGTAAAAGCTAGGTCAATTGCTTCTAACCCTCGAATCTCTCATTCCTCTCTTCCTTCTTCCTCCATTCTTCTTCATCCTTCCCCCTCCTCACCAACTTTTACTCTCACTCTTCACCTTCTTCGTCTTCACGAATTCAAGTCGTGTCGCCGATTTGCCCATCGTGTCGGCTCTGAAGCCGGGTAAGAGAACCTGCCTACTTAGGACCGACTCTGTGTGATCTTTGAAAGCCCCTTTCCCGCAATCTGTACTTCGGGTACGTGCATAAGATTACTCATTCTCCCAGTCGGTTCTCGCCTTTCGAAGAACAAAGCGACGGACAAGAATAGCCGTTGCGAGAGGAGTGCTGGACAGGGCACCAAGGCCAAGGCTGCTGCTATTGCCAGACCACAGTCTGTCGAGCAGCAGCGCGAATGCTGCAGCGGAGAGGTACGTATAGGGCATCCCATCTGATGAAGACTTCTTTCCTTCTCGACTTTCATCGGCATGAGAGACATTCGGCTTCTTGACCATACTTCTGGCTCTCATCTGTTCATCAGCGGTCATGTTTTTGTATAGGAATCTCAATCAGGAGTTCTCTCGGTATTGACATGACCCCAGAATGATCGGTGGGCATACGAGTCGCAGCTGTGCGAGGTGGCGAGGTCATTCCAAGCATCAAGATCTTGAAACTAACTAGGGCTTTCTGCAACAGGGTCGAATGGCATCACAGCCATTGGAGACGTCGATGGGGACTACAGGCCGAGTCAGTTCTTCATGTACGGATCAAGTCATTTCTGTCACATACCTTGTGGGTATTGGTGCTTATTGGTCTTGATGATGTAAATGTTTGGCACTTCGGTATGTCGAAGGTTTCCTATACTGCTGTGAACCTGAACAGAACAGTGATACAAGTCAAGCATTGCCCACCCGTATGGCCAATTCTATTGAAAAATAGGTTTGCTAACCTGTGGGGCTTTATCAATCAGTCCTCCGACTGGCAGCAGCTGCCCATCCTCTTTCGACTTCGGCCCAAGGCGTCAGCCTTCGTGTCTGCTACCTCGACGGCTTCAAGTCCTACAATGGCTTGAGCAATTCTGCCGTTTTTCCCATTCTTATGCGGCTGCCAGGGGACGTGGAGGAGCTGACGCGCGAGACGTGTGGTGCGTCTGTTGACGGTGTTTGCTCACCCAGCTCGTCTGGCGCAAGCACTGTTTACTACTCACCACCTGGATTAGTCGTCTCTCCTCTGCGTCGCCCACCCTCCCCTTCTATTCCTTTCTCCTCTCCCTTCATCCTTTCCCAAAACCACCCTCGAAATGCTTCTTTTGTCACTGCTGCGTCGTTCTTGTCATCTCCAACAGCTTCGCAGCAGTGTTCACCCTCTCGAGAACCACGACTTGCCTGTGAGCGTCACTCGTTCAACCTTTCGTCCGATACAGCACTTTCGTCCGATACAGCAGATTCTATTTCCTCTGAGTCTTGCTGCTTTTCAATCACTTCGCCCACAATGGCTCTTCATTGTCTCCACCGCTTCATAAGAGATCGAGATCATCAGAGAAACTCCTCCCCTCCCCCTAACGCCCCAACAGCTCCCCGGGCTATGCTCGCTGGTACTGGACCGGCGGCCGATTCGAACCCTGTCACCTTTGCAAACCCCCAGCAGATGCCTGGCGCGGACAACATGTCGCACCAAGCTGGACGTGGGGTCCCTGCTCAACCTGTCCACACTGACTCTCGCTCGACGCAGGCTACGGACCAGGGTAGCAACCCTTCCCAGCCTGTTCAGTATGGCGCATCTGGCCTGCAGTATGAGCAACAGAACCCGGTTATGCCCCGATCATCTGTGCCGACTCGTGGTCCAGCTTATTTCCAACAGCCCCTTCAGGTGAACGCACCTGGTAGCGCAGGCCCTCGCATTCTCACTCCAGCTCAGCCTCGACATCAGCCTCAAGCCTACTATGCCCAGCCGCACCAGGGCCAGCAATACCTAGAGCAGGTGCATCAAGCTCAGCTTCTTCAAACCCAGCTTCACCAAGCTCGACAACTCCAGGCTCAGCTAAACCAAGGTCCACGATACGATCCTCGTCTGCTCGAAGCCCAGTATCGTCAGGCTCAGTATCACCTGGCCGAGTACTACCAGGCCTACAAATACCTATACGATTGCCACGCGCAGCAGCAACAGGCCTTTCAACAACAGACTCAGCCGTGTCGTCACCGGGGTCAATGGTACGGACCACGCTTTTCTGTTCCCGTTGGGTACCAGCCGGTGGCCGCTGTGCAAGCACAGCAGGGATCGAACGAGGACCCATTCTACTGTCCTCCCAACAGTTATGTTGCGCCGCCTGGTCAGGTTGCTCTTGGTCCATCGCTTAGCATCCCCCGGGAGCAAGCTGGCTCGGAGATTTTTGGAGAGCAGGGAGAATCTTCGCGTGGGGCACGTCGACAGGGGCATGCCGAAACACGGCAATCTTACCCTGGAATTGGACATGCGTGGATATCTACCAACCAACAAGGACCTGGAGAAGGACAGCCTCAAGTCAATGGGGGTCAAGGTGCACCCGAATCCGCTGCTCCCCCAACTTTCGCGCCAACTTGGCCGCCTCCATGGAAGACGTCTGTTATAATGATTTCTGCAGCCGGTCCTCTCAATCTTGATCTCTCTGGCATTTGGAGTTATTCTGATCACCAGGGAAGCTCTTCAGAATCCGAAACCTCGGAGCTCACAGATGCTACCATCACCGAGCATCTGGCTCTCACAGCAGTGGGGTCCCTAAACGACAAGGTGCCAAAGAAATATAGACGCGAGCATGAGACACCCTGCGCACAGTCCTCTCATGCAGCAAGTCGGCTGCGCCATGATGCGATTCCATTCCCCGAATGCCTGGCTGCCGGAATGGAAAGTGCCCTAGATTCTCCCGAAAGCCGTCCATCCTCTCCAAGGAGCGAGGAAGATACTCCATGTCCTTCACCAGGCCAACGCTCCGGCATGAAGGAAGGCCACCAGCCCCACGGCCAATCCAACGTGTCAAATGGCTTTCTATCTCTTATGGTCTGGATGAACAACTTCCGCGCGGAGCAGGCTGCCAAGGGCAAGGAGAAAGCTGCTGCTGCAGAGTCGGAGCAGCAAGCTGAGCAATCTGGGTCTGGAGAACGTGGCCACGAGGCAAACACTGGGCATGCATTCGACCATGGCAAAGAGGCTGCTAGAGACCATGGGTCTGGAAGAGACGATTGCAGCAATTCAGCTGAGCTGCCAAGTCCATGCACATCGCCTCGCTCTTGGCTCAACGATCCGGAGGGTGATCATTGCATCCCCTTCTTCAACGACAATCGAGTTCGTTACCCCCGGTGGCCCGCAGTCCAACACAACCCAGTGTGCTATGGACGCGTGCCAACCGTCAATGGGGCGGAAACGATAAGCTCGGTCCCTTCGAAGAGTCCTGAGCCCGTTCCTGAAGCTCAGGCTTCAGAGACTGTTCGTCCACGACATCGCTCGGTTCGCTTCGCGGACCCCCCTCACTTGAGCCCTGTCACTTCTCGGGCTGCGAATCCAACCACTCCTCGCGTTCGCGAGTTGGAAACCGTGGTTGAGGGGGTTGAGTCCGAGTTCCCCCAGAGAAGGGGTTACTCGGCGGGCGAGCGATCCGTCCGGCGTATACGCCACCGGCGTCGTGGACGCCGTTAAACAAGCGATCAGAAGGTATCAAATGCGAGCTTCTAATTCGCTTCGATCGTTATCGCTTCTGACGCACATATGTGATGGATGGGTGAGCTGACAACCACCGGCGTCCTATTGATAACTTGTTAGAAAATAATTCTGGTTTTCTATGCACGTTCACGATCTTCTTAGTAGCCATGTGATTAGATTATCTTGTTATATTATTGAACGTTCTAAATGCTTTAGCAAAATAAGCGCGAAGCTATGCTGTGGATGACTTCAAGCTTTGATGCGATGAATTTAGGGATCGCCTGTCTAGATATGGTGGACATTTGGCATTCTGGATCTGTTGAGCGGTCCTTCGCACGCTTGTCAATATGCATTCTCACCGGCATCGACGTGTATTCACGTACTCGAGCCATCAGTCACTTTCTGCAATGTTTATCTCTTGTTTCCGTTATTTTGCTGAAATCATACATAAAGAATTCTTGATGAAGGAAGGCATCACTTACATCTCCTGTCCTTGCCGGGGTTGAGGCGCCTAGTCGAAATGGAGTTGATGACATGATTCATCCGCCAGCGGGAGTAATCACGTGATACATGATGCCCTGACTCGGTATTTTAATTGAGACTCTACCTGCGCAGGATAAAGACTATGCATGTCGAGTCGTCTTGTGGAAGGAGTAGTGAATTATGATCCGTAAAACTCATGAGGCCCTTGTTGAGTTCGTTGCGTTAAGCTGACCTTTTTATCTGAAATGGTGATCTTTCCATTATAGTCTATGTCTAAATCATGGAACACCTTTCGACTACCCATGACAAAGCACTTCAGCATCGAGTATATTCGTGATTAGTAAAAGTGATAAATTGTGGTAGAGATAAAAGGCAACCTTACATCTACAGGAGAATGAGCACAAAGAACTCTTGTGAAAGGGACAAAGTGGTTGAGAAGATAAGAATGGAACGTGCACTAGCTCAGCAGTCGGAAACATTGAATGAACAGAAGGGGAATCAAATGGTCGTAACATTAACTAGGAAACGATACGACCCAGATATGAAAAGGTTGTGGATCGGTCCGCAAAGATCCATGATCCAGTAAAAAAACGCCCATAGCTCCGTAAGGCTCCGTAAAATCTGCATAGAGTATGAGATCAAAAGCATACGTCGTGCGAAAACTTGCAAAGTAGGGGAGAAGTAGGAGACCAGGGGTGAAAGAAGGACTGTGATTTCGTATAGTTGGGGTAAATATGCAGAGTGTAGGTGGCCAGAAGGGCAAGGGACGAAAAACCAAGCGTCGTCTAGCAGGACACCAGATTGATATGGTGGTCATTCAATGCAGCACAGGCAAGCATGGTGCGGTGTGGATGGAAGGCTGTTCCAGCAATAGGAGAGGAGCGGTTGTGCTGGAGGAAACTCGAATAAGGCTCGTAGCTGGAGAGGTATGTGCCGTCGACGTTGTAGGTCTTGACTTCGTGCCGGTTGGTGCCCCTGATGAGACGAAATTGCTCGATCAGCCACTGGAATATAGAAGTTTGAAAAAAGAGGAATACCTACATGCTGAAGACAGGGGCATGTTCATGCACACTCAAGGTACGGAGGGTATCTTTAGTCGCGAGTATGGTGGAGAGGGCGCTATTCATGCGGAGATCCCACAAGCGAACTTCACCATTCCGGCTGCCTGAAATAAGCTCACGTAGTCCGCCACGCTGCATGTGAACGTTCGTGATCCACTGTTTGTGCTCACGCCAAACCTTAACCATCGATGTGGTTGGCTTGAGGCGCTGGTCGAACACTCGAACGGCACCGTCGCCGAAGCCCGCCACGAAGATGTTCCCAGCCACCTGGTCGGAGGTCAAGGATGTGATGCATGATCCGGACCGGGCAGGAATATCCTATCGTCAAATTGCAGGTTAGATGGCCGCTTCCAGAAGAGAACAGAAGACTGGTGGAGAACAAGCTAGCCATGAGACTTACATTCGTGCACACCTCTGTGGCCGCGTTCCATACTCGAATGACCTTAACATCACCCGCGACCAAGGCCTTGCCTTGTCCTTGCTGCCAATCTAGTACGAGGCCAGCGTTTCGGTTGCTCGGAATTAGTTCCGGCAGAGCTCTGAAGGCAGTCACAACCTCAATCCTCTTCGATGACTCGTACTGGCGGAAAAGCTTGAGCACACCGTCGGAGGAGCCAGTCAGAAGAAGAGCCTGGTCATCTTCGTTGATATAACGGACTTCATTGATCTTGGACCCAACAGGGTTGCCGTTGGAGAACTGATTGAGTCGTCTGTGATTTTGCCAATCCCAAATTCTGCCGAATTAAATGCTGCCATTAGCACAACGAAAATAACTCGTGAGTTCCCAGTATTCGACTTACGCAATGGTGTCCCGATCATCTGCAACTGCAAGGTGATCTTCGAACTGATGAAAACACATCTTCAAGGGCTGACTGCTGTTGGAAAGAAGGGTGATGGAATTATCCCAGCGGCTGGTGCCAGCCTTTACCTTGAGCGGCTGTGTCTCCGAGATTATCTTCTCATTTCGACCCCGTCGCCAAAGCCGCTCGTTGTAGTCGGCACTACCAGGCTCATCAGGTTCGTTTGGCTTCATTTGGGGTTCACGAAAGTACTTTTGAAATGTCAGCTTCAACTTTGTTCACAGCGTTTTCAAGGAAATGGTCAAACCTACCTCCGTCGACCAGTCTAGGAAACGACTCTTCAGCGGGATAATTGGTGCCTCGTCGAATTTCCTGGCTCGGAACCCTCGAGAGGTAGGAATCGGAGCTTGGTGGTAAGCAGTGGCTGGAGCGACATGATCGTTGACCTCCGGAGGACGAGTCCACTCGGGTGGAGCGCGACCACGGGGCGTCATGGGCATTCGGCTCTTTGAGGTGGGTGAGGGTGGACCTGAGTTCTCAGTCGAGTCCGTCGCAGAACCACCAAATGCAAGGTTTTTCAGAGAAGCAGCAACGCTAGCAGTTCGTCTGAAACTCAGTGAGACAAAGCCTTCCTGCTTAGTGGGCGCTGTGTTTGATGAAGGAGGTGTCAAAGGGGGAGCAGACTTCTTCGCCTCCGTCCGTTCCAAAACCTGATAGCGCTGCGCTACTCGGTTTGTAAGGTCCAAAATCTCAATCCTGATCTTGTCGGCGAGCGACGCCATTGGCGATTCGAAAAGGGCCATGTGGATGAAGTCGACGATAATCCCCGCATCCTGAGCGATATCCGGATGAGGATCGACAGCAAGGATGAGTACTTGCTTCCAGATGGTTCCAAATGTGGTATTTCGAGACAATTGAACTTGCTTTGATTCAGCGGATGATTCTTCATGCGCTGCATCGAACCGAGTGGGCTGTGGCATTTCGCGGTGAAGACGCTGAATCAAGGATCGCTTTTCATCTTGCAGCTCTTCGTACGCAGCTACCACAAACTTGTTCTGATGACGCTTCACAAAGGTGGAGAAGAATACTGCAAGCTCTTTTCGGACAAGAACGCTTCCATCAGCCGCCATTGGCAACACCGCCATAGCCAGAGATTCCTCAATCTGAGCCACTTGATCAGTCAAGTCTGGGATACCGAGGAACGTAGTCACAGCGTGAAGCATAGCAGCACGAACTTCTGGCACAGGATCGAAGTTCAACTCGCAGAGTCTGGTGGTGGCTGCACAGCGAATGCCCATCCACTTAGCTTCGGGAAAATCGCGCCAGAGCATGCTGAGACAGAGGCACGACCATTGACGGAGCAAGGGATTCTCAACATCACCCAGATGCTTCAAACAGGAGTCAAACAAATCACCGGAGAGACAGACATTCTGACCCTGGGGGTAGTTCTTGCAAAAGAGAGAGACGATGAAGGCACACATGGCGCGATGCTCGCTGGCATTTCCCACCGGGATGGGGGAAGAAGGGTTCAGAATTGAGATAAAGTAGTGGATGCCGTTGTCCTTTAATAGATCCATCTGGACCGTGTTGTCTACAGCCATGATGCGCGCCCAAATGAAGACCATGACAGGCTTCAATTCTTGGGCAGCGGACTGCAGCAACTTCACGACGTAAGGGAAGATACCAATGCTGAGGGCCAGATGAACAGCCCATGGGCCCAGATCGAGGAATTTGCTCAGGAGAATGAGAGCGCGCAGCCGATGGGCCTGGCTGAGCAGAACTTGCAAAACGATAGGTAACTGATCTGGGGGATTCTTCTCCGTGGGTCCAGAGGATAGATAAACTTCGAACGCGGTGAGCTGCTCGGCGAAGAAGAGTGAATGCTGGTACTCGTACTGCCGTCGGCCCTCGTCGTGGTCAATGAGAGCAGGCAGTTGCGACAGCACCATCTCCACCGCAAGATCCCAGCTTTTCCACAAGGCATGGTCGTGCGTTTTCGGAAGCTCGGGAGAAGAAATCGGGTGGCATTTGTAGGTCCGCATGATGCGCTCACTGAGCAGGAAATTGCGGAAAAGGGCAGCGACCATCAAATCTTGGCGGAAGAGCTTCTTGAACAGAGCACGAGGCAAGGTGTTCCAAGCGATCGTATCCGTGATGGCTGTGAAAATCCAGTTCAGCTCTCCTAGTGGGCTGCGACGGTCCTGGAGACGACCGGGAACTCTGAAATCGTCAATGGAAAGATCACTCCGTAGTGGATTCTGCAGGATGAAAAAGCGCAGGGCGATCTCGATGGGGGTCGTAAGACAACAAGTGAAGAGATCAGCAGGAAGGTCGGGATTCGTTGGTAGTGACTCGTCTTTCTGACAGGCTGCCAAGAGGATACAGTCGCTGTAATTTTGCACCACTGCATTAAGGTCGCGCTTCTTAGCCTCGGCGTTCTCTTTCTCGTGCTTTTCCACAAAATTGTGGAAGTTGTGAACGATGTTGCCGGCATGGGACACATCAAAGACGAACAGGCTAGGCCCTGCGAGCCACGACTGGAGGTCGTACAATGGAACCGGGATGTACTGCGTGTAGTTTTTGTTGAAGACCCAAATTTCGCCAGACGCGGTGGGTAGCGGAACACCATGGCCATTGTAGTGCAATAACACTCGTTCATCCTTGGCATTTCGACGGAGAGACATGCAGAACTTTTTGGTTTCGTCAACGGATGGATCCAGATATTGCTTGTATCTCGTGCGCAGACTCAATGTCTCGTACTGTTCCTGCAGCTTTTTGCCGATTTGTTCCATGATTTTATTTTGCGCGCCCGCCGTGGTGGAGGTGGGATCGACCCAGCATTCAAGCTTCGACGTCGGATTTGCTTTGACCACATCGGGGGGTCAACGCCGATGTTGAGACAGATGGCCAGGGCAGCCGAGACCGTCTTCAGTCTGTCCTTCATGCGCCATTCCTGCGTAGGCCAGCTTCCGTCGGGATCGCGTGGGATGCCGTTTGTTTCATGACGCTTCTCGGTGAAATACATGTAGAAATTCTGTTTTCGGTAGACGGAGCCCCGCCGTCAGTCATCGATCAGCGCAGTGGGTGGCTCGGCCTGAGCAACTTACTGAATGGAGGATTTTCAAGTATTCACTGGAGGTGTATTCCTCCTGCCAGCCATGACGCATCGCAAAGTCTTCCTCCTCTTCCCCGAGGGACTTATCGAAGGTGATGGCGCTGGGGCCAAAGTCACTCCGAGCTCGTTTCAGCATCGCTGGCCGGCCCTTCTCGGAGCCACGCGCAGATGGACGCCGGGGTGGCTCCGCTTCTGACGTCCCCGCGTTTTCTCCCCCGGAACTTGTTGGCCGTGGAGGTTGTGCCAGAGACGAGGACAATTGCTCCACAGAAGTGAATGATCGTTGGTGGCCACTCATTGGGGCCGGGGAGCGATCGCGTGCTGGGATTGTCGTCTCGAGTTCTGGACCGAATGCGACACGAGCGGATTTCGTGGGACGGCGGGGTTCAGACTCCCCGTTCGTCACTGGTTGCTGCAAGGATTCCTCCATGTTGAGGGCTGGATCTCTCATATTTTGCGTTGGGTCATGGCGGGGCTTTGAGCGCAGGTCAAGCGTTGTGTGCTACGCAAAGCGAGATCAGGCAAGTCGCAGAAGTGAGAGGGCCCAACCTCTTATCTCTCCCCGAAGAGCTCTCTGGGCTCGGGCGGGCGTGTAGAATGGGTTATGCAATATTGTATATGCAGTGTTGGTTGATTAAGGTACAGAGCTCAGTGAAAACATCTCACTAGATAGAGCTGGGATTGCGGTGAAATTGCGCTGGAGCTAGCCAGTATGGGAGGGTAGCTCAAGACAGCCTCATCTAATCGGGAATCTCCAGCGATGCAACGGCGAGGCTCCGATGCTGGGCCCCCGGATTATTCCTATTCCGGTCCCCAGTCCCCGTCCGGCGGTGCGGGCGCGGGTGCTGGCGCTGGTGCTCATGTGCCCGTCGCGGCGTCTACTACTACCCGTAGTCTAGTAAGTCTACAACTACTGCAGCGGTGCAGCAGCAATGACGGGACCGCTCTGCCGGGTCCTCCTGCCGTCACGGGCCACGGCCGTCTGAGGGCCAAGGAGTGAGCTTTAAGCCACGGCCTGAGCTTCCGGGCCCGCTAGCATTTTGGTGTGAAGATTGAGAGTGGACAATACCTAGCGCACTACTGTACCGTTGTGCTGACTAGTGTAAAAAGCCACTGCATCAAGATGTAATAAGCTTTTCCAAATGAAGCATCTCAACTATGCTGATGGATACAGAAACGGTTCCAGATATTATGTTATTTGCACACAACAGCTATTGGAAGTGGTCAGGTGCTCTACCTTATCTTAGCTAGGTTCTTGGAATGTTGTGAATATATATGCGGTTCACTCTGGCACAGAGGCAGAGATTACAAATGAAAAACCTAAGGAGACATGGCCAATACCTATGGGCTCCCAACAAGACATTCCCAGAACATTTTCAGTTACACTGAAAGTTCTTAAAACATTCCATCCAGCTCAAGAGATCCATAGTCTGGTCAATTCTCACCTTCAATAGGTCAGAAAATGTTTACTTGAACCACACATTTGAAGCCATGACACAAGAACCGGCAGGTTTAGGCGGAGACCATTGCATCTATAGGCACCTGATCCTCGATTCGGATGAAACTATTTATACCCAAAGATATCCAATTGAGTCATGTAGTGTCACTGCATGGGTACAGCCCGTTCAAATAGACCTGAAAGACATCGATATCCATTCAGATACTTCAGTGTCTGGCACTTCCCCCACGGGAGGAAGCGCATAGGTAGGTACACTGGGTGGACATTCGAAGGGAATTGAGGCTCTACCGAGGAGGGAGGTACCGACATACCTTTGCAAATATCTTCCGATATGGCTACATCGTCAGCAGCTTGTTCAGAAATAGGCTCCTCTCACGTAAGCGTGGTGTTTAAGGTTCCTACTTCTGTCACTACCAGCAGGATAAGAGAAGCTTAGGAACGACTTGACAGACAGCAAAGAACATCATTATCTGGTCAGTCGTTGAAAAATGGGTACAAGAATCTACGAAATTGACTTCATGACAAGATGTCTGGCTGGATTGGCACATCCACAGGCCTAAGACCAGCTGCCAGACTTGAATAAGGTGTACAGTTGCACACTGTATAGTCAACCTTGGCGAGCGGGATAGATGCGCAGCGCAGATAGTCGAATTCCCCCCGCCAGAGCACCCGTAGTAGTAGTGATGGAGTCCAGTCTTTGGTTTAAGATATATACATCAGACTTATCACCACCTGACTTGGCAGCAGCAAGCCAGTTCCGCAGAACCACTCGTGGCTAGCAATCTCACCGTCTTCCTTAGTACCAGGTCGGCTCCTCTACTACTCTCCAGTCTACTCTGTTCCACAGTCACTTTACTGGAGCATCCATTCATGTCAAGAGACCAGCTTGTTCTCTCGCGAACGCCGCCTTTATCTCATCATGACTCGAATCATGTGTTTGTGTGTGTGTATGTGTGTGTGTGTGGACTGTGGAGGAACTCCCACCGACCCAGCACGTTGGAGGTGGAGAGAGGATCGTCGTGCGGGACAGGAATAGTTTGCAAGGATTCGACGGCCAGTTGTGGCTCGCAAGCTGTTATGTTCCAACCAGAACCTACTCACGAGTCACTACCGCAGACTAGTACTGTAATCATGACTTGTCCAGCAGTGGATATTCACACACCGCTACCAGCGACAAGTCATATGGTGGGTGTGGCCTAGAAGAAGCATGAAGAGACTCTGTGGTGATCAAGGTTGGCGGATAGAGGATTTCCAAATTCCAACCCAAGGCTGGTGCCGACCAACAATCAAATCGCATGTGGTGGTTTAACGCCCGTGAAAATGTTTGGTCAATCCATAGTTCCATACCCCGAGATTGTCAGTCCCGACAGGTTTGATTACCACCAACATAAACAAACAATCATCACCAGGGTAGACTAGGAGACCTGGTGTTTGGTGCCCTGGAATGAGCGCGCATACCGCAAATCCCTGGAAGAAAAAGTGAGGCGGTACCGCTTTGACCACAACTGAAGTGACTCTGTCAGTCTGTTCAAGCTACATAGTGCTTGTGTACTACCGACCTGCCGACAGTGACACTGTGTTTCAAGACAGTCTTAGTATTGAGTCCATTGAATATGAAGTATACTACACTACTACCAACTTCCAACAGCAGTGGTAGTAGAACTCAATGGCAGGGCCTTCAACTCAGAGCCACCACTAGAAGCAACCTCCACTGCTGGGCCGCGACTGGCGTGGGAAGTGGATGATGGTGGCCCCCTGAGAGGCACGCAAGCCTCCAAATGTCTTGGACCTCTCCATCTTGACCCCCAGCTGGATGGTGAAGCAAATGATGAAGCGCTGCATGTTCCTGTCTCCCAGGCTTTTCTCGAGGATCTTCAATGGGAGAATTGATAGCCATGCATGATTGTAGAGTCGTAGCAGTTTAGAAGACAGATCAGCATACCATCAGGACACGACTGGAGTGGAGGCAGTCTACAACTCGTGGCCCCCCATGGAAGACCACTTCGTACCTGCAGATTTCATCGTGGGGATTAGCCTGTCCAATGTGATCTTCAGGTCTTCTCATCTCTTTCATTCCGCCCTTGGATCTGGTGTTTCTGAAAAAAGACCTCCGAACTGGAGTGGAGGCCGCTCCTGGCTGCTGGGGCCACTCGAAACCCCCCCCCCCCCTCCGTTGGAAATGGACAGGAAACCAACATTCGAAAAATTCACACCACTGCTTCGCACTCCTACTCTGAGGTCTGATCTGCCCTGCCCTTCGAGACTCTGCGGTCTGGTCGCGCATCCGCCTTCCGGGCTTTGCTCTTGTCTACTTTCTCCTTACCTCCTTCCGAGCCCCGTGGGCGTCATCTTGATTGACTACGTTGCGCTTTCTCATGCCCTGCGGGCTGTCTCTACCATTGCTGGGGTCTTGCGCTCGGGCCAGTTCCAATCCCATCAACATTAATCTCCCCCACGACCCGTCACCACTGCCGGATCCCCCTGGAGTATCCGTGACGCTCTTTGGGAGCATCCTAACTTGACGGCCCTGAACGACATCACACTCCTTTGGACCGCGTCACTTTGAGCCCGGCCGCCTGAGTGAGCCCGAATTCTGTTTGAGATACCCTCGGAACGCTCATTGCGACCATCGCGCCCCTGGTTTCGTCTCGATCGCTAGTGCACGTCAACCGACAATCATCTGCCTCCATAATTCACTCCGCTCCCGAGCGGTCGGTCGTCTGTTTTTGTCCTCGACAAGACACTGTCTCCCCATCCATTCTAACTCGACATTGGACCAATTAGCCTCCAGAGGCACAGCGCAATTGGCTTGTTGTCGACCTTTCCCTCCGCCGCGCTCGTTGAACGACCGATTACGACACTTGCACGATGGCGTTTTTGTTCAAGTCGAAAAAAAGTCAACAGGGGTCCGCGCTGCCTCCGGCCAGCAGACATGTTCACACCTCGGAGGGCGCCCCCTCGGCTGGCGGTCCACCCCCGGCCATGAACGGAGTGAAAGATGGAAATGCGTTTGCGCAACAGACACCAACGACGAGCAGCAGCTACAACAGCTCCCTCAACTCAGCCGCCAGTCCCACCAACTCGGATCCGATTCGGGTACGGCAACGAGCCGAGTCAGAGTCACAGGTAAGAGGCCCTGCAACACACTACCAGCTGCGCCCTCATCCCACCCACGAGGGGGTGACTCGAATGAGCACACTGACCCTGATCTGTCTGGTATCTAGGTTCAAAGGCCACCGCATCAGCCTCCATTGAATGGAGTCGCCCCGGCAGGCGCAAACGCCTCATTATACCCGTGGTCGCAACGGCGCCTCAACTTTCCCGCTCCACAAGCAAACCCGTTCCCACGATATGGAGCCGCGATCAATGCGGTCGCGTCCAAGGAGGGCGACATCTACATGATGGGAGGTCTCATTGACGGATCAACTGTCAAGGGCGATCTGTGGATGATTGAGAGCAGTGGGGGTAGTCTGTCCTGTTTTCAAATCGCAACCGTATCCGAGGGACCAGGACCTCGAGTCGGTCATGCGAGTCTCCTGGTTGGCAATGCCTTCATTGTGTTTGGCGGTGATACGAAGATCAACGAGACCGACGCCTTGGATGACACACTATATCTGTTGAATACTTGTAGGTGGTTGAATACTCGTGTGCCAAAGAACGAGTCCATTTGCTGGTGTTCTTGGTCTAACGTCGCATCCTAGCCTCTCGTCAATGGTCTCGTGCCATTCCTCCTGGGCCCCGCCCCTCAGGCCGTTACGGCCACACTCTGAACATTCTTGGTTCCAAACTCTACGTCTTTGGTGGTCAGGTGGAAGGCTTCTTCTTTAATGATCTGATCGCCTTTGATCTGAATCAATTACAAAACCCTACCAACAAGTGGGAATTACTGGTCCAAAACAGCCACGAAGGCGGTCCCCCGGAAGGCGAAATTCCACCGGCGAGGACGAACCACACGCTGGTCAGCCATAATGACCGACTGTATCTGTAAGTTGATGGGCAATGGCTGCTGCACACAGGACTGAACGGGAGCTGACATAGCATCAGTTTCGGAGGCACCAATGGGGTCAAATGGTTCAATGATGTGTGGACGTTCGATCCGCGAGTGAACAGTTGGACGGAGCTTGACTGCGTCGGCTTTATCCCCACCCCACGCGAGGGCCATGCGGCTGCACTTGTCAATGACGTGATGTACGTCTTTGGAGGCCGAACCGACGAAGGAATCGACCTGGGGGATCTGTCTGCTTTCCGTATCACGAGCCGGCGATGGTATTCTTTTCAAAACATGGGCCCAGCGCCCTCTCCACGGTCAGGACACAGTATGACGGCATTTGGGAAACAAATCATCGTCATGGCGGGGGAGCCTAGCTCGGGAACCAGGGATCCGATAGAGCTCAGTACGGCCTACATACTTGACACAGGAAAGATCAGATACCCCAATGACTCCCAGTCGAGCGAGCGTGGCGCTGTTCCGGCTGGCCGGAAAATCAGCACGGACAAACAGATGATCACGTCGGGCCGAACTTCACGGGAGGCTCAGAATGCCACTCCCGATCAGCTGCGCCGCGGGCCCACTCCTTCGCGAGAAAGCAGTGCTCAAGGTCCAATGACCAAGCCCGGAGAGCTCGGCCCCAGTCCTAATATGGGACCAGGGTCAAGGCTCCCACGAGCATCAATTGCTCAGGCACCTGCTGGACCCCCACCACCGGGTCAAGCACCGTCCCCTGGCCCTCGCGCGAACGGCGCGCAACCTGCACCCGTCCAAACCAACCCCCGCAGCAAGACGCCCACGAAGAATGAGCGTGGCTTCACACCTACGGTTGATGTGCGTGCAGCAAACGCTGATCGGGATGTGGAATCACCCGTCGCCAAAGACATTTCCACCAACACAGGGTCGCCCGGTCCACGGACGCCGACCCAGCCATCACAGAAAGTCAGTGCCAAGGCCATGGAAGCTGGCGAGGCCGCGCCAATGATGACACCTGCCCGTCAACGGTCACTGCGTCAAAGTCGCCAGCGAGGTTCAATGGACAGTGGAGATGAATCTGTTCTTAGTCGTCGCGTTGCCAGCATTGATGGCTCCATCGAGTCCCGAAGTATCCGCGGATCTCGCACGCCTGCGGAGGAACCGCGATCCCCTCGCTTGACTGCGCACCACGAATCTCTGATCAAGGAGCTGGAGGCGGCCAAGGCCCGTAATGCGTGGTATGCGTTCGAGTTGTCACTAGCCAAGAAGGCCGGCTACGTTTCCAACTCAGCAACCAGCCCTGTCATGGATGAGCGTATCAACGAAGTTGTTAACGACGAAGATCGGCCATTGGTTGAGGCATTCTTAGCTATGAGGGCAGAGTTAGCCAAAATGCAGGCTACCGTCGATCGCCAAGCGGCAATTGCCTCCAAGCGTATCGCGGAAGTTGAGCACCAACGAGACGTCGCCGTAACCGAAGCAGCATACTCCCGGACGAGACTTGCTGCTCACGGCGGTAGCCAACGCGGTACACCACAGCTCGATGCATCACGCGACGGGGAAGAGGAGCGACCAAGTGACATGAGTCGCCGTCTTGCTGCCGCTCTTGCATCTCAAACCGAGCTCAAAACCAAGATAGACGCCCTGACCAGTGAACTAGAGCAGGAACGGCAAGCGAAGGACCTCGCGGAAGACACTATTGAAGCTACTCGGAAACGTCTCGCGGAGTTGGAGATGTCTAACAGTACGTTGGAAGCGGAGAATCTACGGGCTGAATTGCACAAGGCAGAGGCCACAGCTCGAGAGGAGGCTCTGCTTCGGGCAGAGGCAGAGGCTTCCTTGAAACAGCTCATCATTGACAAAGAGGAGCTCATGAATCACGCCGAGGAGTCATCTGGTCGCCTAAAGGACTTTAGTACCAACTTCGATGGCCTGCGCGAAGCCGTTGCTGCTTCCACCGCCAAGACAGCCATTGTAGAGAAGCAGCTGCACGAAGAGCGTGAACGTCGGGAAGGTCTCGAACGCAAGTTGTTGCAGCTCCGTTCAGAATACGAAGAACAGACAACAGAGCTAGAAAATATCACCCGCCGACTGCGCGATGCCGAGGAACTCGCGGAAATTTCAGCCAAGGAGGCCGAAACACACAAATTTGCCTTTGTCTCTGGTCTCGAGCGCGCTGCTTCAGTGGACTTGGAGAATTCGTTCAGGTCCCGCGCGGACCAACGTGTTGCAGCTTTGGAGGCGCAGGTCGAGCGATCTACTGCTCTGGCCAAGTCTAATCAAGCGGCTGCCGATGCCGCTGCAGACAAGCTGCGTCGTGCCGAGGAGAGAATTGCAGGACTCGAGGCTTACCAAGAACAGGCCAGCCGCGAAGGACTGCAGCTTCGAAGACAGTTACAGAACGCCCTTAAGGAGTCCCAGGCTGCGACTACGGAGAGCCGAGAGTTGCGCGCTCAACTCGAGACGCATCAGCGTGATGCGAATGCCCTGAACGTCCAGCATGCCGCATTGAAGGACCTTCTCGGTGAACGGGGAATGAGCACCGAAAGTAGACGATCTCCTCGACTTGAATCGCCCGGATCTCGCTTTGGTACTCCGGAGCAAAGCCGTTTGCGTGAACTTGAGCAGCAGCTATCTAATAGCCTCAAGGCCCACGAAGACCTCAAGAGCTCCTTCGAAGTGCGTGAGCAAGAGGCTGATCGCGCGTTCCGCGAGAAGTTGGAGCAGTTGGAGAATGACTATCAGTCGGCCGTGCACTATGTCAAGGGCACTGAGAAGATGCTGAAGCGGATGAAGGACGAGCTCAGCCGCTACAAGTCCCAAAATGCCAAGCTTCAATCTGAAGTGGAAGCTTCCCAGAAGAGCTCTGATGAAGATCAGTTGGCTGGGGCCGCTGCTCCTGACTGGGAGGCCGAGCGTGCGCACTTGCAGAAGTCCATTTCTGACTTGGAGGCTAACACTTCATCTTCGCTCCAGAGTCTGGAGACTCAAATCTCCGAGCTGCAGGTTCAGCTTCGTGAAGCTGAGGCCGAGAAAGATCAGGCGAAGGCAAACTACGAGCGTGCTCAACGGGAACTTGAGGAGGCTGCCAACCTCAGCCGTGCAGAGCTGGAGCAGCTCAAGAAAGAAAACGTCCACCTTGAAAGCCGCGCCACTGACGCAGAGCAAAAAGTCAATCTGCTTTTGGAGCAGGTTGAAACTTCGGTGGGTCACTACCGCCGTCAGTCCCACTTGAGTCAAGGACCGAATGGCATCTCTCGCACCCACAGCAACGCCTCCAGTAACACCATCGGCGGCCGTGCCCGTGCCGACAGCACGTTGTCCCAAGACTCTGCTGCTTTCCCAGATAATCGTGGATCCATGGCTCTCGATTCCCTGGCTAACGAGCTCGAGGCTCTTCGTTCCCATTGGGAGAGCACCAACCGCAACTATCGTTTGAGCAGCCAGCTGGATCTAGAACGGACGCCTACCAAAGATACCAGCGATGGTCCGGCTGCGATGAGTGATAGCCTGGCGGAATGGCGCAGACGATTGGACGAGGAAGAACGTACTGGCAACACCAAGACCAAGACCGAGGCCCCCTCAAATATGATCTAGGCGCCTCATATCGTAAGCCTTGGTCCCTGCTACCTCGTCACATCAATGGTGCGCCGTCGCTCGTTGATATACTCGCGTCCAGCGTTCGCTTTCCAGGGCTTTATTCCATCAACCGCCATTCCTCTACCTCGTCTTGAACCTCTTTCGAGTCCTCCAAGTCTGTTCGTCTGAAGAGTTGTTTAGGAAAACGTTCAGAGCCTTGCGCTGGCAGGTTGATTCCGCGCTTCATGACTCTGATGATGCGTCCTCGCCACTCGATGATGGCGAGGCATTATTTCTTCTTGTCTTTGTTTTCGTTGGGTATGCTTCGTGTCTTTCTGGATGCAATCTGTTGGATTATTATTCTGTTGGATTACTATCCTGTATCACTGTCATTCTTCTCTGTTTCCTTGTCATCTCCCTTTTTATACCCCGGTTTTCCGATGTTTATTGGACCCTGGCTGTACCACTAGCACATTACACGGATTCGCCCTGAGTCTTTTTCCTCTGATTTTCCCGCCCCCAACGTTTTATCTCACGAACCTACCACAAGTATCAAATAATGTATTCTTTCCCACGGACGAGCCATTTTCCTCACTGTAGCCCATGCACTCAAGAGGCTGTGCCTTTTGAGCCGCACCCTCGGTCACTTCCTCACAGCCGGCCCGTTCAAGACAGGCCAGCCGTATTCAGGCTCTTTCTCTTTCACCCCACGCCGAGACGCACGGACTTGCGGAACAGCTCTCTTGTGGAGTGCTGTCCATGGTGAGTTGTCAACTCTCACTGGAGATCTTAGCCTACGGGTTCTCAGCCGTTAGCTTGGTGCGGAGAGAACGCCCAACCCTAAGTACGGTGGCAGCGCGCACCGAAGCTAGGTCCCTATGTAGGTCCGGTACGTCAAGTAAGGCAAAGTTGCCCTGGAGACTTAGATGAGGCCGAGATCACTCTACTCTCTTATCTATATTACATGTGATCAACGACACAATCGAGAACAATTGGGTATTTCGGGATTGAGCGGTCCAGGTGCATCTCTGCCTCGTTCATGACTTTGGCTGTTATACGGTAGAGTGATCAAGGATGAGCAGGCTGCCAGGCATCAAGATCCATAGGAACACGAAGCGTGGGCTCCCTTCGGAAGGCATCAGCTGGTCGCTTCTCTTACTGCGCTCGGACGGAATGGAAATGGCGATGATGGTTATGATTAGTGATTCAAGGGAAAGATCGCTTATCTATTACGCTCTAACCACCATATGAACTACTGCACATCTTAGGGTACTGATCAAGTCGAGCCGAGCGACACGTAGTGACATGTTGGGCGACGTGGACGCCTCACGTGAGAAGAGCTGTCAAAGTCTGTGCAAAGGGTGGACTGGTGACAAAGGGCAAGTTTGTGGACGAGATAATTGTCTGTGATATCTCTTGTCTATCTTTACAAGGGTGTCTGCTTTCCTTGTACACTGGCTCTGAGAAAGGATGTACCACGGAATAAGATTGTATCTGGTAACTAGTAGTACTTATGTAGGAACTGGCAGCAACACACTGCTTTTCCTCGGTGATAAGCCAAGGTCTGCTGGGTTCCATCAGCACTGAGGGTCCCCTCCACAGCGGCTAATTGAGTTATTTTTGGGACCCGCTGACACGCGCCCTTTCTGGGACCATTCACAATCAATAGAGAGGCTTGGAAGGCCTGTGGAAGGCGGCGCCCGGCGGGATTACCAAACTCTTGAAGTCAGCGGATCCATGTTCATTGCTGGGACTGGCAAAAGCAGGAGAAGAGGCGATTCAGTATTTACAGTGTACTTGGAGTATATAGTCATACCTGAATCTGATAGGACCTTAGTATGACTCCAGCATTTTATTACCTAGTCCATAGCACATCATAGTAGTACATGCTTCGTGTCTTAGACGTATCCTTTGTCTGCATCGACACTGACTTTCGTGCCGATCTCAGTGACTTATACGTAGGTAGCGATCTCGAAGGGTGCTATCATGCATCAGGGATCCAAAAGAATCAAGGGTGGCCTTGACTTTGACGGACGGCTGTACAAGTCCGTCACCTACATGACTCAGTATTCATTGATCTCGGAAAATGGTCTGCGTACCTTGAACAGGGCCTGTGGTTGCCTGACAAGTCCGATTTTGTCGTTGGCGGCGGTCCGGAACACTACTGTGAGTACGGGTAACTCTCCAAGAGTCCAAACGTCAAGATGCTCATGGGTGTAATTGCATAAGTCAATAGGCCGAGGGTAGAACACTCACCAGCCCACAACAGACATGAATGGCAAGCAAGGTGATCAAGCGACCATGATGGTCTTATGCACTCGCTCTTCTGTTTACCCTGGCTGACACGCAGGTGATCATCTCTGCCAAGTTCTGGATCAATACTCTCACGTCCTCGACCTGCAGCCCAACAACACTGGAGTAAGGTGACAAGGTCTGGCGGCGTATCAGCGTGACAATACAGGCTCAATTTTCGCGTCGAATTCGCCTCGGAAGAGACCACTGGTGGCGGGCCAGTCCGTCGTACCAGCCTTGGCCGCGGTCTTTCCATACGGCAGTTGACAGTAACATACAGCGTTGGCAACATCCAAATTCCAGCCACGCCTTCGCTAATAAAAAATACACCTCACCGACTCCTCCCAACGCCCCTCACCCTCCCCTTTCTTCCTTCAGTATCCTCTTTCCCACCCGGACCACCCCCTCCCCTCTTCTCCAGGCCGGTGATCAAGGCTCTGTCCTTGACTTTTTCAGTTCAGATTTGATATCCGCACTCTCGGTCATCGTGGATTTCTCTTTCAACCTCGTCCCATCTTGATCCGATCATTCCGTCTCGAACCACCCGGGTCGCTCCACGGTCGGCATTAGCCACCTCTGTCCCCTTAGCCTGCCTTTACATCACCCTTTTCCCCTCGTAAGTGACTTTCTCATGGTTTGTTCAGCATGGAAGAGAAAAGAGTGATATCAGTTCATCCGGATTTCTCATGATGTTGTCTTTCTGCATCGTGCTCGTGCTTGTTGACCGCGGATGAGGCAACTGCGAGTGGCCAAATGTGATTGATACCAGACCGGCCCAGCCCTGCTGCTGGCCTAAGGCCTATTGCTCAAGCCCCCTCTGTAGCCTGGTGTTGTTTATACAATGTGCCCTGTCACCCGCCCTGCCTTCCTCATCTCTCTTCCTCCCCATCCTTTGTCTCTGATCCTCTCCATTTGCATCCGCTAACAGCAAAAACCTGCAGTCTCCAGAAATCGCACGGCTAGCTGCTGTGCCTTCAAGCCTTCGCCAACATGACTACCATGGTCAGTCTTCTCTCTCCCTGTCCTTGTCGCCAATTTTTCATTCCCTGCATTGTACAACAGTGTCAGGATACGCCAAATAACAACCTTCACTCACCTGGAACGATATTTGTTGCTCTGGATCACCTCTCGAGCTCACGCCGAAGAATCGTCCTTTTGCTGATATCTTCCACAGGATTTACGCGTCGGTAACAAATACCGCATTGGACGCAAGATTGGAAGCGGCTCTTTTGGTGACATTTATCTCGGTATGTTCTTCAACCCTCCTGCATCCGTGGTTCAAGACTAATACCTCCTCGAAGGAACCAACATCATTTCGGGTGAAGAAATTGCCATCAAGCTCGAAAGCGTCAAGGCCAAGCACCCCCAGCTCGAATACGAGGCACGTGTCTACAAGTCTCTAGCGGGTGGTGTTGGTATTCCTTTTGTCCGTTGGTTTGGAACCGAGTGCGACTACAATGCCATGGTCATTGACCTCCTGGGTCCCAGTCTGGAGGACCTGTTCAACTTCTGCAACAGAAAATTCTCCCTGAAGACCGTCCTCCTCCTCGCCGACCAGCTCATTTCCCGCATCGAATACATTCACGCCAAGTCATTCATTCATCGTGACATCAAGCCTGACAACTTTTTGATGGGTATCGGTAAGCGAGGCAATCAGGTCAACGTGATCGATTTCGGTTTGGCAAAGAAGTACCGCGACCCCAAGACGCACTTCCACATTCCTTACCGTGAGAATAAGAACCTCACTGGTACTGCTCGATACGCCAGTATCAACACTCACTTGGGTGTTGAGCAGTCTCGACGTGACGATATGGAGTCCTTGGGCTACGTGATGCTCTACTTCTGCCGTGGTTCTCTGCCATGGCAGGGTCTGAAGGCTGCCACCAAGAAGCAGAAGTACGACCGAATTATGGAGAAGAAGATGACCACTCCCACCGAGGTTCTCTGCCGTGGTTTCCCCAACGAGTTCGCCATCTACCTCAACTACACCCGCTCCCTTCGCTTCGACGACAAGCCCGACTACTCATACCTGCGCAAGATCTTCCGCGACCTCTTCGTCCGGGAGTCGTTCCAGTACGACTACGTGTTTGACTGGACCGTCTACAAGTACCAGAAGAATGCTGCCATGATTGTTGACGCGTCCAAGAAGGACAAGGATGACGAGGCGGGCCGCCGTCCGGCTGCTGCCGTTGCTCCTCCAGCTGGTGCGGCTGCTGCGGCCGCTAAGCCCGGTGCCATCTCGGGCCAGCGTCGCAAGGTCATCGATCGTGCAGCTCTCGACAACACTCCAGACACCAACCGTGCCGTGGGAGGAAGTGACAGGATGTGAGTATCTTTGAAACCTGGTTCCGAGTAGGGAACCCCTTTACTTCTCTTGATCCTCGTTCTTTCGTTTTTTCTTTTCTGCTTCAGTGACCCTGCCCGAGGGGAAATTTTTCGTTCCGAATCTGACTAATCGCATAGTCTTCGGCGTTAGGCTGCGTTCTGCCTCGAAAGGAGCTGCTCTAGGTCACGGACCTTCTGTTGGCCGTTCGAAGCGGGACGATGGATCAGGGGCCCAATGGTACTAATTCTGCAGCATTGGCAGAGAGACTTGCGAGAGGTGGCTGATTCGATTTTCAATGACTTCATTTCGCTATTCTTATCGCTTGTCTCCTGCGTGCTAAATGTCCCTTTTTCTCTCCTCGACCTTGGAAGTTTCGGAAATGCCTCGTCAACTTTGCTCGTGGCCGCACTGCCACTTTGCACGACCGACTTCTCCGACTTTGTTCTCATGCCCTGAGGCGGTCCATTCATTTTGCATCAGATCTCCCAGTCTTAACGCCTTCATCCTTGAGTCTACGTCCGTGGTAGCCCATATGCCCTTTGCCAACGTTCTCTATCTTCTCGCTATGTTTATGTCTTTGGAACGACACCATATAATCTGCGTTCCACAAGGCTTCCGAGAAGACCATACTGGTTTCTTTTCGTTTCTGGCTCTTGGACACACATTCATACGCGGCGAGTGAGTGGGCAACGACTATCGTCGAGTCTCATTGATGTTGCGGCGATTCCACGATTTGACCGTTACGTTTTGCGGACCTCAACTTTTGTCAACTTCTTGATGGTCGCAATTTCCAGGCAAACCGAAGGAGAGATGCAGACGAGAGAGCGACAGCTGGGATTCCTGGACAACTTTACCCCATATTCTTCAACTACTGCTATTGGTCGTCTGGCAAACCGCATGAACATGCGACTCATTCCCATTGTCCTCCCTCTTCTCGCGTGGTCATGATTTTCTTTTTCACTTGCCCCCTTTGCTTTGTCTGGCTCACATTCTATCTTTCCCCTGATTTTCCATTTCCTATCTTGTTATTTGGCTTTTCGCTGCAAATCGACGCCGTACGGGGATGAGGGGATATCGGTTAGCATATCGGTTACGCCGGTTGTGTTGGAGGGAGAGTTTGTGGTGTCCTGGAAGGTGCTTCTTTTTGTGACCATCCCCGCAATTCTTGGGCTTTGCCTCGGCTTGCTTACATCAAGTCTGGACCAGTTGGGATGAGTCACATGGAAAAGAGTAGCTTTGCTTAGGTGATTGGCGACGGACATGGTTAGGGTCGCTTCCGGGGTGGTTTTGCGTCGATTTGCATAGTGAATTAGTTGGTCTGCTATCGCGTTCCTATTATCAATTGCGTTCTGATCACATGGATCTTTCTGTAACATGCTTGAAGTAGCTGGACGCTTGTCCTGTTTGTTTACGGCACTGACTTTGCCGGTGCTCGAGGTCAGCCATCTATTCGTGCTGCTTCCCTCAGAATATCCTGGTTTACTCGGCTTCACATTTCATGCTCTTCCCGAATTCCGTCGTCGCCGCCTACAGTGGCGTAAGCTGAACAAGAAAACTTATTCAGGTACTCGCAAGTGTCCTCATGCCTGGGCACCCATCCCATCTGTCTCAGAAGATCGCAATACCAAGTGTGCCAGAATGGCCGCGTAAGAAGCACCACGAATGTCCAGGCAATCTTTCATGACACGGGGCGGAGTCGATGAGGCTGCAGAGCGTCCATTTCAAGCTATGCAAGCTTAAAGCTGTAAATTTTGAATGACCCCAAGGGTCGGACATCATCTCCTAGATTTTGAAGTGCGATGCGCCCGGTATAAAGTTGATCTATCGTGACTACGTGATGGGAGTCTTGTGTCAGGATGCCTTTTGTCCCGCCTTCATCGGGAGATCGGTCAGATCTTTTCCGGGGTAAAAGGCAAATTGGGGGGCAACAACCTCCTGGAAGCCTGAGCCCATGACGGCCGCGGTTTCTCACCCAAGGTGACATTCGCCCTCATCGCCATCCTCACCCTTGTCCGCCCACGCATACCGATCTCTCGTCATTCTTCTCCCATTATGGACTATTCCAACTATACTCCTCATCCTGCCCAGCCTTACTCAACGTTATATGGACTGCCCACGCCCGACCAACCGCCGCGGCAGCAGCCCGAAGATGTCCTCCAGGACCCATTTGTAATGGTAAGAGAGACTGGCCACTGAGCCCTTTCTCCCCTCCCTTCGAAGCCTCGTCGCAGGATCTCTGACCGACCTCTTTTTTTTAGCAGGGCCCCTATGGTCAATACTATCCCGGATTCGACCCATCATTTCGCATCGACCCATCAGCGTCGTTTGTCCCGTCGCCTCACTCACCCCCCGACTCGTGTGCGAAGCAGTCGGTTTCAAGCAATGACGTGCACAACCAGACCAAGCAGGAGCCAACATCAATCGACGGAGATGATGGCCATTATCGCGATCCGACCGCACGGAGTAGTAGCGAAGAAAAGGAGTCGCTAACTCCAGCGCAAAGCAAGCGCAAGGCACAAAATCGCGCAGCGTATGTGACACGTCTTCCCTATTCCATCCGAGGGCGCAAACTGTTTTCGCCAATGTCAAATTGCCACAGTAGATGCGAACAGTCACTAACTTCGGATCCTCTCACACAGACAACGAGCATTCCGCGAGCGCAAAGAGCGCCACGTCAAAGATCTTGAGGACAAGGTGAACAATTTGGAGCAATCATCCTCTACGCTTCAAGCAGACAACGAGCGATTAAAGCGCGAACTCGCCAAATACGCAACGGAGAATGAGATCCTACGAGCGACGTCGCATTCATTAAATGGCAGCAGCAAGGGAGGTCCTGCGCCGGCAGTCACCGGGCCAATGACCTATTCCCCAACAGACTTCTATTCCACTCTCGTACCTGATGCTGCAGGCTCTACGATGATCCCACAGGGCCAACACCGTGCCACAACGTGTCCGATCACCGGCGAGAAACTCTTAAACGCAGGTGCGACATGGGATCTTATTCAAAGTCATGATCTGTTCAAGCGCGGACAGGTAAATATAGGCGACGTGGCCGAGCGCTTAAAAGGTAGTGCTCAATGCAATGGACAGGGCCCTGCTTTCAGCGAAGCCCTCGTTTTGAGAGCAATCGAGGAGAGTGCTGCTGATCGCGACGAACTAATCTGATTGCACTGTTGTCTATTGCTCTTGTTTTCTCCATCACTTCCTCTGTGAACTCGAGCATGAGGATTCAATGATCTGCTTTCCTTGTTATGCACAGTGATCGTGTTTATTATTTGTCAACTATCTCGTGTCGCAGGCGCCACTTATGATAGTTAACTTGGAGTATTCGGGACGGCGCTGAAGCTAGAAACAATCTCATTAAATTCCGGCTCACTCGAAACGAAGCCGACTCAAGCTTGACCGAATCGCAGACACAATGCATTCAGTGGTTGAAGCACCGCTGAGACAATACCTACACAGATACACCTCGCAAAGAGCCGGATTAGCGTTGTGACGGTTTGCATTTCGATGAAATAGTTATGATACAATGGCAGTGTTCCAATATTGTCGTACGGACATCAAATTTGCAAATGGTAAGCTTGTCAAGGTTGGATGCAGCGGAGTGTAGGTAGACCGCACCAACCCTAATCATCAAGCGGAAAGACAGCGCTTGGGGTAGAATGGGCATCTATGTAGCCCTATGCCATTGGCCCTATCGGATTTTCGGAATTTTGCTTCTGATTCCTTTCAATGCGACATGCGAACAAATCACGAAGAAAAACAAATTCAGCCCACAATTCCAGGCAGCTTAGTTTCTCAGGTCCGTGTCCTGTCGGAGATCATAGCACAGCGCGTGGGTAATCAGTCCCAGTCGTCGTCATAATCTTCCACATTGAGATCGTCCTGCTTTGTGTGTTCGTCGTCGGAATCATCGCGCTTCTTGAGACGGACGTCGCTCTCTTTGATTGCGCCAATGTCAACGAGTAATCGCTCCAGATCTGCCAGCTTTGTACGCGGGCCATTGAGTTCTCGTAGCGTGACTAATTGTTTTCTGATTTCAGTATCCTTGTACACGAGAATTGTCGGAGTGTTTCTCTCCGGGTATCCCCCAATGCACATGTCGGCGCGAATCTCGCAGAACTTGATATCTCCGAACTTGGCGGCCATCTGGCGCCAGAGCTCAGTAAGCACGCGTGACTCGACGTTGGCGCTCGGGGACGTCAAGTGAACGAAGACATAGGCATTGTTTGAAGCCTCGGTGACTTCGCGCGCGTAGTCGACTTTTTGGAGTGGATAGACTTGGTTGAAGACGCTCGTTTGCTGGAGGGTGGACAGCTCTGCTAGGCGTTTCTGGCTAGAAGGAATGGCGTAAGTTCTCTACAACAGACTAAAGATAAAAGTCAAGATACCGCGCTGCTGAACATCAACTCACCGGTATTGCTGGATGAAATCCTCGTCTTCTTCGTCCTCGAGCGCATCAAGCTCGGCGAGATCTTTGTCTTCAAGTCGGTTCTCGTGTGCTCTTCGCTCAGCCTCGATCAAAGCTTCTTGAATAAGAGGTTCAGGGTCTTTTGGTTTCTCAGGAATGATTCCATGCTGACGGAGAATGTCATTCCTGTGATATGTTACTACATTAGAACCAGCTAGCTTGTAAGGACGGATAGCTCCATAAGAGCGGGGAATTGATTATAGCTCCTGCAAACAGACCACGGGTAACATACCACTCAGTATCCTCATTAGGATTGACCTCGACTTCCATTGTTTCGTGTGGGAATCAAATTATAACAATTGGTGAATTGTATCGAATATATCACGATAGGCATCCTTTTTTGGTAGAAAGAGGGGAAGGTGGTCCGGCAAATGCATGATGCCACCTGTTTGCAGTGTTTGGACTACGCGCCACATGTGGCTCCTAACACACGGAAGGCCACCTTCAACTTAACTCCGTAAACAGTACCGGAGAGCCCAAAGGTTGCGAGTAATCAGCGTCTCTTTTGGCAGGTTTTTGGCTGAAGAGTCAATTCACTCGTGCGTTTTCCTTTGGAGTTGGTTTCAATCAAGCAGTGGCTGCTCACACCGCCCTCCGTCGCTGCTACTTTGTCCTTGATTCCTGCCCGGCCGGACTCAAAGTCCAAACAACCCCGTCTTAATCAACTTCAGGAGACTGCGAAAACGGATCGCTGGTACAATTCCAGCGCCTCGGCACCATGAGCTACATGAAAAAAGATGAGGATGCGGATCAGGTCATGATTAAGCTCGACCGCACCTCTGTGTTTCAAGATGGTAAGCCACGGACAATTCTCACCCCTGGCTGTCCTGGTAGCTTGCCCGCGCATTCCCCCATTGTTTCCTACTAACGAGACAATTTGTATAGCTCGGCTTTTCAATTCCTCACCAATCTCACCGCGGAAATGTCGTACTCTTCTTACCAAAATCGCCGTCCTCATGTTTACGGGGGAGCAATTCCCGACCAATGAAGCAACCACCCTCTTCTTCGGTATCTCCAAGTTGTTCCAGAACAAAGATCCCTCTTTGCGACAAATGGTGTACCTTATTTTAAAGGAATTGGCCAATACTGCGGAAGATGTAATCATGTCCACCAGCATCATCATGAAGGACACTGCGGTCGGTAGCGACGTTCTGTACCGAGCCAATGCGATTCGTGCTCTTTGCCGCATCATTGATGGCTCGACCGTCCAAGGCATCGAGCGATTGATCAAGACCGCCATTGTCGATAAGACGCCTTCCGTGTCATCTGCCGCTTTGGTTTCTTCTTACCATCTTCTCCCTATCGCCCGCGACGTGGTTCGGAGATGGCAGAGCGAGACACAAGAAGCGGCCTCCTCATCAAAGCAATCTTCTGGTTTCCTTGGCTTCGCGTCAAGCTCCCAATCTCACAATATCACACAGTCCAATTTCATGAACCAATATCATGCAATTGGTCTGTTGTATCAGATGCGATCGCATGATCGCATGGCGCTGGTCAAGATGGTGCAACAATACGGCGCTGCCGGTGTTGTCAAGAGCCCAGCGGCCCTGGTGCTTTTGGTTCGGTTGGCAGCAAAACTGGCCGAGGAAGATCCTAGCCTTCGTAAACCCATGATGCAGATGCTGGATGGCTGGCTCCGTCACAAGCATGAGATGGTCAACTTCGAGGCTGCCAAGGCTATTTGTGACGTGCGGGATGTTACCGATGCCGAGGCTCAGCAGGCCGTTCACGTCCTCCAATTGTTCTTGTCCTCTCCTCGATCGATCACCAAATTCGCAGCTATCCGCATTCTCCACAACTTTGCCTCATTCAAGCCGCACGTCGTGAACGTCTGTAACCCGGACATCGAATCTCTGATCTCCAACTCTAATCGATCAATTGCAACCTTCGCTATTACCACCTTGTTAAAGACCGGAAATGAGGCCAGTGTTGATCGCTTGATGAAGCAGATTTCAGGCTTCATGGCCGATATCACCGATGAATTCAAGATTACAATTGTCGAGGCGATTCGCACGTTGTGTCTTAAGTTCCCTAGCAAGCAAGCGGGTATGCTGACTTTCTTGAGTGGAATCCTTCGTGATGAAGGCGGCTATGAGTTCAAGCGAACTGTTGTTGAGAGCATGTTCGACCTCATCAAGTTTGTTCCCGAGAGCAAGGAGGATGCGCTCGCTCATCTCTGCGAGTTCATTGAGGATTGCGAGTTCACCAAGCTGTCCGTTCGTGTTCTTCACCTGCTTGGCGTGGAGGGCCCCAAGACAGCGCACCCAACGAAGTTCATTCGTTATATCTACAATCGCGTTGTTCTGGAAAATGCAATCGTTCGTGCCGCTGCTGTTACAGCATTGGCCAAGTTTGGCATTGGTCAAAAGGATCCCGAAGTCAAGTCCAGCGTTCAGGTGCTGCTCACGCGTTGTGTGGACGACACTGATGATGAGGTTCGGGATCGTGCTGCTCTCAATCTTCGTCTGATGGGTGCTGAGGAAGAGACTGCTTCAGCTTTCATCAAGAATGGTAAGTTTCACTCATGTCTGGAGAGTTCACTGATTGTTGTAACGTTACTAACTCTCATAGACTCCATGTATTCTCTTTCTACGTTCGAACATCAACTCGTTATGTATGTCACATCGAATGACAAGCAGACCTTTGCCGCCGCCTTCGATGTCTCGACTGTACCTGTTGTCTCGCACGAACAAGCACTCGCCGAGGAGCGTACCAAAAAGCTTACTACTGCCACGCCTACGCTCAAGGCTCCATCAGTAGGCCCGTCCAAGGCCAAGTCCAACGGGATCGCTGAAGCTGCTACCGTGGCTGCTACTCAGAAGTACGCGGAACAGCTCATGCAACATCCCGACATCAAGGAGTACGGCAGTTTGCTGAAGTCTTCCTTGCCTGTGGAATTGACTGAGAGTGAAACCGAGTACGTCGTCACTGCTGTCAAGCATGTCTTCAAAGAGAACATCGTCGTGCAGTATGACATCAAGAACACATTGCCCGACACCGTTCTTGAGAACGTGACAGTGATTGCTTCGCCTTCAGATGACGAGGTGCTAGAGGACGACTTTGTGATTCCAGCTCCAAAGTTGTCTCCCAATGAACCGGGTGTTGTCTATGTCGCCTTCAAGAAGCTTGGAGGGGCACACAGCGTCCCAGTCACATCGTTCACGAACATTCTCAAATTCACCAGCAAGGAGATTGACCCAACGACTGGCGAGCCTGAAGAGAGTGGCTACGATGATGAATACCAGGTGGAGGACCTCGATCTTGCCGGCAGCGACTATGTTATTCCCACATTTGCCGGCAGCTTCGACCACATCTGGGAACAGACCGGTGCCAACGGGGAGGAGGAGAGTGAGACCTTGCAGTTGAGCAACATGAAGGGCATTGCTGGTATGTTTTATTCCGCTCTCCCTCGAACTCGTATTCTGGCGATTAATGAACTAACCCTTTCAAGATGCTACTGAGCAACTCATCTCTGCTCTATCCCTTCAACCATTGGAAGGCACTGATGTTGCGCTAAACAACAGCACTCATACCCTCAAGCTGTTCGGCAAGACCGTCTCTGGCGGCCGCGTGGCTGCTCTGATCAAGATGGCTTACTCAAGCAAGACTGGTGTCACCACAAAGATCACAGTGCGAGCAGAAGAGGAGGGTGTTGCTGCGGCAGTGATTGCATCTGTCTCTTAACGTCTCTCGTCGATTTGCTTTCATCTGTTTGGTCTACAGCGACTTTGTATTGAATTTTAGTAGACATTGGGGGTCATTCTCAAGCCTATTCTCCCCCATCCTTGTTTCTCACTTTCCCCATACCGTCAATACTTTCTTGATATCTGCTTCCTTCTCTTAATATGAGGGGACTCCTTACTTCCGTTTTCCATTGCGGGCTGTGACGGGTTCCATTATGACCACTCCAAAACTCGGGGGATCTGAATTTGTGTTCAATCAAGCCAAGCGTCATCTTCACAAACTTCTACTGTTCCTCGTAGTTTCTTATTTGTGACTTTGCTATACAAGACCAGATTCGCAGATGTGGAGTATCCGTGTTCCTTTCGGGGTTGGTGGCATGGCATGGAGTGGGCCAGTGCTCAAATCCACCGGTTGTTTCCATTTTGCCTACCTTCCCCACGTGAAGAGACGGATCGGCAGCCCGTGCACAGATTAAGACGATCAGCGATGCCGGCCCTAAGCGGTCTACGGCGGACGTGGATAACGGCTACATCGGGCAGTACCAACTCAAGGACTCAGGGAGTCTATATCTTTGAAATGGCAGTGTGATCTGATGCCCTACTATACAGTTAGAGCAGAGACCCCCTTGGCAAATGTAGTCCAGGCTTAGATTCTCAGCAGGATTCAATGGGATCACATCAAAGTCATGTGAGACTTGACGTCTGTTCACGCCCATTGTTTCGTTCCCTCTCTCTGGGTATACACAAATATGTCATGTAGACTCCTCTGATACCTAACAATAGGTAGCACGTGGGAACCTTCCGCAAAGTCTCCATGCTCAAGCACAGTCCACTGGACAGTGTCAAGTGTCCATTGTCTCCAGTATAGTCATTCAAATCGTCCACCCCAGTCTCTCTTGGATGGTCCGTGTATAACGCATTTAGGGCCTAATAGTGGGTTTACATAGTGGAGGCCTGGTGAAACCCGATTGAGGCATCATGCTTTATCAAAATAACAACAACAACAACAACAACAACAACAACAACAACAACAACAACAACAACAACAACAACAACAACGCTGATCCGATGTTAGTGTCAAGGCATCTTCTTGAGCCCTACTGGGCTAGCAGTGCGTGCACAAAAGGTGATTCGGACAATTGACTGATTAACGGTCTGATCACCGCGTCGCTGTTTTGGATCCGTGAAGCTAGTCTACGGAGAAAGCAGATAGCCATTTCGAATACCGCTCCATACGTCTCAATGTCTATGTGCAAGGAGTCATCCGCATGTGAAATCATTACCTTTTTAGGGCGTCGCTTCGGTCTCCGATTAGACGAAGGCGGGACAAGGTAAAGCGAGATTTTGTGAAAGTCTACATTGAACGGGATGTCTATTATAGGTGGCGAATCCTGCCTTGCAGTTCTGTTTGATACTTTAGGGGAATTTGATTCGGGCGGTCACATGCTGGCCTCTGGCTTTTGGTGGATTACTGATCTCACCTTTGGTACATTAGGTAGTATCCCGCCGTTCTTTTCTCCTCTCTCTTGGCTGCACCAGTGGCCACCTTCTATCATCCACGTGACCAACAGCCCAATAAGGAAAACGTTGACGATACCCTAGAAATACGGGCAGGCCTACGGGATCCGGAAGATTCTGAAGAAGGAATATTGGGATTCGAACTTGTGTTTTTCAAGATGCATTCGCAAAACGGACGCTTGCAAAGGGGTATCCTAATTATTTACCAAGAAACAGATCGTCGACCATGAGCAAGGAAAGCGTGCACCAGCCCGGCTACTCGGGGTCCTCCTCGATGAAGTAGATTCCCAGATCATCGATGCCCGAGTTCATGAGCTCACTGTCGGGTATGGACGAGACATGGTCCCAGATCTTCACGTCGAGCTCTTGAAACCGACTTTCAAGGAGGGGACGACAGCTTCGTTCTATTCCAAGAGCCAACAGGTTGCGAAGATTCTCGTCCAATGCCCTCGAGAGCGCGAAGGAGAAATCGAGCTCGGCATCGTGATCTGAGAAATACTCCTTGGTGATCTCGAGGACTCGCAGGGGCAGTATCGGAAGTTCGCCTTCCTCGTCTGCAACGTCAGGGACATTGGGTGGGACCATAAACAAGTACGGCAGGAGGTCCCAGGGCAGCTTCAGATATGTCAGCTGCTGGAGCTCGTACAGAATCTCAGAGCCCATGCCGTTCTCGAACATCTCGAGATTGCTCCGTCCAAGGGTGAGAGCCTGGAGATGTGTGCAGAGGTGGTCGTGAGAAAGGAGATCCTCCATCACCGGCGTATCGAAGGAGATGCAGTGCCGGAGCACAAGCCGCGAGAGACTTGGGGGCCATTCAAAATCCAGCATGAGCTCGGCATCCATGGAGCCACCGAGAGACATGGTAGACAGCTTCGAAGGCCAGCGCCCATCTTCCTGGGTGGTGCGGGTGAGGGCCATGCTCCTTGGCAAGTGGAGAGTCTGAAGCTCCGGCAACTTGTGCACGAGTTGCTTGAGGCGTGGGAAACCGAAGACCGAGCCAGGGACTAAGCTCATGTCGAGATGCTTTAATCTCTGACATTTAGCAATTATTCCCAGGCAGTTGACTCTATATTGAAGATCATGTGAGGGTCAGATGATGCGAGAAACGACTAGAACTGAGTATCAAACGCACGAAAGGATGAAACTTACGCGATGCCCATCTGTGGAGCTGTGAATGAAGTCAAACTCTTCTTCACATTACCCAAGAGCCGCGCGGTTTGGCTGTTCGAGCTCTGATGCACAAGTCGGCTCATGTTGAGGTCCTCCACCCATGAACCAAAGTCCGGCGTTCGAATGTGTCCCCTTCTTTGTTGATTTTGAATCGCTCGAGACGGACACACTGTTTTCATAAACAAGGTGAACTTGTTGCCTCGCCAAAGTTGAGGAGCAACGTAGAGAGCCTTGATTGCGGCCTCATACCATCCGAACGAAACGAGGCAAAGATTCCAGAGGTCCCGTTGCCGTTCATGCATTCCTCGATCATTTGCGTCGTATGCGTCATCAGCCAGAAGATGTCCAACGACCATTAAGCGTATTTCGGCTGGGAGGTAAATAGTGGAAGTCGTCGCCATGATGTGATCGAATAGTGAACCGTTTGTTTGGGGATTGCAGTGGGAGGGGTTTGAAGTGCAGCAAGCGCAGATGGTGCGAGTGAAGCCATATTGCCTCGCGTGTTTGGCGGTCGGATTGGCGGTGATTACTTGTATATATGGACCGATCGGTCTTCCTCCTAGATGAGGGTCAATTGGAGCTGCCCCTCGACAAAAGAATGCATATGGGCAGTATGCATATGCACTGAAGCAGCGTCATCAGAGCTTGCAGGGCGGCAGTCCGGAGAAAGCGATAAAGGGTGGGGCGGAAGCGGAAGTCGACCGGAGATGATATCACTTCCCGAGCCTCAGGGATGGTTAATTCGAGGACTGTATTCTCGTCAAAGTCCGGCAACCATTCTTGAAGCTTGCATATTGAGCCAAAATGAGGCATTTCACAGCATTGCGTTCGCTCAGGCTGTCTCATATTGCCCGTACCGAGCGCTCATTGGGTCTTCGGCCTGTTCACACGCCCAGCAGCACGCGCATACCGAACTTCGCCTTCGCGTTCGAGTAAGAACAACGTATTTTCTGGTTCCTTTTGCTGCGCTCGATCTCTCATCATCTGCCATAGCATCGACGGTGTTCTTCTCCGAGCCTCGAAACCAATTCCTGGCGCAGCCGAGTCATTAAGCCTGCTGAAAGACCAAGGCATTCCGTTCATTCTCCTGACAAATGGCGGCGGAAAGCATGAAACAGAGCGTGTTGCGGAAATCAGCGAAAAGCTCAATGTGACACTCGACCCGACTCATATAGTCCAGAGCCATTCTCCATTTGCGGAGCTTGTCAAAGGCGTGGACGAGACCAGTGCGTTGGAACATAAACGCATCTTAGTTGCAGGCGGCGATGGCGACAGCTGTAGGCTTGTTGCCGAAAGGCAAGTCATATCCCGAAGCCTTCGCTCCCTCTCACTTCAGTCTTTCCAATTTGAGTGGACACATCGCTGACAGAATCGTCACATCAGGTACGGCTTCAAGAACGTTGTGACCCCGGGCGATATCTTCATGGCCAATCCTTCCATTTGGCCGTTCTCGAAGAACTATTCGGACTATTACAAGTCGTTCGCACGACCCCTTCCTCCAGTGTCTGGGTCCCAAGACCCTACAATGGGTCTCAAAATTGACGCAATCTTTGTGTTCAATGATCCTCGAGATTGGGCTTTAGACACACAAGTGATCATGGATCTCCTGCTCTCCTCGAACGGTGTAATGGGTACCTTATCGGAGAAGAACGGCCGGCCCGATCTTCCCAACCATGGATACCAGCAAGACGGACAACCGCCCCTTTATTTCTCGAACCCAGATCTATGGTGGGCAGCAGCCTACCACCTACCCCGTCTTGGCCAGGGGGGTTCCGAGAAGCGCTAGAGGGCGTCTGGGCTGCCACAACTGGCGGTCCCGGTAAGGGGATTGAATTGAAGAAGACTGTGATTGGAAAACCCTATCAGCCGACCTACGAATTTGCAGAAAGACAGCTGCTGCGCAATCGTGCGCGGACATTCATGCATGCAACAGACCTTCCTCCTCTGCAGCGCGTGTACATGGTCGGCGATAATCCCGAGTCAGACATTCGTGGTGCCAATTCATACAGAAGTGAGGTGGGTAGCAGCTGGCAGTCTATTCTTGTGCGCACAGGCGTTTACAATGGCGGCGAGCCAGCATGGACGCCTCGCACCATCGCGGACGATGTTCAAAGAGCCGTCGAATGGGCATTGAAGTCTTCCAAGTGGACATAAGTCATGTATACTATCCTATGCATGTGATAGGATTGCGGTGTCTTGGATCCTTGATGCTTTGTCTCTATTAACTGCTAAAGCCTCATTTTGGAATTTTGCATCAGCATATCCTTCTTGCATAAACATTCTACCTTTTGCCCATTGGTGTGGTTCAATCTGTAGGACCGCCTTCTTATCTGCACCGTGAATGGCCTGATAGATCAGGCATTCGAGGCTATTCGCATCTTGCCAGAAGCAAAAGCAGAAGTAGAAGGAGACATAACGGTGGCAAGGTAGGCACTGTCCATTTTTGGTGGGAGAGTTTGTATCTCCCATATTTCGAGAATCACCAAAAGTCAACTTGAATGCAGAATATTATGTTTGTCAATCAAATCCAAGACCCGACTCTTGTTCTATAACTAAGGTTCTAGGCATGTAGCCTAGCCGTCATCGTCCACGACTCCACCATATTTCCTACGTACTTGACGCCGGACGGGAGCTGATCTATCACATGACCCATCCCCTCTTAGGGCTTAGGGCAATCAAGCACGGCGGGGTGACTCAGGACCAAGCATTGATCGTCATAAGAGCTTCTGGTCATCGTCAGATAATTGAGGTAAGGCACCGTCGCACGAGACAGGTTAGAAAGCCCCCTAAACTGACCGTCTTCCAGCAAACATGGCGGACTCCGAATTGCCCACTCGCCCCAAGACCGAATCCACCAACGAGGCCGCGCCCGCGGAAGGCGGCGACTCCAAAAACGCCAGCAAGAATGCGCTGAAGAAGGCCGCCAAGGAGAAGGCAAAGGCTGAGAAGGCGGCCGCTCGCGCGGCTCAGGAGAAGGCACAGGCCGCAGCTGCCGAAGCCAACGATACTGCAAAGGGCCTGTATGGTCAGCGTCCCGATTCCGAGAAAATTGTCTCGACTACCCGCTTCAGCGAGCTTTCGGAGGAGTCCTATGAGAAAGAAGTGACGGTCGTGGCGCGCGTTGACAATGCGCGCGTACAGAGTGCCAAGCTAGCTTTCTTGATGCTTCGCCAGCAGGGTCAGAAGATTCAGGCCGTCATCGCGGCTGCGGAGCCCATCTCTCGCCAAATGATCAAGTACACTGGTGGTCTGAATGTGAACTCGATCGTGCAAGTCACTGGTATCGTGAAGAAGCCCGAAATCCCTATCTCTTCTGCGACCATCAGCCACCTCGAGCTTCACATTCGCAAGGTGTACATGATCTCTGAAGCCGCGCAGATGCTTCCGATGCAAGTAAAGGATGCCGAGCGTCCTCCCCCACCGAGGCCGAGGAGGGACAAGTCGATGCCGAAGGAACCCCGCTCGTCACCTTGAAGACTCGTCTTGACAACCGTGTGCTGGATCTGCAGACGGAGACCAGCCAGGCCATCACCTGGATTTCTAGCGGTGTTGCTCAATTGTTCTCCGAATACATGATTAAGAGTGGATCTCGATGGATCTTCACACCCAAGCTGGTTGGTGCTGCCACAGAAGGTGGTAGCAACGTTTTCGAGGTCAAGTACTTCAAGCGCAATGCCTATCTTGCTCAAAGTCCTCAATTGTACAAGCAAATGTGTATCGCTGGTGACATGGAGAGTGTCTTCGAGATTGCCCCTGTTTTCCGTGCAGAGGAGAGCAACACCCACCGCCATTTGACTGAGGTAAGTTTTGCTTACAAGATGCGCGGCCTGAAAAAGTCCGGAGAACTAACTCATTGCGCAGTTTGCTGGTCTCGATTTCGAGAAGACCTTCCAGAACCACTACCACGAGGTCCTTGATTTCGCCGAAGATCTCCTTGTGTTCATCCTGACCCAGCTCAAGGAACGCTATGCTCCTCAAATCGCTATCATCCAGAAGTCCTACCCCAAGGCGGGTGACTTCAAGCTTCCCAAAGACGGCAAGGCTCTGCGTCTTAACTACATGGACGGTGTCGCCCTCTTGAAGGAAGCCGGTGTTGATATGTCTGAACAAGAGCGCTTCGAGAACGATTTCTCTACTGCCATGGAGAAGCAACTGGGCCAAATTATTCGCGAGAAGTACGACACTGACTTCTATGTCCTCGACAAGTTCCCAATGGCGGTTCGTCCCTTCTACACCAAGGCCGACCCCGCCGACAGCCGTTTCTCCAACTCTTATGACTTCTTCATGCGTGGTGAGGAGATCATGTCTGGAGCTCAGCGTATCAACGACATCAAAGAGCTGGAGGCTTCCATGCGTGCTAAGGGCTTGGACCCCACCCAGGAGGGCTTCGAGGACTATCTCAATGCGTTCCGCCAAGGATGCCCACCTCACGCTGGAGGTGGTCTTGGCATGAACCGTATTGTCATGTTCTTCCTCGGCCTGCCTAATGTTCGCTTGGCTTCGCTGTTCCCTCGCGACCCGCAGCGCCTGCGACCTTAAGCACGACTCATGTAGATAGCAATTGCGCAATCAAAAGCCAATGTTTCATACGATGACTATTGGACCCGACTTCAGCCGCAGAGATCTTCTCACGCGAACGCCCGCCGAAGTGCTTACTTAGGTTTCGTCGAAGAAGGCTAGAAACCTTAGTGTGTCTGAGTGGAGAGAACTGATATTGTTGTACAGAAGTAACGCATATTCACTCCACATAAGTGAAGACCTATACACATCTTGAAAGGGCCTCAAAGGCAGCCTACTCTAGCCTTTTGCTTAGAATCGCCCCGTACCAGACGGTAGCTATGAAGCTGACCATGTTCACCATGCTGGAAAGCCCATGAATCCGGCCAAATTTCTTATTGAGAGCCATCATCTCCTTGGAATGAGGGGGAGCATCGTAGGACTTTTTGCCATCGCGGGTTTCTGGTGCAAGTATTTTGTAAGAGAATGATCTCAAGTCAGGGCTTAAAGGGGAAAGTAACTTGCCTTGGTGCTTGCGCTCCCTCATGGTCTTCACAGTCAACGGACGCAGAACAAACATGTTAATCAACCCGGTGATTGCAACAGTAGCCATAGGAAGCAAAGTGTTCATCCGATTTTCAGGAGCTAGGAGCCCTGGTAGACCAAGGGCCTGCCCCTGTCTGCTCGCGGTCAGGGCGACCACGATGGGTAATGCAGTCTGCATCGAGAAATATACCGGGAAGATTGCGGTTTGCAATGTAGCGAATTGTGGTCGCGGAAGGGCCCGGAAAGCCACTATCCCTCCGACAAATGACTGAGATGTCTATGAGATACAAGAGTATACAGCATGTGTTCAGATTCGAGACGCCAACGTTACCTGGAAGACTTGGGTTCCCAGCAGGGTGCCATAGCTAGAGCGTAAGTCGTTAGAAAGATGTCCGGATGAAGCCTCAGCAGCGGGCAAAGACCCAGTAATCAGGACATACCTGAGTACATGATACGGGCGTGGATCGGTCATTGTGAGGTTATGATAGTGTTTCAGTTAGTTGGGCTAGCCTGCGGTCGAGATTTAGAGTAGAAGAGGCTCGCAGGACAGAAGATGAAGGTGGTCGGAGCTATCCATAACCACGGCCCTTGCCTCCAAGGAGTCCTTATTGCCAGTATGCCTGGTACACTGAACTTTCTATAGCCACGCACTCTCTGATCTGGCCACATTGATCAAGTGATGTCATGTGCGCGCGTCTGAAGCTAAACCAAATAGGAAATATCACGCGTCTGCCTATTCGCGGCTTTGGGAAGGAATTGAGGTCTAGTATTTTGCAGCTTTTTTAATTCTCTTCCCTTGCTTTGCCACAAAAGCAACCCAAGATGGCTGATAAGGAAGCCACCGTCTACATTGTCGACGTGGGAAAATCCATGGGGAAGTGTCAACATGGCCGCTCCGTCACAGATCTCGAATGGGCGATGCAGTATGTTTGGGACAGAATCACAACGACGGTGTGTGGTCAGCTTTTGTGTCAAATCCTTCTGGCAAATCTTAACTGACTATTCAAATAGATAGCAACTGGGCGCAAAACTGCGACAATTGGCGTGGTCGCGTTGCGTTCTGATGGTACGCGCACCGCTCATTCTGCTTGATATACTTGACGGCTAAGTGTGGTAGACACCTGGAATGACCTTCAGGAGGATGATAGCTTCTCAAAAATTTCTGTTTTACAAAAACTTGGACAGTAAGAGGCCTTTTCTGCAAAACTCTCAAGTTACCCCCTCGAGACTGATCTTCCAGATTGCTCATGCCCGAGATCCGGCGACTCCGGGATATCATAAAGCCCAGTTCCACTGACAGGGGTGACGGTAAGCTATTCGTGCGTCAAAATCTTCTGTAAAGCGAGCGCTGAGATAACTTCACAGCTATCTCCTCGATAGTGGTTGCAATTCAAATGATCAATACATACACCAAGAAGCTGAAATACAAGCGAAAGATCGTCCTCGTGACAAACGGGACGGGGCCAATGAATAATGAAGGTATTGAAGAAATACAAAGAAAGATTAAAGATGATGGGATTGAGGTCCTTATCTTGTAAGTTGCCTTAACAACAGCGCCCTGATGCCTCGTCGCTCATCAACATCATCAGGGGAGCGGACTTCGACGATGCTGAGTTTGGCGTGAAGGAAGAGGACAAAGACTTCCACAAGGTGAGCTTGAACCAATGCTCAACCGTGGCGCCATATTTGTTACTCATTGCGCTAGGCCGCGAACGAAAGCTTGCTTCGCGAGTTTGCAGACGGCTGTGACGGAGCCTTTGGGACCCTTGAGCAGGCTGTGTCCGAGCTCGAAATTCCTCGTATCAAAGTGACAAAGAGTATGCCGTCATTCAAAGGCTTCTTATGCCTTGGGGATGCGAACCAGTACAACACAGCATTGCGAATTCCTGTGGAACGCTTTTTCCGCACTTACGTTGCCAAGCCTCCCTCTGCGTCTTCGTTTGCTGTGCGATCAGGGGGTGGGACCGGGCAAGAGGGAATTGAGGATAGTGCCGGATCGTCATCGAGTAGTGGTGAAAGGCTGACAACGGTCCGAATGTCGCGCACGTATCAAATCAATGACGAGTCTGCACCCGGGGGTAAAGCCGATGTTGAACGAGATGACCTTGCCAAGGGCTACGAGTACGGACGAACTGCAGTCCACATCAGCCAGACAGACGAGAACATTACGACGCTCGAGACATTTGCTGGAATGGAGATCATTGGATTTATTCATATGGATAAGGTGTGCTCAACACACTTGTCTCTGTTGTGCGACAAATGCTGATGTCTCAATATAGTACGATCGATATCTCCAAATGTCGAACACCAACGTCATTATCGCACAGAGAGCAAATGACAAAGCGTCCCTTGCTTTATCATCTTTCATCCATGCCCTTTTTGAACAAGACTCGTATGCTGTTGCCAGACTTGTTACGAAGGAACAGAAGCCGCCAATGATGGTACTTCTCGCTCCGTCAATCGAGCATGATTACGAATGTCTTATTGAGGCTGTCCTTCCTTTCGCTGAAGATGTTCGCTCTTACCAGTTCCCACCTCTAGACAAGGTGGTGACTGTCTCTGGCAAAATTGTTACTGAGCATCGCAATCTCCCTAACGATGAGCTGAAGCAGGCCATGAGCGACTATGTGGACAACATGGAGTTGGATGCCGAAGAGTAGGCTTTTATATACCCAAAGACTACCCAGATACTCACACTGTCTTTGCAGGTTACCTGTTGAGGACTCATACTCTCCGCTTCTCCATCGAATCGAAGCCGCCGTGCGATATCGTGCAGTGCATCCCAATGATCCTGTCCTCGAGCCATCCGAGCAGCTCACCAAACTTGCGCACCCTAGCCAAGACTTAATTGAGAGGTCAAGCCCTTACTTAGACAAGCTCGTGCAGGCATCGAATGTCAAGAAAGGTCAGTCAATGTCGTCAATAGAGGCTCAGAACTTCGATGTATCTCAGTGACCAATATCCATGTGTACAGTGCCACCAAAAACCAAAGGTCGCAAGCGTCTGCGTGAAGCCGAAAAACCTCTGTCAGGTCTTGATGTTGATGCGCTTCTCAAGCAAGAGCCTAAGCGCACCGAGATCTCTGCATCTAATGCAATTCCCGAGTTCAAGCAGATGCTTTCACGAGCTGATAGCCTGGACGTCATCCATGATGCTGTGCGGCAAATGACTAGTATTGTTGAAAGGCTTATCAAAGACAGTCTCGGCGATGCAAATTACGACCGTGTCGTGGAGAGTCTTGGAACTGTGCGCGAGGAACTAGTGGACTATGAAGAGCCAACGCTTTACAATGACTTGATACGCTCCTTGAAAGCCAAAATTCTGAGCGAGGAACTCGGTGGTGATCGACTGGAGCTCTGGTGGCTAGTCAGAAAGGGCAAACTGGGCCTCATCGATGAGAAGTTGTCAAGTCTCTCCCAGGTCACTGAGCTAGAGGCGAACGAGGTAAGAATTGACCCGGGAAGCGTTGCTCTCGGTATCTTCTGCTAATCAATTTCCTAGTTCTATTCTGTGCATGGACTGGCCGAGCACTGCCATTCATGATCCAGACATAGCTATCCATAGAACTTGATCAAAGAGTTTGGTCTCAAACTTGTCCAAGTTTGGTAAAATCAAATTAGATATCACTTATCGCTTGCGCCGTTGGAAATATTTGCAGCGCTCGATACAAAGAAAGTAATTCTCGCCATGTCATGCTCATGCTGGGAATCAATGTGACATCAGAGAACGCTGTGAAGAGAAGGGAGATAGGGCGGTTTCGTAATGGATGTGACAACATCTGGCGTGCTGGCGACACAGGATATTGAATTGCGCATGTCTTAAGAGATCTTGCCAATTCTCTTTTTGGCAATATCAAGTTTAGCGTTCAGCCTGTAGACCTATGTTAGTTCCACATGTCACAAGTGCGAGGAGCTTCATATTTGGATACTAACCGATCGGTGTCCTCGTCTGCTAATTCCAACATTTCATTCTGGACCTCCAATTCCTCATGGATAGCGTTTCCTAGCTCTCGTTGTCGAATGATGATCTTCAGCAGCTCCTGCACATCCTGATCTTGGTCTCGCATTGTCTGTTGTTGTAATTGCAACACGCCTTCATTGTCCAGCTCGCGCGTGCGCTCGGTCTCTTTCCCGAGCACTCTTCCCGAGCGAGTTGCATTCCGGCGTCCTCCCGCCGCATCCATGTTGCTAGCCTTCAAGAGAGCCTCCTTGTCTTCAATCGAGGCAACAGCATTGTCCAGGCGACTCTTTGCAGCCATTGCGTGCAGTAAATCCTCCAACCCATCTCGTTCCTTGCGCGCGTTGATTAGAAGGTCCTTCCGTCTACGAAGTTCCCCGTCACCCAGGCTAGACGTTGACCTTGAGGGATCTTGATTTCCGCGCATGCCCAGATTTTTCAGCCCTTCCTCAAGGGTTGATATCATTGAGCCCGCGCGGACGAGACTTGACTTTGCTTGCGCTGAGCTTTCATGTTGTTTCTGGGGGGTTGTCTCCTGATCTCTGCGTGACAACTGTAGCCTGGCATCATGCAAGTGAGTCTTCATGTCGCGGTAATAGTCGAGCCACAGCGTCGGATCGTTTATGGAAGCATTGGCCGCCGAGCTCGGGTCCGTTATGGCAGCGTGTAGTCGGGATGAGGTTATTGTCGTTCCATTTGAACTTGACGCGGTTGCTACGGAAGGCAGATTCAGGAACGCTCGCCATGCGGATGAAGTGCGCCATCGCCCATCGGTCGCTTCATTTATGGCTCGGAGATATTGTTCAAGCCCGCGCCGACGCTCTTCACGGAAACGCTCGTTTGATACAGTATTGGAAAACCATGACTTCGAAGGGAGAGGGAGTGGGGGCTGAGCGTTTGTCTGGCTGATCAAGTCACTGTGGAAAGCCACGAAATCTGAATAACGCTTGGAGACGGTGAAGGAGCGGAGTGGAAGGCGGAGAGTAATGTGATAGAGAGTGTGTGGAGTGGAAGTGTGTGAGACTGTCGTTGACGGAATCGAAATCTCCACGGTCGGTGCCATGACTGATGGTTGGTTACGTTCAATTTTTCAGTCGACAGCTCCGAGTTTGTATCGGAGTGTCGAGACCGACGATAAGGGAGCTGCTGCGGTCGGGTGCGGATGTGAACGCCAAGGGGGAACGGGGCCCATGACGCAACCTCCCGAGGTGGTTTTCCCGAATAATCAGGCATCAAGCGGCATTGACTGAGGATCAGGTGATTTGAGCACCGGAGCAGGTTGATTTATTCAACCCTTTTTGAGACGATATTCTCCTCAATGACGACGGTGATTGAAGATGATTAGGCGCATTGGTTGCCTCCAGTCCATAGAAGGACTTGGTCATGCGCAATATGGGAGTATTGTGTGGAGTTGCTGCAGATAACCCGCAAGCTTTAACATCAGGTTCGTAAGGAACCTCACAAGTTGCGGTTATAAATTATTGTTGCCGCTAGTCTGTCAGCTGGTGATAATCACCACAAGGCTGAAACCTTCACCCGTCAACTTTCGAGTTCTACTGTCTCGTGATGGGCATTCTCCAACACCCATACCTCTCGCAACTCGAGAAGGTCTCGTTGACCAAAAAATTCGCCCACGACAGTGAGAATCATATCTAGCAAGATGCGCGCTTGCTGAGCTGAGTCCCCACTAGGCTGTTCAGCAGCTCGATCTTCTTGCTCAGCAGCTGCATCTTCGTCTAACTGAGCTTGTAGGCGCGATTTCGCTGCCTCGAGTGCGGATGACAAGTCCGCATCGGCCATGTCCATATCTGACTCGGCCATGTCCGTGACTGCGTGCTGTGATGAGTCTGACTCGTCTTGCATGATTGCGTCTGCCTGGGCCTCTTCTGAATCACCACCGGTATCTGAATCATATTCGTCACTGTCTTCGTTCGAACGCCTGAGCTCCGCCTCTCGTATCCTGAGTAATATTTTGGCTGCGCGTTTTCCGAAATCACGAATTTCGCCTACTTGGTCAGTGGCGAGCTCTCCAACTTCACGACACTTTCCCAGAAGGCCCCAGGCCCATGCCCCGACTCTTCGGACCAAGGCAACATCGCCACCTCTAACGCTCTCTCCCAGGCCCCGCGCCAAAATTGTCAGCACCCGAAGCACACTTGCCGAGTCCAAGCATGCGAGTTGCACCATGGTAGGTTCTTCGGTGAGCAGTAGTCGTCGCCACTCCTTTCGAGCGGCTGTACTTCGGTCTGGGAGGCTGATCGGATGAGCGTCATCGAGAGCAGCGATAGCTGATGCTGGAGGTATGCAGCGGAGTGTTGATCGAAGGTAAAGAAAACGGTGGCGGAGGAGATTATAATAAGATAGCTGGGCGTCGGGATAACCATCGTCGAGCAGAGCGATCGGCGGTTTGTCGGCCGTAGGGGGTGCTATGTAAGCCTCGTCTTCGTAGAAGCCAGCCGGAAATTTGTGCGTGTCTGTCGTCTCGTCGAAGACGCTGTTGGTTGGTTCGGCGTCTTCATTTCGCTTTCTTGCCGTTGGTGCAGTGAATAGGGATGGTAGCGATCTTGCTTCGGATCTATATTGAGATATGAGCGACGGTCAGACCCTGAAGCGCACTATTGTACATGGGCTAGGGTACGTAGAGAAATTCAGCAGATACAGCACATCAGCCACAACGAAAAAAGAACTCACCGAACCATGCGCAAGTATTCTATCCCATCATCTGCCGATCCATAGAAGAGTTCGTCCCCTCCGTCATCAAGCCCTGGGAAGGCGCTCTTCTGCCCGAACGTAGGGTCATTTTTGGGTCTTTCTTGGTTATCAACCGATTGAAAGCTTTCTCTATCGCCTGAATCATTTAGGCGTGGTCTTTTAAAGGCTGGTTCAGACATGGAAGGCTTGCGCTTCTCGGGCATTGTCATTGAGTGTGGAAAAGGTGAAATTGTTGCGGAAAGAGCTCGGGCTCAAGGCTCTTATCGGCGATCTTGAGAATACGGGACCTTATCGGAATTATCGAAGTATACGCGCTTATCTCGCTTATCGGCTTGCGGCTGTTTCCCGATAATTTAGGCCTGATGCAAATGGAAAGAAGAATTGAATATTCGAATACAATCTTCGGAGACATGACGACCTCTCAAAGTATAAGGGAACGGTTACAGAGATGAAGAGAGTTCTTGTTTTGAAGTTATGGTCGCAACTCAGGCCCTTCGTGGAAGGTCTTGTTATTAAATTTCCTCTTTGGGAATGGTTGCAGGCCCACCACGTGGGTGGATTGGAAGGCTCGATCGTCCAAAACAAACAACCCGGCAGCTGGACCATAGAAAAGACACGCCAGCTTCACTACTTGAAAAGTGTGTTAGGTGAGTTTGAAAGAATTATTCTTTTTCCAAGGAGTCTCGTGAGTGGAGCCCAGTGCTAGGATTTGAGTTCCAGGAATCCCCCCATCAAGAACGTTAAACCTCCTGACCATCAATCACCATAGACGCTAAAGCAATTGGAAATTGCTCGATTCCGATACCATTTGCAAGCCTACTGGTCATACAAATCTGGCAATGTAGCTCGTTTTTCTAAGGTCCCGTTATCACCTCGAAGTGATCGGTCTGATCAGGTTGAAACATTTTCAGCATGCCGAAAATCTGTTGCGAGGAACGTCTCATACATAATCTGAGGTTGATTGCGTCGAGTCGCTTCAAATGAAATGAAGGACAAGCTTGTATTGAATTGACAACCAAGATGATTTGAGTGTGTGTGTTTGATGTGAACAGATGGTCCTTGTTACTTGAATGTGGCAGAGAGTGGATATATATTTTGGTTGGACGAACATGCGGGTAGAGGCAAGGTCCTCAATATGAAAATAATTTGTAGAGGGTCCGTGAGTGACGAAAGGTGATGGGCACAGAAATACCTCATCACCCGAAGGTGGTATGAGTGTGATGAGACTGCTGGGGCGAGGAGACTGGAAATGGCTTCAAAGTGCAGTTGCGGTGGTTCATTAATTTGGTTGATACTGCGGGTGGAGCCCACCTGACCGGAGCAGTTTCGGTGATGGTGCCCGGATGACAAAGGTGATGGGGAACGAAAAGCCTCACCACCCGAAGGTGGCACGAGATGGTCGAAAGTGCTGAGGCGAGGAGAGTGGGAATAGCTTCAGGACGCAGTCGCAACTGTTGGGGACTGTTGTTGATCTTGCCGGGTGGAGCTCAGCGGGAGATCGCTGTCTGGGGTCTGCTGCACGGTCCACTGTGGATACGAGTTGTCAGACTTCACAACACGACCCGAGAGACTCAAGTGCTGCTAGCAGAAGGCGCTCTGCTTACGCTAGACCGCTTGAAGACCTGTAGACAAGAGTTAATCTCGAAAACGCCAAATATATCTAACGACGGGTGAGTGGCGTAGTGGTAATGGCCAACCACTGCTGCATAAAGCGAGTCCGCGTTCGATTCCGCGACGGGGAGGTCACCCTGGGATCGAGGCCCCGAGGGGTCGACAAACTGCTGCATTGCGCTAGGAGTTTTATAGCCTGCTCCCCCAGATGGGGATATGAGGGTGAATTTTTTTGTAAAATTTCCGAAAAGTTGTGAGATGTATAGCCATGCCGATGGGCTTTCTGGTAAACCCACTTTGGGCTTGTTTAATTGACATCTTGATGCCATGTTTGCCAAACAAAGTTGTTGACCTCGTAAATGTCAAGATGTGACGATGGACGGCTCGGAAGACGATTTTCGGCATCACAGCTTCCACAAGAGGGGGGAAATTATGCTGAGGGTGGGAACGTGTTCTTCAATACCTAATCAAGTGTTATGGTCAGTTTGAGATTCTGAAATGATGCAATGAGCTCTCTGATGCGTGTTGAAGTTGGCAAATCCGGGATTTTGAAGAGTGACATGGCACATATGTGAACGGACTCATCCTACCAAGAGGCGCGAAATCTTCAAATTCCACCATCCGGTAGAATAGCCATTCGCCTAGTCGTTTGTGCAATTTGAAAGCCGGAGCTGCAAAAATGAAGGTGTGACGCGTCTATCCCCAAGTCGAGTCGTAGTCATTCCAGCGGGAGTTGAATGTCAACATTTGACGCTTTCATCCGCAGAAGCCGCACCACAAAGGGGAAAATTATGCCAAGAGTTGCTGGGTGTTTCTAGGCTTCGGCCCAATGATATAACAGGTTTTCATGATGTTTCTCATCAATTCAAGCTCCTAGGAGACAGTTCAATATGGTGAGTCAGATATGAGATGACGAGCAACAAGTACTTAGGGTATGAGTATCTGTGATGGTGACTTAAGAGAATCATTTACATACCAAACGATAGCTGAGAAGCTAGGCTTTTCGAAGGTAAAGAGCCTACTTCAATCGATGGGGTGTGGGTTGAGCTATCTTGATTCTCAGTCCTCAGGTAGTTTTCGCTGTTCATGAAACGTAGTCATCTGGGAGCCAAGTCAGCCACCACACCCTCCAACACAATATTTGAGGGCCCCAAAGCAGTACATCAAGAACATGATATGAGAGCTTCCAAAGAGCCAGGAAATTGTTCAAGGCTGCTCGCAAAGAATCTGGGGAAATCTTGTTTTGAGGCGTGAGCCGATAGCGCAAAGGAGGCCGGTTGAACTGACCGCTTGAGACATGTCTCCTCGAAACCCGTAACATCATTAAAAACGCTCGAACGAGGCAGATTCCAGATATCAACGTGCGTATTCGTGATTTAGGCTACAGCCTGACTCCTGCCTTCGATCCAGGCAAACGACCAGTGGTGGTTGACTCAAGCTCGTGGAACGTTCTCCACTTTGTTCGGAAAACCTCGACATTCGGTACGTATGGCAGCCTACTGGAATGGATCAAAATGCCTCAACGAGAAGGTGCTTAGTTGGACAATGAGTTATGATGTTGTGATCTGGTAGATTGATGTCTCTAAATTGATTGAGCATATTCCCTTCTTTGTAGTATACTTAGTCGGGACCCTGCGCGTGCGGCCGGATAGAGTATCACGCACTCTCGTTTTTGGAGCGAGGAAGTGTGAGGTGATGAATGTGAAGAATGAAGGAGAATGAGCGGATATGCAAGAGCAGTGTTGTCGGGAGATGGAGAGCCCTGAGTCAGATGATCAGCACGGTCAGTCTCATCAAGGACGCCCCATGCTGAAACACGACAGCCATGATCTAGCTTCGTTCTAGTGCGAATAAACATTATTTGTCACATGGAAGATCGAATTGGAATTTGATGATCCGTCTCGAATTTGAACGAAGTGCCCTCGAGGCAAGGGTACTCGTAAGGTGAATGGGGATGATGGTGAGGGGTATAACTTTTCCACCGATTCCTCTCTGGTCATCGGACCTGGCATGTGACTTCGACCACTCAACCAACCGGTGATGTCACTACAGGCATATGCTGCATACCTCGTTTGTTGGATGTCAGTCGGTCAATTGAATTAGCTCAAGCCATAGACACTCAGGTGGATCTTTGTACAGGAGAGTGGAGGTCCTACGGCATCATCCGTGACCTCCACCGTGGCGGGTGGGTCGATTTCGTAGTGGAGTTTCCTCCATAACTACATGAGAGCGTTGCAGGTCGGAAGAGGTCGTCAATTTAAGCATTGGCAGCATGCTTGGCCTTGACACCATGCTGACAGCTTGGTTTTGCTGCTCAACGAACAATTTTTACTCGGCAAAGTTCCCTTGCGGAATTACATTCCTCCGAGAGTTTCACCGGGCCGGCTCAAGTCGTCCATGGCCGATGATTATGTCATGATCTTCTTACGTCTGCCAGGTAGCCGAGGTACAACCGACTCATGCAAGGATGTCCACCAAAGTCAGGTCACACTGCTTGAAGAGCACACGTTCAGTATCTGAGAGACTACAAGCGGAAAACTAATCTGTGAACCCTCAAGTGATTCAGTTTCCTTTGTTCGCTTCTGCCAAGCTGGGTTCTGTTTCATGAGCTTAGTCACGCCGCCCATCAGCACTGCAATTGGTTCCATTCCGGACAATTGCGTGAGGCGGTATTTAGCCGCAATCTGTAGAGCCTTATGAGCCAATCATATCCCATCAAATATCATGCAAGGAATCGGTCTAGCGGCTGTGGCTGGCAAAGATTAGGTTCATTCTGCATGGCAGCACTACCTTGATGGAGTTTAAATCAAGCGCCGCCCATTATTTCGAGAGACAATTTCAACAGTTTTAGTAAGGTGAGGCATCGATCTCCAGGCAGTTCAAAGCTGCGCCCCTCACTGCTGCGTCGTTGTGCCGGAGTGGTTCGGACTGGAAGGTTGACGGTAATTACAGCCTGTACCCGTCAATGACACAGGATGACTATATGCGTCTGCGAGCAGACCAAGACCACGTGGCTCCTTTGATTAGAAAAAGTGGAAGCCGAATTCCGCTGTATCCGCTACTTCAGATCGAAATTGCCGGTCAAGGGGGAATGTCAGGTTTTATGAAGCGAAAGTCATGCTCCGACACGGTATATGAAGCCCCTTGCAGTTTGCCCAGATCTGCCTTGCCTCCCAGTAACAAATCTGTTCAGCAAGTGCAACATACTTTCTGATCGTCAGGATGGCCTAAACATGGGTTACTTCAAGATTTTGACGTCGGTTGATATCGACGCGGGGAATGGGAGACAACATGAATGACCCGTCGAGATTTCCAGTAGCGGCATCGAATCTCGGCCCAAATACGCAGTCAAGCGAGACGACAGTATGAGACTGCGGAATGCCATTCCTTCGCATCTTAAATGAATGGGTATTCTTATTCTGATGGCGCCATTAGGTTCCCAGGAAAGTCTATCTATTAGGTCTGAAGAAGGAACAACGAGAGTGCAATGTAGACCTCGCGTTTGGTTCGCGTGGAAGCCAGGCAACGGTACAAACACAAACACCTTGTCTACCCGACTTGAAAAAATCCGAACGTGCGTAGTCGAAGGAGCCTGTTTGGCCGCATACCAGAAGACCTGAGTCCAAAAGTATGAAGCAGAAGACAACTGTGGTAGCTACATGTAGACATGAAGGCTTCAAAATGTTAGTCTGCGAAAACTTGACTGTATTCGCGAGTTTGCTTGATATCTGCGGGTTTCCATTCTCTAGGCAGGCACCTCGTGCATGTAGACAATGACCTTCCCGCGTCGGGATTGTTTGCTTACCCTAAACAGAGATAACCTGGAGAGGCTGCAGCCTTGAAATAGTATTCTTGAGTGGGAGAGTGTGCAATTCTGCTCAAGTATAAGAAGGCCCAAATTTCAAGCTGGTCTTCTCTTTTTCTTCGTCGGCTTTCACGGTTAACACAACGACACAACAAGATATCAACTCACCTTCGACTGATATCACCTCTTTCGACTCCCTTTCATCTCAACCGCCACACACACTTACCTCACTCTCACCTTCCCTCGACGCATCGTCTCACCTCACCACGATGCACTTCGTCATCCCTCTTCTGGTCTTCCTCACGACCAACTTCTGGGGACTCTTCCACACAGTCCCCTTCACGACCATCAACCCCTCCTGTTCGGTCTTGGAGCGCGCCCTCGGAGGTGTACAGCTGGCGAGCACCCTGTACACCCTCGACCAACTCCCATGTCTGGTCTTCGAGGACACCTTGTCCGGCCTCCTCACAAAGGAGTACCTCCTCGACTGGAACGCCGTCATCCTGGGGCCTGCAACGGAGCCAGCGATGACAATCAGTCCTGGCTTTCGTCCCGCTCTGGCCCCCGTGACCACCTCCACCGGCCTGTCTTCCACGCCCGCCTCGCCCACCTCGCCATTCGAGTCGACCGCGACATCCACCTCTGGCCAACAACGCGCGGACTTCACAGCGCAGGCCCATGTCGAAACGGTCAGCCAGTACGTCCTGTTCGCGGTCTTCGTCATCGTCATCTGGCTCGCCATCAAGTGGGCCGAAGCGATGGGTGGCATCGTCTCCGCCAACAGCCAGCTTGGACAGGTACAAGTCCAGCAACGGGCTCTCTGGGAAGGTCAGGAAGTCATCCGGACCGGGATGCAGACGCTCTGGGAAGGACAACTGGCCTTTTGTGACGGACAACAGGCGATCTGGAACGCACAGCAGGCTCTCTGGCACGGCATGGTCGCCGGCAGTGACAGTCTTGCCTTCCTGATCGACGTGGCCCAATCAATACAGGCCACAGACAGACCTGTCCCGGTCGTGGAGGATCTGGACATCGATGAAGATAGTTCAGCAGTCAACCGGACTCTGCATGAAGTCTTGGCCAGCTTGGATTCGCTACGCCAGACCATCGATCGCCGGATTGACGCCTTGGAGGACTTGCGGTCACAAGATGACCCGGGGGAGACCTAGAGGGAGGTCAATGGCAAGGTGGTCGTGGACACGGAGGAGGAGGAGAGGGAGGAGAATGACGCCATCGCGGCGAATGAAAACTGCGATGGTGAGGGAACCTTGGTCTTGGGGGATGAAGCAGGTGGATTATCCGCGTGGCTCATGCCCTCATTGTATTTTTACTCATACGATGGTTGTTGTAAATGCAATCATTGTTTCCTTTTCAAGGGTTTCCGCGTAGTATCAGCAAGGTTTTAAAGTAAGAGTAAGATTTTTTTTTTTTTTTTTTTTTTTTGATATCTCAACGTTGAATGAGAATGAACGACCTTCATCGCGCCGACTACTCGACGAGGTACTTCCGGCACGCAGCTTTGAGCATCTCGATGCGCCTTTGCGTGTGGATGAAGACCTCGCGATACATGTCGAGACTCTGCTGAACGACGTCCTGTCGTGTCTTGGCGCCTGCACATATCTCAAGCATTTGCTTTTCCATTTCCTTGCGTAGGAATGGCTTGCTGAGGGATATGCTGTTGGGAAGACCAGAGACAACGTTGTCATAGCCTTCCACCAATGCAATACCCAAACGCGTTGGGATTAGCTCTTCAACTTTATTTCTACCGGTTCCCCGTTTATTGACGACCACATATTGCCGGTCCTTGATCTTGGCAATGTGCTCTGCCATGGTTGCGTCCGTACCAATGCCGTTGGCATCCATGAGACCAATCAGCTCGGGTTCGGTCAAGTAATTCGGAGCGGTGGTCTTCCCTTCGGAAATATTCGCTTCTGTAGGCTCGAAAGTCTCGCCTCGTTCAAAATGTGGAAGCTGCTGGCTGCTCTCCCATTTGTCATACACGTAAACGTCGAGGTAATTCCGCTCTAAGACAAGCAAGCCGCTGGCGTGGAAAAACTCATCGCCGTATTGGATCTCTACGTCAGTCCCTGATCCTTTGGCATCGTCTGAGCAGCACGCGAGAAACCTTCGAACCACAAACTCGTACACTTTTCTCTCATTCTCATTCAGAGATGTAGGAGAGACCCAACAGACAGGGTGGATTGGGGGATGAGCCTTGTCGTTGTTACGACCGGACCTAGGTGTTCGGAATTTCCCTTCGATCAAGCTTCAATGATCTAAATCAGCATCATGCGTGTCGACCCGCCTCGATCGACCACGAAGAAAGGAACTCACTCTTTCGCATATTGACCCCATCGGTCGTCTGGGAATTGTTTTTCGACAAGCTTTTTCAGATCAATGGCCTTATCAAATTGATCCGTTTCGGTACGCGGATAGCTGATGAAACCTTTTGTGTAGAGCGCCTCGGCAACCTTCATAATCGTTTGACTGTCTATCCGAAGAAAGCGACTGCCCATCATTTGCAGATCAACAGTGGTCAAGGGCAAAGGTCTCCATTTGCTTTTTGGTTTCTGAGTGACCTTGGTCACCTTAGCCTGCTTTGCCTTGAGACAGCGTTCCAACATCATAGTAACAGCTGCGCGATCGAAGAGATGGACACGCCTCCATAAAAAGTTGACCTTCTTGCGCTCCCGCTCAAGCATAACCTTGATACTCCAGAAAGTTTCCGGCTTGAAGTTCTGAACGCGAAGGTATCGATCCACGACGAAGCCAAGAGTCGGAAATTGACATGATCCTACAAGTAAAACGTCAGCACAAGTATTTCGAATAAGATGCACGCACTACCTACCATAACTGATGACTTTTTCCTTCAGTATAGCCGCCACTGCTTGCAATTGAAGCGTTTGTAAGCGAGTAAAGGCAGCGCCGATTCGCAGATCGAGCTCGATTCTGGCGGCCACGGCATTCGCTTGGAACTCATCAAGCTCCACTGGTGCACGAGCTGCTTGGAGGACATGACTATCCCTGTCAGTCAAGTCAGATTCCTTTTGGTAGTCTTGTCCATCTTGCTCGTTACTCACGCTCTTTCCGTGTTGCTGAACCTGGCACGCTTTACTTCAATACGTCCATTGCCAGCCTTGGCTTGATTCCGCACCTCAGTACCAATATGTTCCCCTTCACGATCGCAGTCAGTCCAGATGAACAGCGCTTTGCTGTACCTGGCTTGATTGCGAATGTTCTCCGCAATCGGCTTTTTGTCCTGTGTGCAAGGTTAGATTTTCAGCTCGATACTCGAAGGTTTTGGGTCAGCAAGACCTTGTCTACATCTTCCTGAATTGGAGCCTCAAATAAAGCGCCTGGAGGGCAGGACATCCAGCCTTTATATTGGGATGCGAAATCCAGTCCTGTAAGGTGGCCGATCACACTGGTCATGGTAACTGAGCATTGCCCCCAGGACCCGCCAAAGTTGAACTCGAATTCATAGTTCTTGACGTATTGGTTGCCTCGAATTGCATGCTGAATCCATGACTTAGCTAATTCCTGCTGTTGATTGGTAGGATCCTCCAGGGATGCTTCATACCGTCTGAAACGATCCGCCTGAGAGATGAGTAGCCACGGCACGGGCAATTGCAGGCTTCTCAGCTACACAAAGAATCTTGCGTGTCATGGCAATCCTACTGCGCTACAGGATGGCAGAAGACTCCACGGCAAAAGAGAGCAGCATCATATTCTAACGGGAAGGCCGTTTTGTTTAGACGCGAGTTCATGCCTGAGGCGAGTAAAGGAAGCAGATCGGAGGAATGACGCGCTGAGGTGCCTGAGGACCCCACAGATCGCGAGCGCCTTAACCCGATGAGGTAACACAAGCTAGCTGGAGGTTCCCTCCGCGAAAGATCCGGACTAGCGAACGCCATTTAAATATCGTTCTTCCACCCCTAGTGCCTCGTGTTCTTCCGAGCGATTTCTCTCTATTTCTTGGTCGAGTCCTGCAGCTATGGCCTCACTTCCACTTCCCCGCGTCGACTCTGTCGCGGATTATACCTCATTCAAGCTCACCGTTCAGCCTTTCCTCGAGCAGCTGCAATGGCTACCCGCAAGTCTGCGGGAGGCCGGTCTCAACTTGAATAACCTAAAGGAAGTGTATCTCGCCACCAACCCCATGGTGTTTGCCTTTACGCTTTGCTCTGTGCTGGCTTGCGGCTTTTTTGCGGCGGCCGAGTTCAATCGCAACTTCTCTCAAGTGGATCGCTTTTGGAGCATCCTGCCTGCTGTGTACAATGTCCACTTTGCTCTTTGGGCACGCATGTCTGGCATTCAGACTCAAACTATTTTCACGATCGCCGTGCTGAGTGTTCTGTGGAGTGTATGCATGCCTTTCCCCGCCTCGGTAAACGAGTGATGGACTTGCGCTAACTCTTTGACCCCCATAGGCGCGCTTGACATTCAACTACTGGCGCAAAGGAGGCTACAAGATTGGTTCCGAGGACTACCGTTGGGAAATTGTGCGATCGCAAGTGAACAACACTTTCCTGTTCACCATCTTCGATTTCACTTTCATCGCGGTGGCTCAGTCCCTTTTGCTCCTGCTCATCACTGCTCCAACCTACGCTTTCGTCGTTGCTGCTTACAACCAAAGCAGCGAGGTCTTCACACCCGCTGACCTGTTCTTCTCCCGTTCTACTATCTTCATCCTGATCGTTGAGTTCTTCGCCGACCAGCAGCAGTGGGATTTCCAAACTGCCAAACATGAATACCAGAAGACTGCGCGCATCCCTGAGCGTTACAAGGACAAGTTCACGCAGGAGGATCTGGAGCGAGGTTTCGTCGTCAGTGGTCTCTGGTCATGGTCGCGTCACCCCAACTTCGTTTGCGAGCAGCTTGTTTGGTTGACTCTGTACCTCTGGGCCGCCTTTCGCACTGGGACTTATTTCTCTTGGATCGGTCTTGGTGTCGTCGGCTATGTTCTGATTTTCCAGGGGAGCACCCGTCTCACTGAGTCAATCAGTGCCAAGAAGTATCCCGAGTACCGCGAGTACCAGGCTCGAGTGGGGAGATTCATTCCCCGCCTCTCCGTGGAACCGAAGAAGATCAAGCCGGCTGCGAAGAAGGCCGCTGCCAAGATCGACGAAGTTGTCGGTACTGAGAAAGCGGAAGACAAGAAGAGCAAATGAGCAGGAAGTATTGCTGCTTGCTAGACTTTCCGCCGATCTGGCCGAAAATTTAGTGCATTGCTTGCTCCTGTTTTGCACATTCGGTTGGCGCCGCCGTGTCGGACTGATTATACGCTGATTTAAGTCTCACTTTTCCTACATACACCTCTCAACTCCCCGTCACTTTGTCCCATATGTCATAATCTGAATCAAATTGCTTTCATGAGCAAGACTAGGAAGTATTTTGTGTAGCTGGAATGTGATGAGATGTACATGTAGATTCACTCAAGCAGCTGTCAGCGCTCGGGGTCCGGCCAGACGGGATGACGATCTTCCGAAGTGCGTTCGAATGGGTCTGGCCTCACTCAAGAGCGTGCAAAGTGCCTTGAGCTTTCCGGCCAGGATGTAGCTCTTGCGCATGGGTCGTTGAGCGCCAGTAGAAGCTCCAAGTGGCTGATTGGTACATTGGGCTTATAACATTGACCAGACTTAGGTACCTAGGTATGTACAGAGGACAGAAAGCGAATAACTTAAGTTGCCTATAGACATAGTCACGTCCATTCCTCAGACCTGGATATTCACCCGTCATCATGCGTGTTGCCGTTCTCTATGTTCCCAAGAATGTCACGGTCATGTGCAAGGATGGGTGTAGGCTGTAAGAAGGCCGCTTCATTGGTGGGTAGGTAAGAATTGGGTTGTATAGTACAAGGTCCTTTCCACCAAGACAAGATCTCTCGGTCTAAGCGCAAAGAGGGGAGTTTGATGATCTTCACATTCGAGACATGAACTGGTTTCTGGACGTTGGGAAAGGAGATGATATCAGACAGGATAAGCAAACAGAAGAGTGGCGGAGGGGGGAGTAGAAGACACAGAGAGTAGAAAGGAGGAGTAACAGGTTCATAAGTACAGAAGAAAGTGTGAGTAGGTAAAAAAAGTGTGACATAACATCGCCTGGCGACAAAAAGAAGAACAGACCAATCCCGATCTCTAGAAAGCCAAGCCAAATGCAGACCAGATTGCTAACATGATGAAGCAGAAATTCATACCGACTAAGAGTAAGAGCTGGCTTTCTAAGACGGAGGGATCGGAGTCTCATCGCGGCCATCCTTGCCAGCCGTGGTCTCCGGGTCGGCGGTGGGCTCATGGGGAGCAATGGTCTCGCCACCCTTGCCGTCAAAGTATTTGGCAAACTCGGCGCTGTCTGGCCACTCACGAGGACCTAGGAGACGAACCAAATCATCACGACCGAGCACCTCCTTGGACAGAAGCTCCTCTGCGACAATACCCAGCTCCTTCTTCTTGGAGCTTAGCAGGTCGTGGCACTGCTTGTATGCCTCATCCACAATGCGACGAACTTCCAAGTCGATCGTGCGGGCAGTGTCCTCTGAGAAAGGCTTCTGGAACTGCTGACTTGAGTCGTCCTCGTAGTGGATGTATCCGAGCTTCTTCGACATGCCGAATTTGGTAACCATGGCGGTAGCCATACGGGTGACCTTGTTGAAGTCATCACTAGCTCCGCTGGTGACAGTATCAAAGTGAAGCTCTTCACTAACTCGGCCACCCAAAGTCATTGCCATACGGTCCATAAGTTGATTCACGTTCATCAAGTAAGTGTCACCATTTGCGGGCAGATATTGGGCGTAGCCCAAAGCACCTTGACCTCGGGGGATGATTGAGACCTTCAACAATGGATCAGCCCACCGGAAGTACCAGCCACAAATGGCATGGCCGGCCTCGTGATAGGCAACTGTGCGCTTCTCCTCGGGCGACAGCACCAGTGATTTCTTTTCCAAACCACCAATCACACGTTCAATAGCTTGCTCGAAGTGACGCATAACAACCTTGTCGGCATTCTCTCGCGCAGCTTGGGAGAACCATTAGTATATTTTCAAGAACGCCGGAGGGGGAGGGGATGTGTGGACTTACCGACGAGGGCGGCCTCGTTAACGCAGTTGGCAATATCAGCTCCCGCAAATCCAGGAGTCAAGGCAGCAAGTCGACCTTCCAGGAAGTCCATGTTTTCGTCGGTGACGATCTTCTTGAGATGAACCCGGAAAATTTGCTTGCGACCATCCATTGTAGGACGGTCGATCGAAATGTGACGATCGAAACGTCCTGGACGCATCAGGGCCTTATCGAGAACGTCAGGTCGGTTAGTACCGGCCAAGACGACGACTTGCTCGGAAGTATTGAAGCCGTCCATTTCGGTCAGAATTTGGTTGAGGGTGCTTTCACGCTCGTCGTTGCCGCCACCAAAGTTGGACTTGGAACGAGACTTTCCAATCGCATCGATCTCATCAATGAAGATAATGCACGGTGTGTTTTTGCGGGCGTTTGCGAAGAGATCGCGAACACGAGACGGGCCAACGCCGACAAACATCTCCACGAATTCGGAGCCGCTGACGCTAAAGAACGGCACGCCTGACTCGCCAGCGGTCGCTTTGGCGAGCAGCGTCTTACCAGTACCAGGGGGGCCGGAAAGGATGGCACCCCGGGGAATCTTGGCACCAAGTCTCTGGAATCGCTCGGGTTGCTGAAGGAAGCTCACGAACTCCATAATCTCGACCTTAGCCTCGTCCATGCCGGCGACATCAGAGAACTTGATCTTGATATCAGTTTCGTGATTGAATCGTTTGGCACGGCTCTTGCCGATACCGAAGATGCCGCTCTGACCAGCTCCTCCAGCACCACGCCGGGAGAACCAGTAGATACCGCCAATGAGCAGCAAAGTAGGAGCAAAAGACAACAGAGCGCTACCCCATGGTACCTCATCCACATAAGCGACTGGAATTCGTTCGTGATTTGGGATACCAAGCTCGTACTGAGCCTGTTCGAGCTTCCTCTCGAAGCTATCTACTGAGCCGATGCTGAAGTAGACATGAGTCACGGGCTGCCCGGCACCCTCGGGATAGACTTGGTTCACGACTTCGCGGTTGAGATCGACGCGGACACGATGACCATTTGCGACGGTGAGCTTCTCTACAAGGCCTTTATCCAGATAGTTGGACCGGAATTCTTGCCAGGTAATTTCCCGGCCTGCACCCTCGCCGGGGAAGAAGCTGCGGTAGATGTAGTATGTGACGAATGCTGTGACAAGGAAGGATGCAGGATCGAGACGGAACTCAAAGACCTTGGGAGTTGGGAAGCCTTGGTCTTGTTTCTTTTTCTTCTGCTGGTCTCGGGCGGATTGCTCGTGCTCCTTGCCACCCTGCTCTTTGCTCTTCTGGCTAGCCTCTTCTTGTCCATCCTGAGACTTCTCGCCGTTTTTTTTCGCCTGCACATTGTCGTCCTGTTGATTTTTGGTGATGCCCCGGATATCTTCCTTGGCGAGATCGCTGGTGTACTTGAACAGCCATCGCATCATGCGAATGTGGTCCATCAAGGACGCATTTTTGTGCTTCTCGATAAACTGTCGGACTTCATCGGGCATGCCATTCTTCATCAAGTGTTTCCGCAGTGTTTCGATTGCCTCGTGCTGTGAATCTGGCATGCGGGTCTTGAGGTGTTTCACGAAAGCATCCAGCTTCAACTGGTCTTCCGAGCTCAACACCGACTCAGGCTCGCCACCCTTAGACTGGGAATTCTCGGAATCCTTGTTGGGGGGTGTTGGGCCACTGGTGGCATAGTTCCGAATACGAGAGGATGTGATAAGTGAAGACAGTCGAGACGGATGCGTTCGCAGAGAAGTCGTTCCAGCGCGGCCGAGGCACTCGGTGGCTCTCCTCGAGAATCGGGCAATGTTGCCAGGCCGCCGAAGGATTGAGGCCATTATCAAGAGAAGAGGAGCCCAGAGGGCTGTGAGAATGAGAGAAAGGGATGATCAATCGGCCTCGAGGTTGATGGACAACTTCGCGCTATCCTTCGAGCAATTCAAGGTTGCGGTGGAAAGCTGCCGAGCTGCGGCCACTTTCGGCGCGGGTTTTCCTGAAGCCCCGGTACTCGCTGAGTCATCGTGGAGGAGTCCGGGCCTTGCCGTCGATTAGTCCGTTCGATCGAGTTCCCGCCCATCGATCTTGATCTGGTTTAGAGTTGACGTGCAGTAGCTGTGCCCATCGGCTGCGATACGTTCCTTTACTCCTCTAAACATCCTTTCTTGTTGCAGGACGCTGCGAAGTGCTTACTACCGTCAAGGAGATGAGATGACCTGACCTCAGCATCGCTTTCGAGATAACGGTTAGTTACGTCCAGCCTGAAGAGGCAGATAGTGACGAGGTGAGCTTTGAGAGAGGAGATGCTCTCACAATTGATCGTCTCCATCAAGATCTGCTTGAGTCTATCAAACACTATCCGGAGTGTCTGTTTGAGACTTGAGGCGCACCTGCCGGAACCTGTCAACAGTTATGTCAACGAAGAGTGAAGAGGCGAGGTGTCGCAATGACGGGGAGGAAGACATTCACAATATAGGTATCACAGCTTCTGGACTCCATCTCATGGGTCTTGAGCAAAACTACTCCAAGCTCTCTCTTCCATATTTCCATGGGTCAAAGGACAGAAGAACAGGCATAAAGTCTTGATTAGTCCCGTAATTGCATCGATGTGATGCCCGCTATGGTAGCTCTCCCAAAATTTTGTCAATATCCGGGGCCAGTCTACCTCTGAAAACAAGTCAGTGTATCGATCCGAGACAGTTTTCCAAGTGGCACGGTAGACCAGCCATCGAAATGGGATTGCTAGGTATGCCCGTGGCACAAGACAATTCGCGCCCAGTTGTACGCCGTAACCATCCGGGCTCCATTCCAGGGCGTCAGGATACTCACAGGCCATAAACACCCAAGCTGGAATCACAATCAAAAGAAGATACAAGTCCGCGGCTATTTGCTGGAACGCTATTGCAGGCGTCCGAGAGAGTGAAGACTCGGCTCCACTCTTAACCCATGCACATCCATTCAGTAATTTCAGATGTCTCTCGGCTGAAACGGATGTGAAAGTCAATGCGATGCAGGACGTAGAATAAGCGCACTTCTCAGTGAAAGGAACAATAACGTAATAAGTGAAGCAACCCCTGCTCTGTATCCTGGCCTGCTCGTAGGCCTCGTCTGCTGATTCGCCAGCTTTGAGCTCAGGTGATCTCCTTGAGCCATGAATTCAGGCTACGCCTACATTACATGAATGCATACTACCATCCCTGCCGACGGGGTTGGCCCCATAGGTCAGTGGTTGATTTCTCTGCACCACGCAGAGCATCGGAAGTCCGACTCACATTAATAATGGTCAGGCAATGACTACTCCTGTAGGTCCCTGGGTCCTCTTTGTGACAGGATATTGCGCACGGGTGATGAGACTTACCTTCCATAAGGATGTTGTTCATGCACGGCTGTTCCGTGGAGCCATGCATCAAGACGTCAGGATCGCGCTACAGTGCCTCTCGACAACGACTTCGCTTGATGATCAAATGCACATCCCTTGGTCTGTTACGGATGCTGTTATTTTACATCCTGTCATTTACTCGTGTAGTCCAAGGGGATGGAAAGGACATGGTATGATGGTAGAGTATGAAAGATAGACTACGATACTACGATAGGATCTGACGCCGTTGGGGACCATTCGGCTAGTCAGTTCCCGCTACCAGTGACCGTATCCATGCGTGTAATTAGACTAATGAATTGCTCAAGGAGCGGGACATTCCGATGAGTTTCAGGTATAGAGACGAACTACTAGTAGCACTACTACTATGTACTGGTACTTCTCCTTGTTTGGATGATTCTGCCGAATCACCACCCACAAACCTGCACGTGAGATAGCCTCTCGTCCTTCCCTTCTCTTTTCACCAATACAGTTGTGTTTCTACCTTCTTTTTCCCTTCTTGTAGATCAACATCTACAAATACTCCTAGTTGCTGAAAAAGCTTCCGGAATGCCGAGGTAGCCGACAACCGACACCACACTTGGCACAATCTCCCCACAAAAGCTTGTCTGAGCTTAGCAGCGAGCTAAAGCCTACCCATTCCCGAACATTGGCCACAAAGTTTAACCCCTCAAAAGATAAGACTGGACTTTTGCCATAGTTACGTGTCCTTGGCCGAATATGTGTCATGGATTGCGGACCTCTAGATTATTTACCCCTCAGTCAGGGTTTCCTTCATCGGTCCAACACCTTATCGCATGACAAGCATTGACGTCGCACGTCTGGCTTAGCCGCCAAAGATGAGCGTCGCCCCCTTTCTTGTGATTCCTGAAGGGTAGAGTGGCTGGCACGCGGAAGCCGAACAGAATGGAGCGAGAGATGGAGATGGGCAACAGTATTGCTAAATCGGCCGGTCAAGCAGTTCCAAAGGCGACTTCGGTGCGAGAAACCTCGCCCACCCACCCAAGTTTCCGAACGGTTTGATTCGTTTGGGGCCGGTCCCGCTGATTCGCGTGACCGGCCCTCGACCGGAAAGGTTCTGGTGGAGGTCCGTCGGAGTAGCGCTCTTATCGCTTTCATGCCCAGCCTGGATCAAGCTTGCCCAGGAAGTTTGAATCCATCGTCGACAAGCCTTCCATAGGAATTCCCTCCCTCAAGTGGGTGCGAAGGGCAGGTACCTCGCTCCATCACACGTGCCAAAAACCTTTTTGTTCAAGCCACTATCAGCTTTCAATCACCGCAGAAGGCTACACACCATTAGAGTGAGCACTACAGCTGTCTCAGTCGGCGAAGTATTGCGCCAGAAATGGAGCATATCGCCGAAGATTACCATGTTTTCGACCGCCCGCAGGAACCGCCACGCGGAGGACACCATTGGGCCGTCGTCTTCATCATGCAGTACACAGTCCTTACGTAGTCGCATCCAGCTATGAATGTTGGCTACCGCAGTAATTGAACCAGTGATGAATGAGCATTCCATTACATCGCCACTGATCAGACCTGGTGGCGTTATCTTTCGAGCGCTATGTGACTTGCATGCACCACCGAGAAGGAGATACGTGCGTATTCCATGGTCTATTCCCTGTGGCGGTTGACACTGACAGTGGCCGAAACGCGAGCGATAAGAAGTTGGACACCGTTGCCGTAACTGTTCACACGCGCATGGACTGCGTGGATTGCCTCGTGCAACCCCATTGAGGGGCAAAAAGCCCGTTAGTCGGACACTAGAGGGCTTCTGCCGGCGGGCGTGCGCGATGCAACATTCACCTTCTTCTTTGGGACAAGCTATCTCGACGACCCCGCCTCGGCTCGAAGGATCGACTAGACACCGGTGGAGAAAGGCGCATCTAGCATGTTTCTGGAGGCGTCGCTTGGTTATCTGCGCGCGTGACAGCGTCTATGCTCACTGCCGAGGGCCCAGTGGGTGTTAGATGGGGGAAAAGATTCAAATATGGCGTCCAACCCCAGATGTGATCTCGAGTCGAAGCAGGTCAGAGGACGACTTTCACATCGACTCTTCGTTGTCCAAATTCGTGACAATGCCGGAAGACTCAGAACGTGTCGAAGAGCACGTCCCCTCGCCGCTGGTGGTCGAGGAGAAGGAGAAGAGTGACACCAAGCAGATGTCTTCGTGGAAGGAACCATCCATCAAAGAAGTTCCTCTACCGGCATACACAGACAATGAAGCTCTTTCGACTGAAAAGATCGGCCCCTTGGAAGACGCGGAGGAGATCGTTACTCATGTCATTCATGTGGACGATGACCCGTCCCTCAGTCCCTGGACCTTTCGCATGTTCTTCATTGGTGAGTTGCCAATCATCAGCGTGGACGCATCCAACAGGTGCCTGGAGGAATGCTAATCACTCGGCGCGGAATAGGCATCGGTCTCTCGGCCTTTGGTGCTGTTCTCCAAGAGATCATGTACTTCAAGCCTCAGGTTGTCTTTGTCTCAGTCATGTTCTTGACAGTCCTGGCCCAAGCCATGGGTACTTTCATGGCAGCCTTCCTCCCAAAAGGCGGTGCTATCGGCCGGTTTCTCAACCCTTTCCCGTGGAACCGTAAGGAGCATACCGCAGCGGTCCTGATGGCTTCGGCTGCCTCAGTTTCTGCACTGTCGACAGAGGCGCTGTCTGTACAAAAGCTCTGGTATGGGGGTTATCCCAACCAGGTCGCCGGAATTTTCATCACCTTATCCTCCCAGCTCCTTGGGTACGGTGTTGCCGGCATGATGCGAGGCGTTTTGGTGTATCCCACTTCGATGCTGTGGCCTGCAAATCTGCCCATCACGTCTGTCATGGAAACTCTGCATAAGCCCAAGGCAGAGACGAGGAAGCGATTCAAAGTCTTTTGGATTGTTTTCGCGGCGATCTTCTGTTGGGAGTGGTTCCCTGAGGTAGGTCTTGTGATATATCATTTTCTCCGGATCCTCTTCGATCAGTTCTGCTGACACCTTGCAGTACATATTCCCCCTCCTGTCGGCAGTCTCAATCTTCTGTCTTGCAGATCAGAATAATGCCGTCTTCACCAATCTGTTTGGTGGTTCTCAGGGTAACGAAGGCATGGGCTTCCTTTCCGTGTGCTTTGACTGGAATTACATTGCTGGATTTGGATCGCCTTTGTGGATGCCTTTGCAGACCCTCACCAACAGTTTCATTGGTTACCTGGGATGCGTCCTTCTCTCAATGGCCCTCTATTACGGCAACATCTGGCGGGCTCAAGATTTCCCCTTTATGTCTCAGCTTCTCTACGACGGCAGCTCCAACTCTACCAATTACGTTCCGTACAACGAGACGGCCATCATGAATGCAGATTTCACGGTCAACAATACCATGGTCGACCAAATGGGCACGCCATATTTGACCGCGACCTACGTCAATTATCTCATTGTGTCCAACGCAGGTATGACTGCCACCATTATACACATGTTGCTTTGGAACTACAAAGAGGTGAAGCAAGGCTGGGCTTGGATGACTATGGCCAACATGAAGATGCTTCTGCGGCCTTCAACATACATGTTCTGGCATCAATCTGGCAGCCGGACTGAGGAAGAGAAGGAGAAAATTCGCCAGGACCCTTCCATCGATCCTCACTACAAGCTGATGCTTGACTACGACGAAGTTCCCTCCACGTGGTACTTCTGTATTTTCGCAGTCAGCTGGATTGTCGCGCTCGTCTGCTTGTATGTCATGAAGTCCACCCTCCCATGGTGGGGCTTTGTGATTGCCACCCTCTTCCTCTTCGTATTCATGGTCTTCTTTGGAGCACAAAATGGTATCACCGGTTTCGGTTACAATTTGCAGTCAATCTTCCAAATGTTGGCTGGGTACATGTTCCCTGGTCGTCCGCTAGGTATGTCTATGTCTACTTCACGCTTGGACTATTATCTCGGCCCCGCTAACTAAAGCGCAGCAAATATGTACTTCACCACCTATACATACAACGGCCTGTCGCAAGGCTTCCTACTCGCAAGAGATCTGAAGCTTGCTCAACAGAACAAGCTGTCTCCCAAAGCCACATTCACCACTCAAGTAATTGGCTGTGTGATGGGCGCCCTTCTCAACTACGTGATGATGATCAGGTAAGACGAGCTGCTCCAGGCATATGAGCCCTCGAGTTGACCAAATGCAATCGAATACTGACCCTTATACCCTCAGCATCGTCCAAAACCAAGCCCCCATTCTCGAGTCCGCCGAGGGTACCAACATCTGGTCCGGCGCCCAGATTCAACAATTCAACACTCTCGCCATTGCCTGGTCCATCGCACCCAGAATGTTCTCCTTTGGCGCTATTTACGAATGGGTGACAGCCGCCTTCTTGATCGGGTTCCTTATGCCGCTGCCCTTCTACATCATGCACCGATTCTTCCCTCGACAGAAGATTTGGCCGTACTTCAACACCGCCATCATCATCTGGTACTGCGGAGAGCTTTTCGTTGGTTTGAACGCCTCCATTACCAGCTACTACATCATCGGCTACTTTGGTCAATTCTACCTGCGACGCTACCGTCCCCAATGGTTCGTCAAGTGGAACTACCTGATCTCTGCTGCACTGGATGGCGGTACCCAGGTCATGGTCTTCTTGGCGACATTCGCTGTCTTTGGAGGCTCTGGAAAGGCGGTGCCGTTCCCCACGTGGGCTGGAAATCTGGCAAACAACTTTGACCGATGCAAGTACAATGCCAATGGGTAGATCACTTGGCCCCGGCTTTGCTGTGCTATGTCTTGCCCCTTGTGCTGTGCCGCATCCCCGCCATGAGGCTTATAAGAGAAGAGACGTGTCATCCGCACCATTAGGGGCCGTTTCATGCTTTACTTGTCTCTGTCCGTAACGTTGCTAATACTTCCATCACAACGTTTCTATTCAAGATTCTTGTCGTCGTCAGGCAATCCGTACCAACACAGTAGTCCACTTTTCTAACTAGTCTTACCTGGACTCGGACCCCTGCCCCCTAGGATCTTCTATTCACTGGTATTATGTCTCAAGTAGTTTCACTGGTCCACATTCTGGTTTCCATCTACGGCTCGACGCGGTAGCCCAGGAGGGAGTCATCTTAATAGCGGGTCATGAATTGAATGTAATGATTATTGTGTCCTTTCCCCTTATTCTCGAACCAATTGAACGCCATCGCACTGGAAGGGGAGGGTTTGATTATACATTTGACATGGTCAGGCGATAAAAGATAGACAGATCATGGTCTCAACAGCAACGCTTCACCAAACAGAAAGCAGACATGCCACAATAAAAAACTCCAAACTCATGAAACCCTGCAGCAAGCACCAAAAGCTTGAGGCATAGCCAGGGGGTTGGACATACGAATGATAAGTGGCGATATAGGCGGAGAGGGGTATTTTGAGTTGCGTTGTTGGAGAGCCAATTACGAGGGAGGCATGCCAGTGGCTCCAGATCCTTCAAACATTGGGAAATTCATCGACATGTCCGCCCAATCCCACTCTATTGTCATTGGCATTTGCCAAAGATCTTGTGGAACAAATGGCTGCTGGAAAGATCCCGCGTTGGGACTCATGGGCCGGAATGACTGATCGGGGAACGGCATTCCACCCATCTGCCCTGGGCTCAGCATATCTGGGAACTCTTGTGATAAGCCCGGCATGGTCGGAACGCTGGAAATATAATCAGTAGAGGTGCCTGAAGTGGGTGGCACCGCCGCCTCGTTTGTAAATCCTCTGTCTGCGAAAGGAGGAGCCTGTTCTGAGAACATAGAGGATGAAAAGGACGGATACGGTGGCGCGGAGGCTCGGCCCGCTGGCTGTGATTGCCGCGCCGCTGTTCCATTTGCGTCTGGGGATCCATTTGCATGTGGCGTGGTAGCTTTTCGCTTCTTGCGTGCGTGTGATTCCTTTTCAGCCTTGTCCAGAACGACTTTGGCGATCCTTTCAAATTCGCCGCACAGTGCCAGCATGCGCTTGATGCTGCCATTGGACTCATCCGACACAAGTGTGGACAAAAAATTGACCACGACATTCATCAATTTCACGTCAGACCGAGCACGCGCGTCATTTGGATTTTGGAGAATGTTGGCGAACAGGGTCACCAGAGCGGACACGGGATAGTAGAGAATCAACCTGTCGCGTAAAGTCAGAACCCCGTAGAACACCACTCAAAATGAACAAGGTCTGCTTACCAAACACATGCAAAATCTCCCTGTGGGATATACTTGATCAGATTGATTGACGCTCGAGCAGCAGTCACGCACAAGGCGGCAGACATAAAGACCCTCGGATTCAAAGGCCGAGCATTTAGACCTTGAATCGCATAGTTGGAAAGTCGACTCGTCCAATAGCCGTGATGTACAGACATGCGGTGAATGGTTGTCAGACAATTATAGTAAGCAAAGTGGAGAACAACGACATGGATCAAAAGAGGTCCATGCGTTGCTTGAATCTCATGCTCAGGTCGATATTCGATAGGAATGCTGTCCTTCCAGTCTTCTAGCTCTTTGTCCAACTCACCAATCGTATTGAGCAATTCGCCATCAGACTGTTTAGAAGCTTTGGCTGAGTAGAGCTTTTTGTAGACCCGACTTTCGATTGTGGCAAATTCGCACAAAGACCTAAACAGATTGAATTTCCCTTTACCGTCGGCAAGCGGCACATGCCCAACGTTATCAGGAGGATCTTCGCTCGGGAGGTCAACATTCATATCGTCGTCGTCCTGCACCGGCGGCCGTCCGGAACGCAAACAAATGCTTTCAAAATGATCAGTAACTTCTTCTCAAAGTGGGGATCAGGCTTGCTCAAAAAGAAAGACTTACTCTTTATCGAGGCAGTAAGCAATCCAAAAGACTCGTTTGCGCTGCTCGACTTCGACCTGATTCAGTCCGAAGCTAGATCCCCGCTTGTGTAGGCCAATGCTATGGGAGAGGCGAATAGCGGCGGCCACCAAGAAAAACGCTGGCTGAGGATTGGGCGTGCCTTGTAGGAATAGACTCTGCCAAGGAATGTCAGGATCGGAGCAAGGCTGTAGGCCTAAGATGGTTCTGGTGACTCACCATTCCTAATAGAGCTTGAACACTAAGAAGGTCGGTATTTCGCATGGTCAATTCCGTCAAGACCCCCATGGCATTTTTCAAGTAAAGCCACGCCTTTTGATCTTCCTCGTGGGGCACGAGGTTGCTCATCACGCGCAGACGGTGAGAGATGGCCAACACGACGTTGATGCTCGCCCACCAACCCGAACCCTCATATGGATCGCGCGAGTACTGCCGGTCCACCAGGTGCATGAAGGTTGCCTCGTGGAAAAGAGGGAACATGCAATTGAAATTCTCGAAAAAGTCCTTGAACAGCGATAGCGCCTCCTCTTTCGGGGGTAGTGGTTTGAACACCCGTCGTGCGAAAATGTCGCTAAAGATCTCCGGCTTCCAATACATCCACTTGTTGTCATCCACATATGCCGAGGCAATCATTTCTTGAAATGATGTATCCCCCGTTTTCTCATTGACCCATTGTATGCCTTTGGGGGAGAAGATAGAGAATCCCGAAGACGAGCCTGCATTTGAGCGGTCAATTGCTGCCATTCCGTTCTCTTTCTCTCGTGGCAGTGACGCTCAATGACTTTTCTTACCTATGTACCGGGTTTCGCCGCAGTTGTTGGTCACTAGCGAGCACATCATATCCGACAATGCCTCCACCTCGGTTTCGGAGCCTTTTTGTGAATCCGGGGATGTTTCGGCGGTGCGGGGGCTGGAATGTGAATCCATGCGGGGTGTGGTACAGTGAGAAGTAGTCTGCGGTTGCGGGGTTGCACTTGTGGCACTCGTTCGAGGTGCACCTTTGGCGGCGTTGAGGGCGTTGGTCCGATCGGCCAGTCGCTTTTCCAGTGTACCCAGATCTGTCTTTCCATTGTCGTCTTCCGAGAGGAGGCCGGAAAGTCGGAGGAGCGATTCCATCCGGCCAAGGCGATTCTCTAGGCCCTCGATGTATTTTGCGCTGTGTCCAGAGTGACCAGTGAGCAGACGAGCCATTGATCTCAATGCCCGTCATCCTGGGCCTGGGATATGGACCTACCCTTTGGGGGGATTTCGTTTCTTCTCGACTTGAGTGAAGATACATTCCGTTTTGTAATTGATGCAGTGGGAACATTTGGGCATCTTGCCATCACATTTGATTTTTTTCTTGCGACACATGTCGCAAGCCTAGTCACATGAACTCGATCAGCTCGATGAGTTTCATTGTTATCACCATGCAGCGCGACATACTCGTGCAATTCTCCGCCGCTTCGCGTCATTGGCATCCTCTCCCGCCGCCAGGTTCGAGTCGTCCGCATACAGGGACCCCCCGAGGCCACCCGAGTTGGACGCATCTTGTGAGTATCCTGCATAAAGCTGCTGCTGGTGCTGCTGCGGATGTTGCTGTTGTTGTTGTTGCTGCTGCTGGTTCATCATCATCTGTCTCATATCGAATCCCAATCCGTCTTCTTCCTGGCCGTCCATGACGACGGCTTTTTTTTTCTCGGTGGCGCGTTCGTACGCCGCGGGAGTGGAGCAAGACCGAGAGAGAGTGGGTGTGGGCGGGCAGTCGATGTAATCAGCTCTGCGGGGGATGTGCGTGATCTAATCCCGCTGAATTTCCAGTGGTGTGAGGAAGTTCGCGAAGGAGCAATGAAGTCGAGGCGAGGCGAAGAAGAAGAAAACGTGGGATGACGCAGTGAGGAGGTTTAGTCGAGGATCAGCGAGACCAGCACAGGTGAAGACGCCAGACGGAAAAGCTGCGCCCGTTGACCTGATCCAGCGGTAGTGCAGTGGAGAGCAATCCTACTGATGTAGCTTTGCGGAGGAAGCCGTCTAAAAGAAATGGGTCTGTCCCGTAATCGCGGTTCCGCTGAGTCAACAAGTCAACAGACCTTTACCTGACCTTGAGTACCTTCAAGTACTACTGGGAGATGAGTCCACTGGCACGCGAGTTGCGGCAGGATGACTTGATGAAGATAGCAAATGGCCCCCCAGCCCACGAGTTAAGTTTTCTTTGACGGGCAGTCAACGGCACGACCCAACAGGGTACGAATACGGACTACGGCGTGACGGGGACGCCAGCCCGGATCAGATATGGACAGCTCCGAGTCCCAGGCATCTGTCCATCGGTCGAATACGGAATACGGATCCTTGACCATCCGATACCTTGGGTGCCGTGATCCAGAGATTCAATGAGACCCTTCGGAACACAGTTGGTACAACTTGGTAGGGGCACCCGGAGACGCGTTTTGGAGTTTCCAATTTCATCAGTCTCCGGTCAAAGTGAACGAGTACAGCGATCCATCTGTAAATGAGAACAGAGCATGCCCGGCCGTTGCTATGAAGCCCGGCTCAACGGACTTGAAGACTTGACAAGATCAGTGACGCTCTACTCTTCGTCCGTTTTGTTCGTCCGAAACCTCCGTCACCACGTCAATAGCGGGCTCCAGATTGGGGTTTGCCAGGTGGAAGAGGTCAGGTGATTGATCGATTGATTCAGGCGCTTCCATCACCGTAGCTCTTAGTCATCAGTAGTTGGGGGCCCGCCCGCCCTGGTGAGGTCAATCCAGGGCATTCTTCGCCAGATGGGACGCCATTGACTACATCCCATGCCAGGTGTACTATCTACTTGCTTAGAAGAGGACATCAAATGGGCGCACAGATGCGTACTTGTCCAAGTGGGTGACACTTGCCGGGCTTCGCATGGCGCCTTCGCGTTTTGCACGACGGTCGTCAACTGTACCCGGCGAACAGCTCGGTGGCTAACGTGTTACAACTTACGAAGGATCTGATACTCGTTTAAAACAAGGGCAAGATAGCTGATCAAAAACCTGACTGTCGCCAACATAAACAACCGAATCCAAGACAGACGTGGATCACTGAGCCTGCACCTAAGCATAGTAATGCCATAGAAAGCGTAGCACACTTGGACGGTTTAGAAACTAGCGACTGTACTAGGTGTTCAACCTAGCGAGCTCGATCGCAGATTTCAAACATCAAATCACGACGTAAAAGGTCCACGACAACAGGAGGACACGGTGATATATTTCGAGGAGTGGCGATCAGGAAAGTAATATAGCACAGAGGAAAGGGACAAGGGAAAAAAACGCATAGAGTACACGTCGATTGAGAGCCCTGGTCACCATAGTGACCCACAGCAACCCAAGCGGTTGAAATGGAATTCACAAACACAATCGAAAAGAAAAGCAACGCCTCGCTATGCACCGAAATTATAATCGGTCTTGCCCGGAGAAAGTCACCACTCGTGGCTGACTCCGACAGTCGGTCGTATCAAGTTATCAACTGATACTGGCCACGGCCGTGACACGGGACTTGGGTTGAAGAGAATCGATCGGCAACGATGGAGAGAATCACTTTTGCCGCCATATGGAGTGGGCATATCAGGAGTGTTTATCGAGGAACTCCTTGGCTTCGTTGATTTTGGTGGCCAGGTACGGGCTGCCGCCACGATCGGGATGGTTGAGAAGCATAAGTTGACGGTGCTTCTTGCGAATCTTGTCCTTGTTCAATTTCCGCTCTCTTAATAGCAGAAATCAAAGGATTAGCATTTTCGGGCATGAAGGTTCGGACGATCGGTCCGTCGCGATGACACATACGGAAGCTCAAGGATGAGGGAGGCCTCGCGGCGAGTCATGCGCGGTTCAAAGCCACTGTCAATTGTGTTAGTGTAAGCAATGGCGTTACCGCAGCCGACCGAGATAGCACAAACCCTTTGTAGAAAGCCTTGCCAGCGGCGTTCACGCCGCCCTGAGACCGACGATAGGCAACGAGACCGGCACGGCCCTGAGAAACAAACAGTCAGCGAAATGACGTTCGCGCTGGCCGTGGTTGTGGAAACCTTCGTCACGGTCACTTACCAAAAAGGCGGCCACACCGACTCCAAGACCAACAGTCAGAACAGATGCCATATTGCTGCGATAAAGAAATGAATGCGGTGGAGAAGAGGTCGCAAGTCCGGAGAGCGTTCGGTCATGGAGGTTCTGGAGGCGCTGGCGGGATAAAAAGTCAGCGCACGGGTCCTAAACGGGTTTAGCGCCACCTCCTCCACGCCGACTCTGCCTCTCCCAAGGGAAAAAAAAGTTCTCCGAGATAACAATCAAAGGAAGTTCCAGATTCATCCCACACCTCAGCAACCATGCGGTAAGTGCTTCGTTCCCAGGCACCTTTTGTCAACTTTGAAATCATCACCCATCTAACAAAATGATTCATCTTTTCTTACTAGTGTGGAGACTTGTCACTTCTGTTCCCGCCCGGCCTTCCCTGGGAAAGGCATCACATTTGTCCGCAACGATGCCCGCCAATTTCGGTTTTGCCGTTCCAAATGTCACAAGAACTTCAAGATGAAGCGTCAGCCCCGTAAACTGAAGTGGACCAAGAGTCACCGTGCGGCCCGTGGTAAGGAGATGATCGTCGACTCGTCTCTCGTCCTCTCCCAGTTCGCCAAGAAGCGCAACGTCCCCGTCAAGTACGACCGCAACCTGGTTGCCGCCACTATCCACGCCATGCAGCGTGTCGAGGAAATCCGTCAACGTCGCGAGCGTGTCTTCACCAAGCGTCGTCTGGCCGGCAAGATTGCCCGCGATCGTCAACGCGAGGCCGACCGAAAGGTTGTCGCCGAGGGCGAGCACCTCATCCGCAAGGAACTGCGCGAGCGGGAAGAGGGTCGTCCCATGGTGGCCGAGCAGAGCAAGGTTGCCAACCGGGTACACGGAGCCGATCTCTTTGCGCAAAAGAAGAAGACCAAGGTCTTGGTCGACGGTGGTGTCGAGGAGGAGGCGATGGACATGGATTAGAGGAGAGTGGGACATGGTCAACAAAAAAAGGAAAGGAAAGGAAATCTTCCCCTCCCGCTCACTCCTCCGGTGCTATCGAGTTTTTTTTATCATCTCTTTTCAGTTACCCATTTATTTGTGATTGGGACCGCTACGACACGATTCCTGGAGTTGGGCTTGCATTATCATTGTGGTTCTCACGGTGTTTTTCAGTTCTGTCTATCTTTCTTGTTTGATTTGTTTTTTTTTTTGTTTCGTTTTTACCCTTGGGTAACCCAACACTTGTCCAATCCTCCAAAAGCTTTCGATATCACCTGAGCCACCAGTATAGGGGCAAATGGACCAGTGAAAGTTGGACCAGTGAAAGTCACGATGAAGAAATTCAATCATTCCTTTCAACAGCATTACCACAGGATGACTGGTAGACATAATACTCGCTCACGTTCTTCTCGCCTAGAGAGGAAGAATTTAGGAAAAGGCAGGTCAGAAGATGAGTGTGCATTCCACGTTGAAGTCAATGCCACCACGGTTCTATTCCTTCTTAATTGCCGAAGTTGGCTCCGAGGAGGAAACAAGACCTTGGCAGGATTAATAAACGAAGACGTTACAAGGCCTAATTGGAGAGTTGCTGAATGCATTTGCATTCTGCAGGTATCCCATCGATTCAATGCGTGCACCGAAGCAGGAGGGACAGGCATGCTCGTACATAGCTATGATGTATTTTCCCCTCCCCAGCAGTATAAGTAATTCTATTCTATCATATAACCTGTCATTGAAGATTCAATCCCAAACGCCACCACAATCCACTAAAGCGCAATGAAGCCCATAATCTCGTGTTCGTGTACACCCGTGTATCTATCGAAATGCACTCCTATCGCCACGCCGTAGCCCTATCCATATCCGAATTCAGATCATCCCCCAAGGTCCGATAATCACTCAACTCCTCCTCCGACTGTCGATCAAAACCCTTTGCACCACGACGAGAGCCCAGTCTCGCCCAGCCCAAAAGACCAATGAACACTGCGCTGACAACGGCGACGAGAACAGAGTAACCCACGATCGCCCCCGTCGACGCATAAGACCAGCTCATTCCGATACCACCATTGATAATGGCGAGGAAAATGACGATGAATCCGAAATAACGATGCACGACGCCGAACTTGGTCGCGGACTGAGTCTTCTTATACTGGAGGTGGTGCCAGAAACCCATGGCCCATTGTACGATGATGGCGAGCAGGATGATGATGCCGATGATTTGGTGGGTGGAGCCCCATGACTGGGACTTGGTGAATTGGGTGCTGAGGTAGAATCCGATAACGAGACTGACGATGGCGATGCAGCTTGAGAGGGTCTGGTTGACCCAGTGCCATCGGACGCTCTTTGGATACACGCGGAGGAGGATCGCTCCAAAGGGGAACAGGAAGATGATTGCGATACAGGCTGCGACTGCGTGAATGATGCTGGGCCAGTTGCTGTCGGATTTGAAGGTCTCGGATTGGGTGCCCTGGGATGTTGTGTAGGAAGATGGCAGGCTGCCTGATCCACCTGTGGCGTGGACCATGTCCACGTTGAAGACGCCTAGAAGGTGGCAGACGTCAGCTTGGCCGATCCCTTTTTGTATAGAAGGTTTGATATTCAGTAAACCCAGGACATACCATATTTGGAATGTCTCTCGATGCTCGCCGTCTTGGAGTCACTGCGCAGCATTCGAACACTACTGCCCGAAGGACCCAGGGCAAAGTTCCACGGCTGAGAGGAGGACTGTACGTCCAGCGAGCCCGTCTTCCAGCTCGTGCAGTTATTGCATCGGCCGTTGACCGTCATGGTGTTGTTGGCAAGGCCGGTCCCGTCAAGCAGGGTGACATCGATGGAAGTGGAATACACCGGCTCGCTTTCCCCGGAGGAGAGTCGAGGGCTCACAGTCACATCTAGATTGGAAAGAATAACAATGATGAGAGACGGGTTTCATCAGAGTCAAGCGACAAGGGGGTTCATGGACAAACATACTCTTCCCATCTGCGCTCGAATAGGCCACGATCATCATCGAATTCTCCATCCTAGCACCCGTTCCCACTCCCACCCAGCTGTAGCTCGCCGGGCCGGAGAGATGGAAGTACAGGTCATTGGATCCATCCGGTATGTTCAAGGCAAAGGTGTAATTGGCATTTGATCCCAGGGGGTAGTTGTAGATGGCAGTGGCGTCCGTCGCAGAGATGGCAACCCCAACGTGGATGGAGAGTATTGAGAGTCCTACATGGCGAACACGATGGAGGAATGTCAGTATCTCGAACCCATTCGTGCCATCGTCGCTGCCCGACTCGTCACCGACTGGATCACGGGATCAAGGCGGTCTTGCGGCCATTGGAACCGACGGCCGTTTAGCAGCATGATGCTAGGGCAGCCAAGCAATGAAGCCAAGCCTGAGGATCCATGATGAAGAGACTCGAAGACTGACCTGCGAGCAAGCAACGTGTGGCTCCACCTCTCAACAGAGAAAGCATTATGAATGCAGTCCTCTGTTCACTCGAAGCTGAGAAACGACAATAGAAGAATCAAAAATTTCGACCGATTTGCACGATCAAACTCAAAGTTAAAAAGTCAACTCAAAATGAAAACCACGCAGAATCAGAACGAAATGGTAGAAGCAACGACCCGGGGGCGAACGGAGAATTAATCAATGTTTCTTTTAAGCCTGGAAGGATTTCAGACCTGTCTTATTAAGTACCTACAAAGGTAACTAATCATTCTACAGGTCTCAACAGCAGAAATGGAAATTCTTATTTTTTCTTTTTTTTTTTCTTTCGGTTTTGGCCGTGGCCGTTGATCTGAGTTAAGACACGGATCGGCACTATGATTGTGGCCTGTCCAGTAGGTACAGTCAACACTCACAGTGTACAACCAACTGTACATGGATCCAGACTCGACTCCTCGAGTGGCCCGAGACCGGAGAGAGGGATTCTTCAAGCTCATGGAAAGAGTCTCCCCAGCCAATGCAACAGCACCTGGCAAGACCAGTGGCACAGCCTGACTCGGACGATCTGAGCCTCTTAACGCCAACCTACGTCGCCCATCTCCAGCATACGCTGGCGTCATCTCATGCGGTCCCCCGGCCACGCATCAACAAGAATAGTACACGCCGACCCCCTTTGGCAGTTGTCCAGACCAGTGAGGAGGAAGATGACATTCAGCGCCTCGCTGATTGGTCTTGCAGACGCCTTTCGACTCCAGTCGTGGCTCGTAGTCCGCTTTCCTCTTTCCTCTTTGGGGATAATTGGCATTGTTTTTCGGCCGTAAAGGGGGACCCTGTCAAACCTTATCTGCGCGCGATGAACTTTCCCTGCCGAGAGGGAGAATCCTCCTCCATCATTCAGTGAATACCACATACAGCCGCAGTCTACAGTCACACTGCCCTGCAGTGCCGCCCACCCATGCACAGGGTGAGCGACGGACGGACTCGCGGCCTGTGGACACGGAAGCGCCTACGGACACGGAGATGGACACTGGGGCAGTCCCGTCGGACAGGATCCAGATCGTCAATCTACCGATTGCCACCCTTGAACCATCCGTGTCCGCCAGACCCTCGACGTGGGGACATAATTGACAGAACACATGGACAAAAAATCAGCCGAGATGGGCATTCCTACATGCGCCGAGGCCATCCGATCAGCCTGGTGCAGACTGCAAACAGGGCGATTCGATCGAGGAGAGTCCGAAACAGAGGTGCCTGATTCACCGTTTACGATCCTCGATGTATCGTACCCAGGGAACTACTAACAGGTAACTACAGTAGTAAGTACATGCCATGATGCCACTGCCCCTGGTACCTACTGAGTAAGCGCTCACTCCCAAGTCCGAGGTTCCCGGTCCCCCCTTGATACGGAGGTCCGTTCGGTGTCTGCTCTGCAATTGCTGCGGTTTGCAGTGTGCAGTCTGCACACTGCACACTGCACCCACAACTACAGAGTCAGAGAGTATTGGCAGTGGGAGTGGACAGCACCCTTCCAGCAGACGATAGAGATCCAACAGCGAAAATGAAGCAGTCGTACTCGTGGACACACTGCCCTTTTTCTAAAATCCACCGGTGCCCACCGGTGGCGTCCCCAGTCCAGCAAATCAGCCACCTGCACCCCGAGTGCTGACTGGTCAACCCGTAGGCGTCAAGGTTGGTGTCAGAGGGTACAGACCTCCTGACGTTTCTGGGATTCTGCAGGTCGGCGATGGAATCTTCGATTAACGTGTGAGGCGGTATGTTACGTGAAGATAAGCTTGGACATAGATCGGTGGATCGAACGATGGCGGCGTGATCGTACCGAGCTCCCGGTCGAAGTTATCGACGCCCATAGTCCCTAGACTTCCGACTACCTACTTTATTATAAGGAGTCTATACCCCAAAAGTATCATGTCCTTCATAGACATGACGAATTCCGTGGTTCTCACATGCTCTGGTCCTCCTACGTTGCTATTGCACCATTAATTTCTTCTCTATGAGCAAAGTTGAAACAGAACGAACAAGATCGTACCTATCACCTACTTTATTATCCCGGCTGACCGAACAAACGTCTGTCAATCCGAAATAAAAAAAAAAATAAACAAGGGTTCTCAAAAGACGTTGGACTCTCCACTCAAAGCATCATGGTCCACGAAGAAGCCACTCAACACATTTGCCTCACGATTTTCAATCACCTCAAACATGGCAATATCACCATTCGAAACTTGATCACACTCAGGTATGTTTCCATTCACTTAAGAGAGCACCTACAATGCTACCACCCCCACTCCCCCCAAAATGGAAATACTTCAACCTCGAAAACGCTCTATCTCACACACCTGTGTTATCATCCAACTCCACAGCGGCCAACCATACGCCAAAATCCCAACTCTCCGCATTCTTTCCACCGACGAAATTGCCAAGATTTGCATCGCGCCGGGTCAGTCAAAGGTAATTTCTTTCTGTGGCGCAGGAGCTCTGGGCGTAGGCGTGGAAGGCATGGTAGATTTGTGTGTCGAGGACGAGAATGAGAACGAGACCGAGGACGAGTCCAAATCAGAGTCCGACTCCGAATCCCGGATCACGACGCTCTATTGGAATGGGCCATGGGAGCGAAGGGGGAATCAGTTCCATGCGGCGAGTACGGATCGAATGAAATATTCGGTGGTTACTTCGTTGCCGCCGGATGAGGGTGTGCTGGGGTACGTGTCGGTTGAGGTTGGAGAGGTGACGGCGACGGCGAGGTGATCAGAAGCTACTACCTGTACTACCCAACCTATACCAATGCGTCCATTCATACCTTTTGATCGTGTGTGCCATCTTTCTGTCTTTTTGGTCGCTAGAAGGAGGAAAGATAACCTTGGGCTCTCGTTGGCACACATTCATAGTAATCTTGAGCGCGTCGCATACCTTCTACAGAGAGCTATGATTGTGTCTAATCCACGTGATCCTTGTTACTCTCGCAGATAGGTCACTAGATCGGGCTCTCAAGCTCAAGCACAGATACCGATCTAGAGCCACTTCGATCCCGGTCGATCGTTCTACCAGAATTGACGCCAGAGCTTCAGAAGTTCAGATCGCAGATCCTAAATCTGAGATTCGCAAACCTGGTCATGAACCTACTAAGCTTTACATGCAGAGGATCCCCCCAGCTCTTTACCTGGAAAGCACCGTACACTGGAAAGTACTACTGTAGAACGCACACAGTACATACTACATAGTACTTACTACATACTACAATCCTTGATAGTCTTCCAAGATCTGACAGAATTGACCGACGAAACCGCAATTGCAAGACCTTCTCCACCAACCAAAAGGTCCAAGCACACACAAGCTCACAACCCTACCGTACTTGATCCGAAAGACCGGAAGTGACGCCATCCATCTGCCCCTCCTTATCCCCCAGTGGCACTGCACCCTGCTCATCCACGATCTCTAATGAAACTTGGATCCTCTCGCGATCTTCGAGGTCTCAAGGGTGTTCATCATCCGAGGTGGTCGAAGCCAAACTTCAACTTAATATTTATCCAACAGTGGACTTGAGCACGTCTGGTTCTTCCCTACACGGTACACCAGTAGAGTTATTCAGCTGTCAACCCAAGATTGCGAAGCACGCGTCTCTACGCTTGACTGGATGCGCAGGGGTAAACGGCACAAAACGACTTATTTCGAAACATTGGCCTATTCTCATTCTTGAATTTAAATGCATTGGGCCGAAATACGTGCAGGACTCCCGAGTCTGACTGCCCAGGACTTTAGATAGTTTCCATTACGCCTGGTCAGTATGACTTGATCAATGCAACGAGAGATTCGATCGATTTACTTCGCCTGTACCTAACCTGTGCCATGTCTTCCCGTCTCCCTTTACTACCTAGGTAACTAACATTCACCTACGTGCTTCCCCTCAGTATAGTACGGCCCTATGTCGAGCTACCTCCTTCTTCCTCCTTTGACGATTTCGACAAGATTTGAACATCTTATACAGAGCCAACACATACTGAGTAACCCAAAGCAATATATACAGTTTGCATAATCCCCGAGAAATGTACTCATACCACGACATCAGAAACAAGCAAAACCAAGCGGCACAAGAGAAGAAAACCAGACTCTAGCGGTTGGACGCACGGGTTCTCGTCTCAGTGAGCATTGAACAAGTCTGGCCGTGGACGGGAGGTCCGTATCACCAGGACCGGGATCTGAGATTCCGTCGGGATTAGAGCAACTGACCTAAGGGAACCTTGTCAGCAACCTTACCTACCTACCTGACCAACCTTATACCGTACTTGTAGTAGTAAGAAGGTACCTAGTTGGACCCTACGGAACCTTAAGTCATATCGGCGGGGTGGTGTGGAGGTTCGGACGGGAGAGAAGATTGTCTGCAAAGAGAGCCAGGATCCAGAGCGTCGAGCCAAGACTTCTCTCATGCAGGAGGCTGGTAGTTTGTATTTAACCGTCGTTGGAGAGTAGAGACGGTATCGATTAGGCCCCATGTGGCTCCCGGGCGGTCTTCGGATATCATGTAGAAGAACAGTCTATCAAACGTGTTGCCGTTCAATTCCGCCTATTTGATGGATCGACTTCGATAAGGGAGCTTGTGGCACCGAGGCGACTACCAAAAATAAATGTTAGTTTGAGATAGTATCAATCAACTGATTTGGCTGATTGGAAATTCTATGACCAGCTGCTCCGATGTTGTTCAAACAGGGTCAACTATGCAAAAACAGTAGACTCTTACAATGGACATCTGTCATGGTGGATTGTTCAATGCTTTACATTCGTCGTGTACCCCGTCAAGGGTTCCACTGGTTACAGAGAGAAAGCAAAGGGAGTGGGAGGAGAAAGAGGGGAAAACAGAAGGTGCGAGACAAAGGGTCGGTATGGAGAGTAAAGGAGATTCAAGGTCAAGGAAAGAAGTGGTAGGCAAAGTGGCAGAGAGACTATGTGACGCATAGCGGGATAGTCAATCTGGATGCAGACAAAAGGGAGCACCAAGTGAGGAGATAGATGAAAAACACCGTGGTGTTTCAATGCGAGAGCTGAAGAGTAGTGGGAAGCCGGAGGAAAAAGACGACCACCCGGATAAGCGGGGCCAGTCGAAGGAGGCAAAACAGCATGAAAAGACAAAGAGGTATTGTGCAAAGTACTAGGAAGGCATTGGTCATGATGAATATGCACCAGCCATGGCAGGAAATGGCCGGCGGTGGAGTTTCAAAAGGCATAGGGAGACAGAACGAGAGCTAACTATTCAGAGCAGGGGTAAAAGACCCGCTGAGCCTCGGGAACACGAACACAGAAATGATAAACCAACAGTATAGTCAGGCCAAGGAAACATGGTACAAGGGATCCGGCATTTTAAAGAGCAGGGTATTCCCAGAAACGCGAATAAGCCAAAGGCGGAAAGGGGACCGACGACGTTGGATGTATTCAGACAATATGGGACAAGTCATTCCACAACTGAGGCGGCGGAATACAAGAGTCTCAATCTCGTCGAAGATCACAACGATCACTCCTTTATGCAATGTGCAACATCACAAGGGCTGGACACGCCGTAGATAAGATGATTTCCCGGTGAATCCAAAAAGAGAAGAAAAGAACGCTCAGGCGCATACATTTCGTCATGAAAAGAAAAAAGGTCGCCGTACGAACGGCATTAGAAATGATATCTCCCGGAACAGGAGAAGAGGCTCCCCGATGAAGGGGGTGAGGTCCCACGAAGCGGGTCGGAGAATTGTCACACGGCCATTACTCCTCCATCCGGCCAAAGACACCATCATCGTCGTCATCGGTGGGGCCACGACGGCTGCCAAAGTCAACGTCGGCGTTGCGGCGGTGACGAGACTCCTGGGCCGTCAGTTCGCCACTACTACGGTTGCGTGCACCACGCTCGTCAGAGATCTTGTAAGACAGGGATGGGTTGAGCGAGGCGGAGAAAAAGGCTTCGGCGTTGGAGTTGCGACGATAGACCTCGTTCATAGGACCGGGACTGGAGTGCTTGAGTCCAGGACTCAGAGGACCAGAATGACTGCCGGAGTCGAGATAACGAGCAGGCAAGGGAGGTACTGGAGGCACGTCCGAAGCCATAGACACCGGTCCGGTGCGGGGAGTGCCAAAGTTGCACAGTCCGATCGCGGCCGCCAAATCTGCCTCGTCGTCCTCGTGAAGGCGGGTATCGGCGGTGGAGGGGCGGGTGTCGATGCTCGACTTGCGGAAATGAGAAAAGGCGGGGGAGTGCAGCGGCGCACTCCCGTTGAACGAGCTCGATGGAATCGACTGGTAGGAACGGGAAAATGCGTGGCTGATGCTGGGACGCTTGGTCCAGTGGGCCGGCACGCCGGACATCTCAAAGTCGTCATCCTCCTCCTGTTCGTCCATCGGGGGCGGGGTGGTTTCTGCGGAGCTGCCACCGTCTCGCACTTCGGACGAGGCACCGGGCGAGGCGGAAGAGAACTCCGACTCTGCGTCGGGAGATTGGTCGTGGGTCTCTTCGTCGACGTTCATGTTGACCAAGACGGTGGCCGCCTCCAGCAATTGCACCTGTTGGTGCTTGGAGATAAGAAGCTTGGACGTGATTGACCATGCTGGATCGTGCTCCCACCTATATGTCCGCGAAACCCAGAAATTCCAGACGTCAATCACACGGTCATCAAGAAAGCATATATGGGAGGCGATGCGAAACAGGTCACGAAGAGGGGAGGAGCTAAACTAAGGGCTGGACAACTGACACGACCCGGACAGTCGAACAATTGAGGGGTGAGAGGATGAAAGGAACCAGATGGTCACGAGGGCGACCTGAATCAGAGCCGACGTGGCGCAGAGTTCCGAGCGCAGGGAGAGGGAGAGAACGGCCGGGCGGGCGGCGGCACAGAGGGAGGAGAGCAGAAGGGGGAAAATACACACATATGTTTAGACAAGCAGCTGCCGTGCTTATAGCCTTTCCCGCAACGGTCGCAGCGGAGATCGGCGGGAGCACGCTTGCCATCGGTCTTCATATGGGCACCTTCGCTGGCGCGACGATTGCGGCCCTTGGCGGTGGACTTGCTGTCCTCGTCGGAGTTGCTCGGCGTAGCCTTGCGAGCCACCGGCGGTTCCTGGCTGGGACTGTTGATACTGCGCGACAAGTACGAAGGCGATCCCGACGATCCACTGAGGGACGACGACTCCAGTCCCTTGCGAGCTCCCAGACTTCGACGGTGGGCGGCACCCACGGGCAGCGACGCCGCCTCGCTGCCATCCTTCATCGATGCCGCCACGGCGGCGGCCACATTCGCCGCGGCGGTGGTGACACTTTTGCGGCGGGTGATGCGGTGGTTGGCATTGACCACTCCCAATGAGATCGAGTGATTATGCTGGCGAGGGGTGGTGTTGGGGAGAGGACGCGAGAGAGACAATTCCTGAAGACCACCGAGTGGCCACCTCGTTAGCATTTTCGGAACGAGCGAGACCGGCGACCGGGAGGGCGTGGGAGGGGGGAACAGCCCGGTGAACAGAGCTCGCCCGGGTGGAGTTGAGAGGCCGAGGTGAAGGTGGGCATTGGCGACACTTACTTTGAAGGAAGCCATGATGAGGACTTTCTGGCAACTGGTTTCTTTTCCTTTTTCGAAAGCCCTGGGAGTGACTTGATTCACTCAATTCTGGAGGAGGGGGGACGGAGTTGTTGGGGACGATCCGATATACAGACGGGCTCGGAAGTATGAGCGGCTAGACAAGGTCGTTGGCGGGATTGCAGACACAGTTGGGAGATGCGATGGAAGTGTGAGGATCGGGTGGTAGAAATATTGAAGGTAGAAATGTCATATAATGAGGGCAATGGAAGCAGACCAGATTACGAGAGGTATGAGAAGACAAAGATGTGAGAAGGGGAAAAAAAAAGTTTAGGAACTCATGCACCCAAAAAAAAAAACCAGGCAGGGGAAGAGGAGAAAGAGGAGAAAGAAGGAGGAGCTGGGCACCGAGAGTGAGAGAGAGAGAGGGAGAGGGAAGACCGAGACCGAGAAACAAGAGACCCAAAGAGCTGAAAGTACCGGGACCGCGTGTCAGAGTGAGGAGTGACATCTGGGACGGGCGAACGAAGAGAACCGCCAGGACAAGCCATCCGGTATGGTGGTGGCCCACCGGAAATCGCTCACTCTCTGGCTTTGCGGGGGCCTTTCCCTTTGAGCATGGCGGGGGGCGACCCTCCGTGACCAGGCAATTCCCAATCTGGTGTTCCACAATCTTTTTTCCAGTATTTTCGGGCGGTCCCTCATGGATCTGGGAATTATGGGAGTCTTGCTATTTTGGGGTGTGGCAGTATTGGATGATATGGCTGAAGGTCGTACAAGCCTTGAATTTGTCTCTCTTTGACTCTCTCTCTCTCTCTCTCTCTCTCTCTCTCTCTCTCTCTCTCTCTTTTTTTCTCCCTCCTTGCCCCTCCGTCTGGCATTAGAGCTCTTTTGAGTTGCAAGACGCTGCAGAAAAGAAAGATAAATTGTAGGATGGAGAGCGCCTTTGTACAGTGTTCAGTGTCCAGTTGTAGCTGAAAGTCGGAATATGCCTTTGTACTTTGAAGGCGAGGAGAACCGGAGACCGCGGCGTGGCATTCTGGAGGGAGAAACACTGCCACTGTCGCAGGTACATCAAACGTAAATACTACTACCAGCTCTCTTGATGAACGGAGACGGAAAATATGAAGTCCTATAGTAGACTCCCACTGGTCAAGGGTAGAGTCATCTTCATCTTGACTACCTCCTCACTAGTGCTCTCTCTAGTTCTACTGTTTATTCCTACTCCCTAGAGTCCCAAGTCCCTACTAGTCGGTCTCGCTTCTTTGTCTCTGCTGGCCGAGGGACTCTTGGTCATGTACCCTACCCGACCACCGGCCCAGTGATGCGACAAACCATGGCTCCACCGGGCGTTGGGGGGGGGGGGGGGTTCCGAGCATCGGGCCAGAGTGGGAGAGACAGTACGACTGGGGCTACGGGGAGTGGACTCACTTAGTCAGTTACCTGGTAGGCTGAAGTACAGTGCTAACTTGCTAAGTCATGGGCAGCGGGAACTTGGAACTTGCCGCTCCGCAGCTTACGGAACGGGAATTCTGGGACTGACATCAGCCCGGTTTCATTCTTGATGATTTGGTGATGGTTGTTCCCATGACCCTTCGCACCAGAAACCCTCCGTGAGGGTGGATGACCCCCCCCCCCCCCCCCCCCCCCCCCATCTCACTGGGACTGAACAGGTTGAGAGGAAGCCATCTGCATCGAAGGGCCATCGAAGCCCCACGGAAGGAAACCATCGTGACGATGTTCCAGATCTGAGAGGTACACTGCTGACTGCACAGCACTGGCATCTCCGATCTGGCGGTTCCATCATCTGGACCCTAATTGCAGCCCATCGTGGGCGGCGGGATCAGGACTACGAGTACGGAGTCGGAGGTAACATAGTAGTGGGTGAGCCCACGTATCACTGTATGCTGATTGCCTGGCACTGCTGATGTGCTGGTACTCGGTCTCCTCCTCCTCCTCCTCCTCCTCCTCCTCCTCCTCTCTCTCTCTCTCTCCCTCTTCTCCCTGGAAGGGCAGCCTGGGACATAAGTTGGCGTCGTACGCAGGGCAGAGTTTCAGGACCTGCCGAGGATTGCAGAGAGTTCAGGTACCTCCCAGGATCGGAGCCAAATCAGGCATGCGCAGCACTACCGGATTTGTCTGTGGTCAGGACTCGGGACAAACTGGCCTGAATACTTGTGGAACGGATGGCTTCACGTGCCTCTTTACCGTTCGAGAGAATCAGGTCGCTCCCAAGTCGCTGAAGAATTCTGGGCTCTCTCCCTGGATCTCGAGTCCACCTGCAACTCTGCCCTCCGGATCTATCCTCTTGACCGGTCGAGGAATGAAGAAGTTCGGCGGTTCGGACGCGGTGGAGGGGACCGCTATCTGTTGCCTGACGATCACCCGCTAGGATCACAAGGGGAAGGGACACCGCCCCCAGTAGTGGCACAAACAGGGCTGCGGATTTGGTGCTCCCTGCTCAGCCTCTCCGAGCGGACCGCTGCTGAGGAGAAGAACAATCCCATTACACGTATTGATACACCAACAAGCGGACTACTACTGGGAGAGACGAGGAGAGGGACAGTAGAGTACGGATGAGGTACTACTGTAGTAGACTCCTCGACCTGCCAACCTGGACCATTCACCCAATACGACCTGGAAACCATCCCAAACATTCCTCGGACCTCGTGGTATGCATCAGTGCATCAGCACCGGTTTCTTCGTCCAGGTGGACAAAGCCACCACAGGCGTGTCCCGATCACCTGCAGGTTATCGACCGGTCTAGCACCTGGGTCAGGTGGATCAAGTGATGTCATCAGTCAACCGGCCAACAACCGGGCAGAGACCCCACTGGGTGGACCAATGGAATTTCGGGCCGGCCAGTCCTGATGGATCCTCGCTGGGCCAGGACTAGTAATCAGCAAGAGAGGCGGACCGCCCACAAAATGGAAAAAAAGAAAAAGAAAAAGAAAAATGGAAAAGATAAACCTCAAAGAGAGGGCCACATTGAGATACGACTGAAAGGAGGGGCCAGCAGAGTCGGGGGTGGTGTGATTGGACTCGCCGTGGGACGGGGGAATGCGCTGGGGTGTTGGACCACTCACGGGACAAGCAGCCGGGGGGGGGGAAGCCCAGCGATAGGAGAAGTCACGGGATCAAGTGACTCACGCTTGGACCGTCGGTCCACAGTCCACTGGGGTCGACGCCAGACATTCAGAGATCACGTTGTCGCCGACGGTATCGTCCCATCCAGTTTGTCAACCCTCGGCGTGCCACGGCCACCCCGCGCGACCAGATCACGTTACTGGACTGGAGAGACAGTCGAGGCAAGGCACGTGCTCGACTGATGCCTAGTTGAGATTCCAGTCAACGTCTCGACGCTCTCAGTGAGCAGATCACCACCACTACTGCCACGATCGCATTATCCGCCGTCTCCTCTCTGTCCCGATCGGTGATGTTTCAAGTATTGGAACTACTAGTCAATCACTAGTAGTGATTCTTGCCGGAGACCCAGGGAGGTGCTGACTGCTGAGGCCCAGACCCGGGCCGGGGCGGGAAGATCAGAGCTGCCCACCCGCCTACGACTGAGTAGGGTGAGGGTATTATAGGCGCTAAACAGTACAAGTACTACAGTTACACAGTTACACACTAGAAGTAAACAGTGACACGGGTCGTGTGTTAGACATTGGGCAAAGGATGTCTGAGTATTATCGGTTCCATATGCTCTCTGATGAATCTCGATTGTGTCAGGACTCAGGACTCAGGACTCAGGACTACAAGGTAGTGGTACTAGTAGTAGGTACCTCAGTCAGGGAGCTATAGTACCTACTGGAGGTACCCAGAATCGGAGAACGTGACTCGGGTTGATCACCCAAGACCAACCTTAAAGCTGCGCATCCTGTGAGCACCGAGCAGGGGTCCTCAGGTCCCAAGACTGCTACTGCGCTGTCGGATTGGAATTTCTGTTGATAATGGCGTCCTTCATACCAGCCAATCTGCTATCAGACCGGACAGATCTTGCGATTCGGACCTGAGAATCGCGCTGGTCCCCACTTCACGTACTCCGGCCGTAAAGCGACCTGATCTGACTGACTGTATCACCATTCACCACGGTCCAGTTCCACTACTACTAGTATGAGTAGGTATGAGTATGAGTATAAGTACCGATAAGTAACGCTACCTACCTAATGATCGGTAGTTCTGTAGTCTATAGTCTGTAGTCTATAGTCTGTAGTCTGTAGTCTATAGTCTGTAGTCTGTAGTCTGTAGTCTATAGTCTGTAGTCTGTAGTCTGTAGTCTGTAGTCTGTAGTCTGTAGTCTGTATCATCACTATCGAGGATTTGACTCCACCGTCAGTGCTGCGTAACGTTTCCGTACCATCGCGCGATCGCACGATAAGCAATGGTCATCGTCCATCATTCCAATTTCCATCAGTCATGCGATTAGACGACATCACGACAGTGACACCGCTGCATCGGAGATGGACCCCAACTGTCCGAGATCCATCTATCAGGAACATATGATCCCAACTACACAGACAAGTCTCGGTCAATCAAACCCCCCAAGTAATTGATCGAAGGGATCACAGCACATGTCTATCGCCCAGTAAACAATGAATGACGATTCTCATTTGACAGCCAATGGGCAGCGAGTCCAATGGAATTTCTCGAAAATTGCACACAGGACATGGATGATGGCTCTGCAGTCTGCATGTACGTTCGATACACAATACACATAGTATGATGGATGAATCAGCTCCAACATTCCAAGCAATGCTGATATCGGAACCGCCGCCGCCCGCACATTCCTGCTGTCGTTTTCATGGAAACCAAACACCCAGATTCGTCACGGCAGACCGTCAAGGGCTCTCTGGAAGGACAGATATGCGAACCATGCGTCTCAGCCGCAGCCTGAAGAGGGTCACTTTTCAATGCAAGATGGAAGATGGCAGCTGCCCAGTCGGGTAGATCCAAACAACCGTTCCCAGGCACATTTCTCCTTTGTTTATCCCGAACCGGGTTCCATTTTTCAAGTTCTACATGTCGAACAAACGGGTGGCACCAACCCAAGTTTTCAATTGTCCACGTTTGACCCAACGAAAGAAAAGAAAGGAAATTTGGGTTGACCTTCCCTACCCGAAGGTCTGCTACTGCAACTGCAACTGCATAGAAGAGCGTCAGCAGTCGACGCCTTTAGGACCAATCGTCTGCCGAGACGAGAGCCCATGGGTCTGTCGAGTGTTGAGTATTTCGCCTGCGCGAGAGTGCAAGCCGCTAGCCAGCCACAACCCGACATCCCCTCTTTGTTTGATCAAGATAGATTGCGGTACCTGTCCAGAATCAAGACGATCGCCGATCGGGAACAAAAAAATACAAACAAACCCCAAAAAAAACACAACCCCCCGAATTTGACCGAGCTTCCAATTCTGAGGCTACAGACATTTAGGGCGACTTGAACTTCTTACCGTACACGGTATATAGTAGAGACTTCACGATTCCATCTCCTCGCAGAGGTCTTGGTCGACTATCGTCAGCTGGGAAAGAGGAGTGAAACACCCATCAAGTACTGCAAGTTCCCAGCGATAAGCAAATACACAATCATCGATCAACAGGGTTCCATCACGCCGGCAAAGGCAATTCAAACTTGTTGATCTTCCTGACCCGCTCACAGATTTCCCTTACTTTGAATGGCTCCACTATGACGAAATGGCAAGGGACGACAACACACTCAAACAAAAAGTGGAAGACGGGAAGCAGCATCTCCGGATTCATTGAAGAAGGGCTGTTGTGGATCTGGATCTGGAACAAATTCAGGTTGGGTGTACGACTCTAGGGTATTTCTGTGCGAAGATTCGGGTTCAACGGACGGCATGGAGCTTCGATGCTGTCGAGAATGGAATGAACCACTTGTTCCGCCCCTGGAACCATTTTCCGACATGCTCTCTTTTAAGGTAATGGCACTGAGTGGGGGACCTGGGAAGAGTGATTGACGTGGAACCCATCCTTCTGCACGACGTTGGGCCTGCAATCCCAAGCTTGGCGATCTGAGGACCGTCGGTCAATTTCCAACCGGATGCCCGTACCTCTAGAACGGACGAAATGGGAAGACGAAAGGCCTTCAGGGCCTAGACGGGCAAACACGACAACTGGAAGCCTGGGGCTTGAACCTGGATTTGCGCGGGGGAAAATTGCAGTGCTTGCTTCGGGCACATATCTCATGCTCAATGTGTCGATGATTCGAGAGGACGGTATACATGAGGCAATAGGTATAGAATATAGATTGGTCGGCGAATGCATCCCCGAAGACAACGACCTACCTAGTCTATGCGGGAATTACAAGTACACGGTTTGACGGGTTGCTTCATGCGGAAGCATATCCGAAAATGAATTCGCCCACGGTGAGCATATCATCAGGTAAGTGACCTAGATCAAGAGATCAGCCATTTCCATCGGTCTTCTCTTCCATGTCTCCCTTATTGAATGTCGCGAGCCAGCCCATTGGAAGGTACACACACCATGGCTGACCTGTCACCTACTGTATCAATTTGACCAACAGGCACTCGACGATGGTCGTTTCACCAAGGTCGCGATTTGAAAGTCAAATCTTCCAGAGGCAGAGACAGACGTACCCGACACATGGAGGATAGAACCTTGACTCGAGTTGTTCAAGGATAATTCCACATAAAAACCTGTGCATATCTCGTCCAGTCCTGGAGTACTTTCAATATATTTAGTGCGACTCCCGTCTCCAGGCTGGTTCTCAGTCCGAACAAGAGCCCGCAACTCCCTGTGGACCCAGAAAGTATCAGTGCTTAGCCCTACCCAAACTTGACATTCCGTGTCAACCGGATACCATCCTAATACCATCCTAAATGGACCATCAGCCTGATACCATCCCAAATGGAACCGCTACCTAACAGGTAATACTACATTGATGATCGAGACACCCCAGCTCGATATCCCACCTGCGATCTGCCTGACCAGCCCTAAACACTCCAACCATGCTTACCGATCGATCGAAGAAGCCCTGGACCTGGACAGGCTTGCATACCTTACTCTGACCTGTGATGCTTTCTTGACGATCGATCAGGAGTATCGACAAGGCTAATACTGGTGTAACCTGGCAGGAATGGAAGACCCCATGGAGACGGGATCAGTCCGCAAGGTGGACCTACGTGGACGTGATTGCGACTTTGACGTTGAAAGCACCAGGGTAGGTGGGTGCGTGGACTTTTTGACCATTCCCAGTTCATGATAAATGAAGGACCAACATTGGAAGGCGCTCATCATTCGTCATGGTCAATGCGAGGGCTGGGGTGGTACACACCGTGAAAATCATGGCTCCAGCCTGTGATCAATTGTCCATGTCCAAGATACTGAGATGGAAACTCCAGAATCTCAACCAGGCCTCCCGGCTGATCTCGTTGAAGCAGGAGGTGGCATTATGGCATATGGATCAAGAACTTGTGGGTCCTAAGTTTGATAGTTCGACACTACTTCATACACTTTGCAACCCATCTCCCCTTCGGAAGAAACCTCCTTGGCAACCATGTATACTGACAAAATTTCGCAATGATGGAGCGTTGGAGACTTGTTCAGTTGCCCGCCTAGAATTGGAAGTCTTTGGAGGACTCGTTACGATGCATTAACCCGAGTCGTAACAAGAGCGGATCCCGAGTCCGGTATCCTGGATCAAGCATTGAGTCTCTCCTCGATCTCATATGCTTTTCTCGTTATGAGTCTGACAAGGGTATTCAAGTCAACATTGAGAGTGCCACAAGTCTTGCCTCGTATTCCACAGTTCGCACTACGCAGTAAAAACAAGACCAATGCCGGGCAAGTCACTCGCCCGAGGTGTCGATGAATGGTACCCGTTGAAGAAGTGTTGTCAAAGACCAAAGTACTGTAATCATCTGGCAAGATCTGCACATTGACATTTGCCAAGAAAGAAGAAGCACTCTTCAAGTCTGAATATACTTCCATCCACACGATCGGTTGTTCCAACAGACGGGCGAATCATCTTCTCAAGCATTTGAAACACGCTGGAAACACACGGTGCACACGCCTTGTCCTTCTTGTCCGCCGAACCTGAATCGAGGATACTCCACGCGACCCCAGACCTTCAAGTGATCCTTCTGGTCAGGCTTCGTCTCAGGCGCAAACCACTTCACCAGCTCGTCCTCCGTCCAGTTGCAACTAGTCACGATCAGGTATCCTCCCTTCGTGACCAGCCGTCGCGCAATATCGGGGTATCGTTCACACACGCGTGTGTCTTGTGCGTCATCTGCCAGCGAAATCGCATCGAACGTGCCCTTGTCCAAAGCAATGTCGAAGCCGCCCTCTTCATAGGGGAACCAGCTCAATGTTTCAGAGTCGGAACTCGGCAAAATCTTCTCCCCGGTTTCAGACAACAGAGCCCTTGAGTTCAAGATGTCCCACTCCTCAAATCGAATTGGCGCAACTTCGGTTCCACCCTGTGACGCAGCGTTAGGTGCTTCATCTCCGGCTCCAAACCCGTCCTCTTCACCACTGTCCTCATCCTCGTCCTTGTCCGTATCATCTTCACTATCAGTCCGATACGCCGAATGGCCCCTTGATCGCTGCAACTCGCGCGCCAACTCCACACTTCTCGCCGAGTAATCGACCCCGACCATCTTCCCCGCAAACCGACCTTTCTTCCGCAACAGCGCAAGCATACTTCCGTTCCCCGTGCCCAGATCTAGAATTGACGGCGGAGATTGACCCTTCGCACGAGTGTTACGCGGCGCTAGTGGAAACGATCGTCGCGTCAGGAATTGGACGACCTTTTCGGGGGCGTTGTGCTCGGAGAACCATGATGTGCCGGGGTCATCTTCGTCGTTGACATCGGCGTCCGAGTCTGCGTCGGAAGTCTCCTGGGTGAGAGGACTTGGGTCTGTCTCTGCGTCGCCATTTGAAATGTGCGCGAGTGTGCGTGCGTAGTATGATTCCCAACTGTTTTGTGGCGGAAAAAAAAAGGGTTCGTCAGTTTGCGGTCAAGTAGACGCAACGAAGATATCGGAGGTATATGTTGGTCGAGACAAGAGAGTCTGATAATTCAAACGTCATGAAGAGAGAGGAAACTCAATATCAAGAGCTCCGTGGCTCTTTGAAATTCCCCATTCCCATCTCAAGTGACCTTTCTCCTCAGCCCACCTTGACATGCAGAGGGGCAAAAGCGGGCTGCATGACTGAAAGGTGGGGTGAATCTCAAGGACCCATGACAAGCTTCTCCCCCTTTCTCTCTATCCACGCTGATTACAACACAATGACACTTACTAGTCTTTTGAGCCCAGCTCACTGGGCGATAAATAAGCTGGATGCGCACCGTCAGCCATAGTCTGCGTTGAAATGAGGGGGATATTTTTGTTTCGAGGAGGGGGAATTTTTTTTTTGGAGCGGAGGAGCCGCGGGCAAAAGATGTCCTTATCGGGTTTCTTATCGCTTCCACGCATGCGCCTGGTCGACCTCAGTTGGTACCATTGGGAATCGCGATTGCATCCATAAACATGGTTTTTTTTTTTTTTTTTTTTTAGGCTGCGTATTCTTTACTATATCTGGTTTTAGCTATCAGCTGTTTTGCCAATAGTCTGAAAGCTCATACCAATGATACCGCTCATTGAAAGAGAGAATAGTTGAGTCCCAGAATGTTTACTACACTGTAAGCGGTATCTAGCTTGAAATACGTTGTCTGCCAACACATTTGTACGGGCCGCTTGGGATCTGAGATGATTTAATGGGATAAGACTCGTCAGAGAATAATTCATTGATCATATGATCGAACAAATAGTATTACAGCTTGCTGACTGGCTGCGTGGCAGTATGGAGGTAAATATGTAGATGAGTCCTGCATCAGCTTCCATTTGAAAAGGTATCCAACTATAGCGGATTCGTCCATGTTGGAATGAAAGTGGGAGCGACACAGTAAGGAGAAACAAACGATTGAGGTAGTGGGAGGTCCATACAGAGGCTGCCAGGACGCCATCTCCTGTGCAGTGAGGTTGGGATAACGGGGGTTGGGCAAAGAAAATAGACGACTGATATAAAGTCGAAACTCTGATGAGAGAGAGAGAGAGAGAGAGAGAGAGAGAGAGAGAGAGCAAAGCCCGCTTTGGTCATAGACATCATCAACCCAGTCAGAATAAGGGGGTATATGACTGGGTGTATAGAAGTGGAACAGTGGTGAAAAGAAATGCTTTGGAAATAATCCAACAAAGAAAGCAGACAACGGTTAGCGGTAAAGGTGAGAAGGAAAAAAAAAAAGTAAGTGCCAGTGCCGCCAGAACGGACGATGTTTTTGCTAGGGCACACAACGATGCTAGAATCATACAAGTCATCTCAATTTGCCTTTCTCGGAGAGAAAAAAAAAAAACAGGCAAATTACAAAAACTCATCGATGTTCCTCAAGATCATACGCTCACCTCCAGCAGGAGGAGATCGCGGGTCCGAGACTTCATTGTAATAGTTCTCGACGGACGCGATGCTTGCAGATGGGATACCCTCAACCTTCTGCAAGGGTAGAGAGGATGAAGGTTGGGGTGGTGCCAGAAACCCTGACGTCCTCGGAGAAAAGAAGCCAGGGCCAGGCTCTGGAAAGCCTGGGGGTCACGGACCAAAATTTCAGTTGGAGCGTGTGGGCCATGGCTGCTGACGGCCCGTGGTAAATCCGGGTTCCCAAAATCGGAGACTGATTCGATTGATTGGAATTTTTGTCGGAATGGCAGAGGGCGAGGAGAAAGACTGCGCTTGGGTGATCGGTTCTCATTGCAACTGGTCTTGGGCCGTAGACCCCTTGATGACGATGTTGAGGAGCCAGCGACTGGAGATGGCACGTGTACCACATGGGGCACCTCATTGAGAGCGGATCGTTGCTGTGCCTCTTCGCGTTCAGCACGCGTCACCTGAGGCTCGGAGCTGCGACGGCCGGTCTTAACGAACCACTCCTGAGGCGCCGCTCTCGTAGGAGGAGATCCACGGAGCAAGTGAGCGCGGAAGTCGGTGAGCTGGTAAATGAGACTCATGTTTGGGCCAACCCACTGACTGCGTCCCTTGACCACATCGTACATCGAATTGAAGTCCAAGTTCCGATTCTTGTACAAGCCATAAGCAATCACCAAGGACGCGGACCGACTGGCACCGAGCTGACAGTGGATCAAAACTCGTTTACCCTTGGAGATTCGATCATCAATCAACTCACACAAGGGGAAAAGATCCTCCAAAATTTCGGAGTTGTGGTCCCAGCCAACGTGGATGTACTCGGGCGACTCCGAGGGTGTCGCAGCAGATGTCACTGGATGCGTGGCATCTGCTTCGGAAGGCTGGTATTCAAAGGCGGATTTGAAAGAGATCTCAGATACGGCGGTTTGGGGCTCGCCCATCGAAAATCGCTTGGATACGATGGAGCTATTACGCCAGGTGCTCATAACCGTATTGCTGAGCTCTTCATCTCCAGTACTGAACGGGTTCTTGACTTCCTTGGCGACGTTGATGACGACGTCAAACCGCGCGGCCTCCTCAGCTGTAGGTTCCAGATAAAGAAAGACGCCAGTGTCGTAGATTCGAATAGGTCCGTCCGGGTATCCGCGCTCTTTACCACGAGCGGACTCTCGCGAAGCTGGGGCCTCGTCCTCTTCGTCTAACTCGGGAATGACAGTCTGAGGAAACGTAGAAGTATCGTCGGGTAATGACTGCAAAGCTGACACTGTATTGTCGGATGATGTAGTGGGGCGTCGTCGGCTACCGGGGCGTGAAGAAGGCCGAGTCAGCTGTGGCAACTGCATACCACCCTGGGGCGCGAATCCGGGGGAAGCAATAGACGTGAGGGAAGGCGATGATTCTGCATGCCGCAGGAATTGTCGACCCAAGGGAGTAGGGGGTACCAAGTCGGGCACGTTCGTCGTGAAAGACTTGTCCAGGCCTGGTGTGCGAATTGTGAGGTGGGCGGGGCGTCGTCGACCACTTTTGGGGGGCATGTGGATTGGAGATGGAGGGGCCGAAAGATTGCGCTGGGATGTGGTTTCGACCATGGACGCCGTCGCAAGTGGTGGCCGGTCCTGCGACGGCAAGGGCACACGCAATGACAGGTTCTTCAAATTGCGTGGTTTTGGCCCAGGCGAGATTGGGCGCGCAGCCGCTGACGCGGGTGACAGCAGAGAGTTATCCAGAGGCATCGCGGGGAACGAGGCGGTTCTCGTGGGGCAGGATGGAGGGAACTGAGGGTATGACAGCGGCAGAATTGATGGGGTTTCTGGAGATGAGCTTGGGGAGATGTCACCCGTGGAGGGGCAATCGAAGGGCGAATCGGCCGTGTATGGAGAGGACTCGGTTGAACCAGAGGTGACTGAAGAGATACTCTCACGATGGCCGGATGGATGGAAACGTTTCGTGTTCGAGTGAATGTTGACAGGAATGTGGGCAGGTAGTTGCAGAGGATGGATCGAATGCTCTTCTTCCTTGTACCGCGAAGGCAGACCACCGTAGACTGACATGAAAGACGGGAAGGTGTCCGAGAAGGACGGTGGACTTGTTTGTATCGGCATGATTTAAGGCCCGCTGCAGACTTTGGATGAAAGGGAGAACCCACAAACTCTTCCAGTCGAGGGCCCAGTTCACGAACTAGATATAGATGGAATATGGCATGTGTGCACTTGTTTTGAAGGGATTGATCTCGACTCTCGGAACAACAGTAAACTTTGCTGCCGGCGCAAATTGAAAAAAAAGGAATGGAACTGTAGTCTAGGTCTTTTCGGGAGGACATCTCGTTAGTTTTGAAGCTTACAAGTGTAGGCCAAGAGGCCTGGGGGTGCCAGAAGATCCGCGGGCGCAAGCTGCAAGGGCTTCAAAGGGTCTGAAACCAATGATCTGCAACCGCGCACATCATGCGGCCCCCATGGAGTTCAAAGGCAATGTTGTGTTCCACGGGCATGGGACGTGCCCTGTTTCAGGGGAGTTCAATCCGACCAGAGACGCTGGAAGAATTCGGGCCATCGTCGATTTGGGGGCCTGTCGATGGGGCCTGTTCACATACCGGATTGTTCAAGCTCGCCGGGTCACCAAAGGATCTCTTTGCACGTCTCGGGCTCGCAGAGCAGAAGCTTGAGATGGCTTGGGAGGGGTCCGATCACGTGGCAGTGTTCGTTCTGGGAGAGCGTTGGCAGCGATTGTGTTGGGCGTGTGTATGTGTGTTAATTCCCGGTTGCTCCGAGGGAAGACGAAAGCTGGCAAAGGACGGCGGGGGGGGGGGGGGGGGGGGCAGCAGAGGGAGCTACAGGGAATAGTTGGGGGCGAGAGTCGTTCCTCCGGGGAATGACGGGGAATGTTGCCAATATGAAGAAAGTCAAAAAGAGAGCGCAAACACGACCGGCGAGTCCAAGAGTACTCGAACACCGACAAACACGGCTCCGTCCTGGGACCAAGTGAAGGACGGGGTGGATGGAGGTGCAGTAGGCGTGGGGCAAAGGGAGAGAGAAGAGGAAGGAAAGAGAGAAGAAAAAAGGCGATGGGAGGGGGGAGCGGTTGTGAGACTAGTGGGAGAGTGAATTAAGGCTGAGGTCACCGATGGGCGGGTGGTGAAGCAGCTTGTGCCAGCCGATGAATGAGGGACCCTAACGGGGGTTGGCGAGCATTGACCGTAGTCACCGTACGACTAGTATGACTATTCACCACTCACAGTACTCAGGAGGAGGGAGCGACGAGAGGAGAGCGAAATTCAAGAGAGGCATAGGAATGGAATGGTTTTGTTGTTGTCTTGTTTCCAATGTTCCAGTGCTGGGGTTGAGGTCCTCGTAGGATTGTTTCCTGGTCCCTCCACGCGAGGGTGTACCGGTACATCACTACAGTACCTGAGTACACGATCGTGACTCCCACCGGACTCAGCGGAGCCCTACAGTAGTGGAAACTGGAAACTGTTGCGATTTTTTCCATTTCCCGATTATTCGATTTTTCCCATTTACCTACTTCCTCTTCCTCGTCTACGCTGTGGTCTGTCATTGGGCACTGGGTGAACGTGTTTCGTCTACCTCCGTTGCGACAGCGTCAGACGGACCGGACAACGAGACCATCACAGAGTGTAGACATCTCACCCTGCATCCTGATTTGATCGTGATGGGAGTCACTTCCAACCGCGGGCCCCATTGCCTCGCTTGGAATAGCGGAGGCGGGAGGAGGGAGGAGGGAGCTGGGCTGAACCAGAAGCCCGCTACATAACCGCATCTGGATGAGGATGTGATGTTTATCCTCGCGCAATCAGACTCCATCTATCGGTCCCGGACCAAGGTTGAGAGGTCTAGACGCGCAGGAAAAGAGGCGAGTGATGACACTGGAAGGAGGATTTTGATAGTCTACCTAAGCCTAATGAGACTAGACACCGAGGCAGTGCAACACATTATCTTATGCTCGGAATCGATACCTGGCTAGAAGGACCAGTGCGTCAATCTTGGTCGTTTCTACCGTCCGATCTCTGCTCATCTACTATACAAGTGCACAACGGATGTCAACACATCTCTGCCGTCCACCAAGTGAGGATGAGAGAATGTTACTGTCACTATCTTGGTTTTACTATAAAGTTCAGAACTTGGTACCACTGATCAAGTAGAACCCTGAATATGTCCACAGTGTCTACCCCCCCCCCCCCCCCCCCCCCACAGCCCACACGATCGTCTGCTCTGTGCAAGAGGGTTTAGGTCTATGAAGTATCGAGTATAGCAGTATATCGACCTGGCTACTGCGATGCTGTCTGTCCCCTCGGACATCTGGCTCGATCCTGTATGAACGGGCGGCCGTGGCCGTGGAGCTTACCCTAAGTGCCGGGACGGTCAATTCTTGCCCAAATATCCATAGTACAGTTACACAGTTACCAGAGTAAGAGAAGTACTGCGGTAGAAGGGTTCACCCGAAAGACCCAACGAAGAGCGACCTGGCCCAGAGATCTCCGATGCGGGGACCCACTTTAATTTCAGGTGTTCGAGGAGAGAAGGGCTCATTGTTTCGGATCTGTTTCTGCTTCAGACTCTAGTCCCTCGCCCCCGATGATCTTTGATCCATCCTCCGCTCTCCATACCAATCCCAAGGACAAAGAACATCCAGGATGGCTATCACACGATCACGCAATTCAATCTATTCCCAGGCAAGCGTGACGGTGTCAGATAGCCCTGGAGTTCGCTTTTTGGGCCGAGGTGGTGTCCACTGTCCAGCGGTGGACCTAGCGAGACCTTCCTGGCTCGTCGCGTGGGAACTTGGAAGTACAGTACTACAGTACTACAGTACTGAGTCTACTGACAGTCTGACTCTACTGACTCACTGAGTACTCTACGCGAACGCTGACTGGCTTCGTGGACTGAACAGACCCGAACGGGGTGGCTTGGGTGGCTGCTCTAAATTTAGCCGCCGGGGGCGTTGGGATCGTACTCGGCGCCAAACGCACGTCGATGACAGGCCTATGCCGGTGCGCCTGCAATCGAATTTTTCCTTCTCACACATGGATCGCGTACGTAACTCTCACCTACAGTACGTGTGGTCATCGATAGTACAGTAGAAGACCAGGTTGACAGTACTGTACATGACTCCATCCAGGAAGATACACAACTACTGCACCTTAGCACACAGGTAATGATGCTGACTGCCGGCCGCACTCGAGACCTATTCTTTTCATCTTAGTAGCAGTACACAGTTGAATCCAGTGCACCGGCATGCATGAGTTGCTAGTGGGAGACTGTGAGTGACTGGGTCTAAGTCACACTTAGTTAGTACTCCGTACTTCACTAACTTACTTCTTACTACTTACTAAGTTACTACTAACTTATGTATAGCGGAAATGAGCGACGACTTCACCTGCGGGCTGGCTTGCCCGTAAAAGACAAGCTCGGGCTGATCCTTTCGGAGCTAGGAATCTTCGGAAATGAAACAAGCCCAAGCGTCAAACTTGTACCAGGTACCTCCATGCTCGGTAGACGGGATGCTTAGGACTCCTAGTGCTGTAGCACAGTGAGTAAGTAGTAGGTACACATCTACACAATCACATCGCGTTGACCGCCGTCCATCTGGTCTCCCTGCCCACACGTTGGATCGCCAGTGCACAAGTTCGAGAATAGCTTCTCGATGATTGCATGCATGCATGTGCATCATCTCCTCCCGCGGGAGAGCTTGATCAGAAGCGTAGCTGGTTTTTCCGATCGGGGGACCACGACCGTGGTTGGTGTATCAGCGAGACCTGAAACCGCAGAGAGCCCGACGGAGCTGAAGGAGGCGATTCTGAAACACTCGGGTGGGTCCGGCCCCGCGCTAGTCGTCGCTAGCGGCCTCTTGGCAGGACCAGGACGGAGCCTATCGCCGTTGACGAACGGCGGGAACCCAAGTTTGGAGATGTCCAAGCGTCCACTGTCATTGCAACCTGGCCGTGAAAGGCGGATCTTTGTTGAAACGACGAAGCGATGGTACTGTATGACTATGCACAACATCCCCAACACCGAGAGACTCAAGAATGTGACTTGTGATATTCATCACCACCGATTCATTGCTCTCCAATCATGATGCCCGCAAGGGAGATTTAAAGCTGGCGGCAACACTGCTCCAGAGTCTCAATTATGCGCCCTTTGTTGCGTGTTTGTCCTCAATTGCTGAGAAGGACCCGCGCGGCCTTCTTCCGTCTGGCTATGATCCAACGAGCCGCTGATGATCTCCAGACTGGCCACTTGGAGGTAGAGTCAATGTGTGATCATCATACAACCCACTCTGAGCGAATGAAAGTCAACCGAGCCCCAGACTGCGTAAGCTCCCCGTTAGATGGACCAGTGCACTACGTTGAGTGTGTTCAATCACAATGTACCAGAAAAGGGGCGCTTACAGAGCTGTTTTCAGCCTCTCACGCATATCCATGTATGGCCAAGGTTCCAGGCTCATGGATTCCAAAGTAACCTCGGGAGAGACTCCAGGAGTTGTGTTACAGTGAATCACTGCATAATGCTTATACCTTCAGACTGGTTGTCCTATGCGCTTGTGAACTGAATACAACACCCTCTCTGTCTTACAACGGTACCGCTTCAAAGTCCAAACCAATTTAAAAGTGACCATGAGACGGGATCTGTTTGTACGAGATTGTGGGTCATTGAACACTTTGACCCGGTTCATTACCTGGCAGGCGGGCTCCATTCCGCTACCTCGTTAGCGTGGATTCGTGGAGGGTCATTCGTGTTGTATTACCGAGTTACCAACTAACTAAGTCACAATACTGAATACGCGGGATATCTCAAGCCCTGCATTCATTGAGTGTATCCTTTTCCTGGAAAATGCGAGGCAGAAAGACCTGATTATCAGCGCTTGGCAGATCCTGCACCAAAAGCAAATCTCACGTGGCGAGGATGACAATTTGCATGATCAAAGCAGAACACCCATTCGGGAAATGTGTCTACATATACGATTATACCTTGGAGTTTCAATATCGGTCTGGGCACCAACGACGAGACGGCCATTACCTATATTCTGCTGCGTGTCAGAGAACCTTGCGGCTTGCAGTACGTCGGCAGCCACCTCTTCCTGCTCTGGAAACTTGCCTAGTCCTACCCCCAAAGACGGCTGCGTAAAGGCAGGGGAGATTTTTCATGTCGTCGACCTGTTGTCGATTCCCCCAAAGACCGTCCAAGGTCGTCTGCAGGCGATCCTCATTTGGATGACTTCTAGCCCGCAGCCAGGCAAGCCTGTTTCACCTTGATTACTTTATTGTCCAAGCTCCTGCTTAGCCCCGGTGTCAGTGCAGATAATGAGAAAATCGGAAACCGGAGCAATAGCGCAGTATGCGGTATCGGGCACTCACCTATCCACCTTGAGCAGATAACCCATGTCACTACGAAGGGGCCACCGAAAGAACAATGCCTCCGGCGAGCTGAGGCGACAATATGAAGCAAGAATGCCCATATCTCGCTAGTAGTGGACGGCTAGACGCTCGCTTCCTAGGCTCTGTCACGAATTTATGAAAAGGCTGTCATTAATCTGAAGCGCAGGAGTGTTTACTCAGAAAATATATGTAGATTGCGGCTCAATTCAACAGGCGGTTGTGTCTTTGGACTCTTTTTGAAACGCTCATGCGGACGGCGGTTCTGCCACCGTTAGGTTCATCTCACAATGAATGACTTCAACGAGCCTGGACTCTCTCACCAGTCTAGCGAGAGTAAGGCAATGTTCTCGGGTTGGTTTGTGCAGGGTCTGAGGGTTCTTGATTCCTGAAATTTCGAATGAAAGCTCCATTGTTTTTGGGCGCGTATTTGCAGAAGTATTGGCGTCATCATGAAATGGCATTGGGATCCCAACCTTCTATAGAATCTTGGCCAGCGAGATGAAATAACAGTCCCGCCTATGCCAAACAGGCGATGAAAACTGGCATGTACCATACGGGCAGTGTATAACGTACAGTGTACCTATGGGAATGATCAGAAATCAAGTCTCTCAGTGCCTGAGCCTCGGCCCTATCACCACCTGACTTCGGACTTACCTAGCAGGTGGCAGCCAGCTTATTACCTACCGCACCACAATCCCACAACGTCCTCTACACCAGTCCTGCAGTTCAATGTGATCTGAGGTACCTAGAAAGATTTCTTCATCACTCAGCCTCCACATTCCTATTCAAGGCACTAGATCTTATCCGCATCTAATCACGCAGCTCTGAGCTAGCAAGATGCAGAGTTGAGCATTTCGCTCACATCGCCATGGGACATATCTGAATATCCAACTGATACTGGACTGGAGCATGTCCAAGCACGGTCATTGGTGCCGTGCTGCCTCAGCGCTGCGACAAAGAGCTAGATTGGGTCGTGCATCCATTATAGATAGCGTCTCGCATCGTCAAGACAGACGCCTAGATTCTGGTAGCCGTCCCCGAGGATTCAAAGAGTGTCATCCCATGATGTGCAGATCGTGAGAATCTGATGTCAAGTCAGGCGTGAAGCATCTCGGATCTGACACGGTTTGGCTGAAGAGCGAATCAACATCGACGTCAACCCTCAACAGGAACGATCGCTCCAGGTCTGAGAGCAGGTTTCACAATTTGACACAACTAAGGGCTGAAAGCCCACTGTGCGGATGGATGGCTACGACTTTGTCAACCCAGACTATCGACGCAACGCTAGTGTCTCTCGGCTTGGTCTGATGTGGCTATGACTGGATTTCATTCAGTGAACGGTGCATGCACTCGCCTCCAATCCAAATCCACGTGGTCAGATGCTGACTTGTTCATCATGGGCCGTCGGAATACTGGTCCAGTCATCAATTGTGTTGGTATGACTCCACTATTTTCGAGAGGGCGGAGTCCCTTCTCCGCGAAGCCCATCGTATCAACGGCAGGTGCATGTTATGCCACATTCGACGCCTACAAAGTACATAGGACTCGCGGCATTCCATTCATCTCACCAAGAAAGGTGTTTGACGCTGAAATCAGCCTGTGGAAGCTGATTAACGATATCCATCGCCAATATGGAACGGCACCGAGTACACTGTAAGTGTCAATGTGGGCTCTTGTGCCGAACCAGTTCTGAAACCATGGTTGACCTGGGTTCTGGGTCTATCTCCGTCCACACGGGCCAAGCATCATACACATCACCTCGCTTGAGCTTTGAAAAGAGAGACATAGCCCTGTCCGGTGGGTTCTTCTTCTTCATCGCGGGAGCGAAAATTTCCACTCGATAGAGCGTCAGCGCTCGGCGGCATTCTTCCAGATAGGCATCCCATGGGGACGGTCTTGGACTTCTGAGCACTTGGCTACTGGCTGGTTGGTCATGTTGTTAGTTTCCAACTGTGATATTGCCATTTACAGGATGTTGATGTGATGGAACCAGTCAAGTTCGGAACACTCCGGGATCCCTGGAGCTTCCTTTTGGCAAGCTGGAACTCAGATTAGGACAGGGAGTCAGGTTAGGAGTGTGATGATAACAATCACGCTAAGATCACTCAAACTACTATCGGATCTTCTCAGCTGCATTGGGTCAACTGTTGCCCGTCTTGCTGCAGGGTTGCAATAATCATGGGAATTGACCTGTCGATTACAATTCGGCAGATGCTACAGTCTCTAGTTACTCGTCTGTGCATTAAGCTTAAGAGCTGCGAGGCCTCAAGTCCTTGAGATGATAGCCTGAGAACGATAGATGGGCGTCTAGAAGTAGTAGTAGTCCAAGAAAGTCAATGTGAACTCGTGAAAGAGACCCAGAATCCATTCCGCCTTACAAGAGACCGAGTACTGATCGCATACGTTTCTCGCAGCGACTGGCCCTTTCTCACTTCATAGAGAAGCCAATTGAGAAACGCCTTGTGTGCTTCTCATTTCAAAATCTTCTCAATTCAATCTATTTTGTGTGGACGTTCCTTCCTCTCCCAGGTATTTCCACCACTGCAAGCCCAACACTTTCGTTGTCTTGTGATGCCGCAGGAAGAAGCCGCCCGAGTGACAACCCGATCTCCGCTGCACCCCAGCCCGATTCCCCATCTTCTTCGACCTGCAGCTCCTGAGGCAAGCAGCGGTGACTCTTGACCCTGACTTCTTCTCAGGTTTAGGGGGTAGAGCTTTGTCCTTGCCCCGTGAAGCTTTATTGCAGAAAAGAGTGTTCAGATACAGAGCATCCAAAAGCGAGAATTGAGATCGGAAAGGTGAGTGATGCCACCCATCCACATCACATCAGTCGACGACACTGGCCTCCACGGACACCTGGTGCGACCGCCGGCGTCACTCTACTCCGCGAGTCTGCCGCTAAACAACGAGACAGCTTGATCGCAGGCCGAAGAATTCACGGACCAGCCCAGCCAACTTAGCCTGTTCAGGGCTTGAGATCAGCCCCACTGGCGCTGCTGTGTTGGTGAAACGCCAGCTCTCGGCCCTCTCTCCAAACGGTGCCCACGAAACGGCTCTTTCTCACGGTCGCACCCAGTCACGGCGATCCGTTCCAAGCTTTCTGATCCCCAGCCTCCATTACGCAACACACACAGAGTCCGACTCCGTCTCTCATTCCCTCTCTTCTTGCCTGCTCACTCGTGCTCAAGCGATCATCGACATCCAGGCCATCTGCATTGCATAGGAGCAATTCGGTAGTCACAACCACACTCAACGCTTGTTCAGCTCCCAATGCCGAGCGTTTCCAGGACAATAACAACACTTTCCAATCGGTCCCGCGCCCTAACGTGAAGAGTACTATGCCTTCGAGTAGAGTTCAGTCTGAAACAAAGACCTTCGCCAGTGATCATGATCGCGGTTTGAACGGTGTATCTCGATTGGGCTCTGACACGAACAACCGCCGCAACAGCGCAATCTTCAACAACACCCATAACAACCACAACGGCACCAAAGGCCACCCCAGTAGCACCCTTGGTCATTCTCCAAACATGGACGACGGCCGTGTCAAAAACGAGGATGTCTTTCTCAACATCGCCAGATCAGACTCAAGCCGTCGCGACTCGCTGGGTCGTGCGGACTTCAGACGCGTGAGTGGGTTTCTTTCCATTGCGACGGCGGGACATGCGTCGGAAAACAAAGCAGAATTCTTGCAATTGCAAGACAACTTGGTACCGAGATTCTCTCACAGCGTTGCTGACATCAGAGGTGGTGAGAGAGAATAGTCGCGACTAGGATATCCTCCTACCAGTTTACGGTCGCCAGCCACGCATGCCGAACCAGAACAACAAACCCCTTCCCTCGACCAACGCTTCAGCAACCCCGAAAGCCCCGTGCTTGCTCAAAAGGGCTCTCCCACTATTCTTGGAGGAACGCACAATTATGCCATCTCAGCGTCTACCTCTGTTCACCCTCTAGACGATCCAACGCGCTTTCGATATCCTAACCTCAACTCTGGATCGCGATCCGTGATCGGCGCGCCGCGCAGCCACCTGAGTCGTGCAAGCCCAGAAACATCACCCCGTTCACCACCAACGAGAGGCGAGCGCCGATCATCGATCCATGAACCTCGTCCGAGACGATCTACACTTTCAACGAGCCGAAATGGTCGGCTACCGTCCTCTTCAGATCCCATTGAACGGGGACCTGAAACTACAGAGAAAGCACGCGATGGAACCGAATCAACCTTATCTACTAATGCGCCTTCGACCGTCTGGGACGAGCTGGATGACTTGAAATCTCGAATTCGAAAATTAGAGCTCACTGGCAAATTGCCTCCATCATCGCAAGAAGCTATTTCAGGTGCCTCTCAGGAAAGACCACGGACTGCGGCGACGACTGTGACAGTGTTGTCAAGCTCTCCTCGACAGCAACGCAAGGCGAGATCTCCCTCTGCAGAAAAAGCGGTGCAAAATCCAGTGCATCCTCTATTACAAACGGCGATGACCAAGTCCCAGGAGGTTCTCGCACCCGAAGTGTACAGCGCACTTGAGGCCACGATCAAGGATGCTTTGGCCTTGTCTACCATGCTGGGCGTGAATGCAGCTCCGTCAGGCACGGTCTCTGTTGTGAATGGAGGATTCGCTTCCCCCGAACGACTGGCCCGCCGAAAGGCCGACAGTGTGTGCCGCAGCCTAACGGAGCTTTGTCTGGCTTTGACAGATAAGCAGCTACGGAGAGATCGGTCCGCTTCGACAAGTCGCGTGTTGGAGTCGCATTCATTGCGCGCAAATAGCGGCGAAACCGAGTCTTTAGCCGGCAGTTCCGCGTACCAGCGCATCACGGCCGCGGAGGCCGGGGCTCTTGAGAGGCAACCGAGTACGAGTAGTCGAATCACCAGTCGCTTGGAAGCCCGTAGACTCTCGCTCATCAATACAGGTGTCCCCACTACTGGCGACAGTCGGGTAGCACAATCGCCCAGCGTAGCTCCTCCACCGAGTCGTCTTCATCGATTATCGGCATCCATCCGCAGCCGCAGACTCGCTCAAGACGACGAGTTGGACACGACAAGCCCACTAAGCCGGTCTCTGTCGAGAGCTGTCACCGAGGCAGAGACGTCAAGTCTAGGCCAAAGCACCTCGACCCAACCACGGCTCTCCCTGGGCCGCTCCATCAATCGCTCCATGCCGAATGCCATGCAACAAGGACAGCGGGAGCAGGTAGTAGACTTGTCTCCCCGCACCCTCCAGTATCAGCACCAAGGCTCCGCGAGTGTCTCATCTCCACAGAGCCAACCTCAAACGCCTACTCCCTCGTCGAATATCCCCTACCGACGAAGCTACATAGCCACGCCTGCTCAATCGCCTGCAATTCCCCGGTCCAATATTCAGGGGGGATCCCGCCGATATGGCTTGTCATCTGACTTGCCCGATAGCACGGCAGGATCAGTGGTCGAGGGACGTACTCGATTCAATGCGGCAGACGTGCCTCGTAATCGCACTAGCATACCCCCTGCCAAATCTGCCGTTACCTACACCCCTGTATCGCAACCTCGCCTTCGTACGAACAGCTTGGATACGCGACGGTTCGGTCTCAGACGCCGCTCTGCTGCCACCCCGGATGAGTCCCTCAACCTGGACGACAGCATTGACTAGGCCAGCATTCCTGTCGCCTCGTCCCGGCCACCCCGGCATTTCTTTCATATCAGCGAATTGGCCTTCTTATGATAGCTTGTGCGTCGCGATGAGGGCTAGCGTGAACGCTGCGCGCTTGCGTCCTCTCACCTTCTCCGAACCTTTCCGTCTCTAACGCGTCCTCGAAATCGCATGAACATGAAGCGTCCTCGCATTGAATTTTCACATTGGGATTGTCTCCCCTTCCAGCATTCGTCTCTCGCGCCTCACTAGAATTGCATGCATGCATTTTTGTTGCGATTGGAATCACTTAGCCCTCCGCAGCTTCTTCGACTTCTTCTTTAGCCAAATTTCTTCGACTCCGTACCACTCTTTGGTCTCCCAGCCGGTTCCGCATTCTCCTCAACGTCAACGTCTTGACGCATCCAGTCTAAACACCTCTATGCATCCGACCTGCGGACTCTGTTTTCAATTCTACCGAAGAACTGCTATCTGGGACCCATTCAAGTCCTGGTCCTTGTCAATTTCTTCTGTCTGCTTTTCTCTGCAATCATTCTCTGTACACAATTACCGATACTTGACCATCAATAGATGGAGATACATGATGAGAACGAAACCTTATCGGAACTTTTGATTCTGTCGTCCATCATCCCTCTACCAATGTCGATAGTCAACTTCGAGCCCTTCTTGCCCGTCCCATTCTTTCCATTCCACTTCTCTTCCCGGCCACTTTGTACATTTTCCTCGGCATGTTCACTTTCAACCTCCCTATCGGTTGATTTTCATTCTTACAGTATCAGCCTGTCTCCTGGAGATCCTCTTCTTTTCCCCTTCCTTTTTTACTATCATGGAACGAATCTGACTAATGAATTGAATGAGCTCATTATTTTTCTTCCCCTTCTTCAATCCATCTACATCTCAGGCCATTCGGAGTCTTGACCTGCCATTGTTAAGAACCATCGCGTGCTAGAACCTAGCCTACGCTCCCTGTCTGGATTTCGAGAGTCGATCGGTAGGAAATGACCACCAACATGTTTCCAGAGCGCCGTTGGTGCGCGTGTCACCGTCGGCTCGTAGATGGAATGTAACAAAGGACTCATTGGCTACACAAAACAACACGTTGAGAAAAATTTTGGGGTTTAAAAATTGGTCGGTATTTAGTGTACTCGAGATGTGCCTCAAAGATGCCAAAATATCATGGACCTAAGATAGCCTTTGAGGGAAACGAAAAAAGGAGGAAGTCGAGAAGAGGGAAGGGATAAGAGGACATCGGTGGGCGGAAATCAAGAGAGCGGGGGAGGATAAGGAGACGTGAATTTTGAGATGAGGGCATGGAAAAGGACAAGTCGGGGCGAAAGATAAGAGTGAAGCGCAGGGTAAGAGTGTTCACAAGGTGGCGGTATTAGGGCACTAGAGATGGGGCGAGCCAGTTCAACTGAAATGTAGCAGGGAGAGTGAGTAGCTTTTCAAACGCAGGCTGTCTCTTTGACCAGATACATTCGGCAGCGAGCGCGACTTTCACTAGGGTTGAGGACTTCCAACAGACATTTTAGGGACGAGGGAAGTTGTGATCAGGAAGGATTATGGGAATGTTTTGCAGGGTTGACCGGCTTCTCATGTGCACGTGCATATTCTGGAAAGAATAACCTTGAAACTTGAAGTCGCAAATGACGTAAATCATGTATCCGGATGGCCGGTCCTGCAAGAAAAAGCACGCAGGCATTCAATAATCCCAAATGGTCGCGTTGGTTTTCGCAGGGACAGCGGAGGACTAAAAAACTGTATCCCATGCCGGATCATTCCAAAGCGACCGCCCGGGTCAATAGCCCGATTGCTGATTTGTCAAAATCATCAGGCACGCATTCAATCATCCAAAATGGTCGTGTTGATCTTCGCAGGGACAGCGGTGAGCATAGGCATACCTTAAAAAGCTGAATCCCATGCCGGATCATTCCAAAGCAAGCATTCGGGCCAAAAATTCAAAGAGAACTAGAGCAAGGCCCCGCGCAAACACAAATACGTCAAAAGAGTAGCGGGTAAAGATCAAGGATACTGATGGCAGGATGGGAGGATGAGGATGACGAATGGGAAAACAAAGAGATAAAGAGGACGAAGAGCAGAGAACGGAAGGAGTATCGCTTGCTCAAGACCGCCGCAGATCATGACCGACGGCTTGAAGTCATAAGGTTCGAGGGGAGAACGCAAAGGAAACCATGCAAGCGGGTCTAGGCCGCCTCCCCACCAAGGTCAACGAACCATGGTGGTAGGAGAGAAGATTTACTCTTGGGGCAGCTGGCTGCGGCGAGTCTTCTCTGCTTCCAGGTTCTCATATAGCAGATATAAAGCCTTCTCATTAGCCGAGGCGCTGCCCATGATGGTGAACATACGCTCGCCGGTCTCGTCATGGGGCGCCTTGGCAATCGAAATGCGGGCGCCAGAGCTGCGGCGGATCTCGGTGATCTTGCTGCCCGCACGACCGATGATGCAACCGACCATATCAGCGGGGATGCTGATGTTCTGGGTCTGGATCTCGTCTCCATCCTCTGTCACCAAGGGGAATCCACGGCTACCGGCATCGGAATTGGAGCGGCGGTTGAAACCACTGTTGTCACTGAAATCGGCTCCATTGCCCGTGCGGTTGTATTGGCGGTTGTTGTAGCCGTTACCAGGATTGGTGGGATTGGCAACCTGCGGGCCAGGCTGGGCGCCACCGACAGAGGCACGAACAGCCGGGTTGTAGAGGACAGTGCCCGTGCCGCGCTGCCAGTCATCGATCAGGCACTTGCCAATCTCCCAGACGGCCTTCTCAATTCCCTCGGGTGTGCCTTGTACTTCGACAATGCGCTCAGTGGACTGAGGAAGCATTTCCTTCTGAGCGACCATGCGCACACCGGAAGCGTCCTGAATCTCCTTGATCTTGCCACCCTGTCGCCCAATGATGGTGCCCATTTGGTTGTGAGAAATGAGCAGGCGCACAGCTTGAGGATAGTTAGCATTGCAAGTCAATTGGCGCCGGGTACTACCCATGAATCCGGGGAAACACAAATATGTAGGGAGGGTACTGCGCCCAGGGAAGTGCACCGGGTAAGGTGTGGGGTAATGAACAATATAGGGTACTGGCCAAAGTTCCGAACGATAGCCTGCGAAAAGTCCAGGGTGGATTGATGGGTGGAATTGTTGTCTGGGAGGGGCTGCCTTCTTGGAACGGGGGTTCTTGGGATCATGAGAAGACTTACGGTGAGTTCCGTTGTTGGAGACAACGCCACCCATGCCCATCTGAGGTGCGCCCTCAAGGAGACCCTTTGCGACAATCGCATAGGCACGAGCAGTACCTTGGAGGGGGCCAGTCACGGTGAGGACACGGTCGTGAACACCGGGGACAACCTTGCTCACTCCCGCCTTGACGCCAGTTTCATCACGCAGATCGGCGACATTCTTGCCAGCTTTGCCGATGATGACACCAGCTTCCTTGGAGGAGACAATAGCACGCAGGGTCAGCATGGATTGAGCGTACTCTTCCTCAGTCTTGGGAGTGATATCCATAGGCTCCTGCTCGCCAGTCCCGGCGTAGGCGTCGTTCATGGGCTCGTCAACCGCAATGGGGGCTTGGTGAACTTCGGTGGCCTCCATTGTGACTAGGTATCAACTTTTCGGGAAATTTTGGGAAATTGAAAGGGTTGTTGTGATTCAAAGACTGCTTGTGCTCAGAGGTGGGACAAGAAGGTGTGAGTGGTTGACGGTACGGTCGCGACGAGATGGACGGGAGTTTCTCTAGACAGCAACAAGATCAGCTCACATGCTTAGTATTCTCGCCACGTCCTGCGCGATGCAGTGGATGACCTGGCGACCAACATGCACAATGGATGCACGAAATTGTCTTTGTCGCGAGCTGTAAGACCAGTATTCGATGGATGATTACTTACTCAAGAGGGTCTGGTGAAAGTGGAGAAATCGACGTGGGTGAAGAAGAGGGGAACGTGACGAGGGGTCACGCGGAAAGAAGGGTTGTGGGAAAGCGAGAGGGAGAGAGGTGAAGTGAGAAGCGAGAAGCGAGTAGAGGGGGGAACGGAAACGGAAACGGAACGAGGAGATGGAGAGGATGGCGAGGCGAGAGTAGGTGAAGCGAGGTAAGGTGTGAGGAGGGTAAAAGGTGGACGGAGATGCTGTGGAAGAGTGGGAGGGTGGAAGCGGGAATTGCTGGTGACTGAGGCGGAGAGCCGCCAGTTGACGGGCCCGCTTTGGTGCTCTTTGCTGTGCAGCCGGCCTGCCAATATATGAGCGCGAGTTGCTTGACTACTGAAGTTCATGTATGTTTATGTACGTTGTTGTGTCAATCACGATTCGAAACTGATCGAAGTCGGGGGAAGGAAGGAAGGAAGGAAGAAGTCGACTGGGTGAAATTCGTCTTTATATATCGATCGGATTTGACAGTATGTTCCGGAATCGACGGCGCTTGAGTCCATCTATAAGTTCATCTTGGATGTCTTGACTAACTTTCCTGGTTAGAACAGTCCAGCTATTTCCGAGGCACCGACTGATCATACCTCTGAGTAATATCCATACTAAGGCAGCGATCGAAGTCAATACGATATGTCCAAATTATTTACGCTTCAGGACAGTCTGTAAGTGAAGTCCATCTTGGATATCTTGACAAACATTCCTGGTTAGAATAGTCCGTCTTTTTCCAAGACATAGACTAATGATGCCTCTGAGTAATATTTGCACCAAGGAATCGATCGACTTTGATAGTACATTCCGTAATTTTTCGCGCTTTGGGACCATCAATAAGTGAAGTCCATCTTGGATACCTTGACCAACTTTCGTGGTCAGAATAGTCCGGTTATTCTAAGGCACCAACACACTATGTCTCTAAGTATAATCTATCTTACGGCATCGATCGACTTCAGTAGTACCTGTTTGCTAAAAGTTTTGGCCCCTGAGACTGCACATAAGCTTAAAGCGAGCTTGGATATCTTGAGCGCCTGCCGCCTGGCATGAATAGATTCATGGTCAGAAGTGTCTAGCAATTCCCAAGGCACTATTCAATGTTGCGAACATACGAGGAACATGGAGAACCATCAAGATCGAGGAACAGAATGGTGGGAAACCTGGCTGTCGAGTTGGCTATGGACGCGCTATGAGGCAAATATCGTGAGCTTCGGTTGAAGACAACTGGAACGCGTCTACGCCCAAGCCATCTTCTGCCGGCTCTCTCTCTTCTTCCTTGCTTTCTCTCTCTGGGTTTTGATGCATTTCTTGCAATGCACAAGTTTGTCTGATCTTACTGGTACGCATCTTCATGGATATACAAGGTTGACAAACTTGAATGGTCTGAACAGTCCGGCTATTTTCAACCCACCAGCTCACTATATCTCCAAGTAAAATCTACACCAACGCATCGATCATGTTCGATAGTACGTTCATGAATTATTCACATCTTGAGCCAATGTAGAAGTTGTCTTGGATATCTCGGCATACTTTCATGGTTAGAACCGCCCGACGATTTCCCAGGTACCTATTCACTTTATTCTCAAAAGAGATCTGTTCTCAGGAACCCGACCAAGCGGTCTACGAGGAGCTTTGAGAAGAGCAACTAGAGACTTTTTACTGATTCCTCAAATCTTCGAAGTGATTCGACATCAGACGGGATCCAGTGAATTGTGCGTATAGTGCGACAAGCAGTAAATGCTTGCACAGTTGGAGATTGTGAACTCCGGGCAATTGCTTAATTCATCAATCCTTCTTGCCCCTTCCACTTGACGAGAGTTACTATCGTTATACCTTACCATCAATATCTTGAATTGTGGCATCCACGATAAAGCGGTCTCCAGACAATCAGCTCTACTCACAAACGTTGTGGATCCAGTCAGACAATGGCGCCCCTCGAATTCAATCAAGTCCATGTGTTACTCAATGCCAAGAATAAGAATATGTAATTGTTCCATGACATATCTAAGGATGACCTATCGTCTAAAGGCAGATGAACCAGTAATGGGCTCGAGAGAAGATGAGAAGCGAGGGAAATAGGAAGCGAGGAAAAATAAGAAGCATGAGAAAATAAGAAGTAAGGGAAAAACAAGATGAAGTGTAGGTAAGGAAAGGTGAAGTTCTCCAGACAGCAGAGAGGAGAAGCCTGTAGTCTGATCACCTGAACTGATCCTGGACCTGCTTCCTACGAAGGCGTTTACTCTACAGTTCTGCATCAGCGAACTTCAATGGAGTACAAATATCAGCATAAATAGCATCCGTAGCGCATAGCAGATTCCCATATTGGAGATAATGAAGTGCTCCAACGACGACCGCGTATCGTGGAGCGAACCAAGGTTTCCACGATTTACCTAGGCTGGCATGTCAACTGGTGATCTTGTCTTTCGGGAGGAGCTGGACTAAGTTAAATATAAGTCTCCATGGCCGTTTGCTGGAGAAATTCACAACGGGCAAATACAATCGACACTCCACTGGAAAATGTTGTCGGTATCTTTCTGAGGATTTTTTATCTTACGTCTCATGCTTTATCTATGTCTCTGGCTGTGGTCCAGCGATTACTCAGTTCTTCTGTAGTCCGAACTGCATCTTTTCCACGTCTCATGAGTGAAATAACGTCAATCGAGGCAAGTCCCTGTAGGTTCAGTTCAAACTCTCTAACTCGTCGCAGTGGCCAAAGCAGGCCTCATGAATGATCACGTCCCATTGAGATATATACAAGGGGACAGCTACATACTCAACTGCTCCGTCGCCGTTGACCCAAGCCTGGCAGAGTAATATGAATAATGGAGCGAGCTGACCTACTGGTCCGCGATAAACACGACCTTCTGCACCTTCATGGCATTGAAGATCTCATAAGCTTCCACTGCCTGCGACAGAGGCATAACATTCTCTGTCATGAATCTGTAACCATCATTAGTTCTGCAACAGCCAAGCAAGAATGGGCGAGTAGAGTACGACGGAGTCCTCAAGAGGAGGACGTGGTGGGTATGTAGAGTCTCAACAATTTCTGGACATGGTTGCCACTCACCCAAGTTTATGCTGATTCTTTTTCAAAACTTCCAAGGCCTTGTCAGAGACAGAGCGAACGGGACAGCGGCCCATCTGCACTGTCAGGTTTTTATCGTAGGCATCGGCACCATTCCAAGGGATCTGCAAGGCATGAGCTATTTAGTCATCATGACCATGAAAGGGCTGGAATTCTCTTCATCGGAAGCCCTCAATTAGCTCTCACCTCGGCATTGTGCACTCCAACACTACTGATCACACCCCAAGGCCGCACAAGGTCGTAGGCCGTGCGAAGGGCAGGACTCAATCCGACGACTTCAATAACAGCATCGGCACCACGACCATTGGTCAGTTCCTGCACTCGCTTATCCAGCCCAGCTCGATCAGTCATGAAATTCCACGGCTCAGCACCGAGCGACTTGGCCAACTCCAGTCTGGAAGGCACAGAGTCAACGGCCAACAAGTGCTTGGGCTTGTACTCGAGCGCATTGATCAGTCCGCAAAGTCCAACGGGCCCACAGCCGATAAGAACCACAGTCTGCTCTGCAATCTGTTCGGGCGTGCTGTTCTTGAATGCATTGTATGCTGCAAAGTAGCCCGTGGGGAAGATATCTGCCATCAGAACAAGGTACTTCTCGTCCACTCCTTCAGGAGCCTTGATCACGGTACCCTCAGCGTTAGGCACCCGAACCTAGAACACCGTACAGTCAGCCCAATCCTCCTCGGCTCATGGAGCCTCTGAGCTCTCATTGACATACATATTCAGCTTGGCTACCGTCCAATTTCTCGCATCCAAAGAGGGTGCTCTTCTCACAGCGGGAGGAGTAACTCTGCTTACAGTAGAAGCATTTGCCACTGCCAGAGAACGAGTTAGGAATGCATTTGAAAGAGGTGCACGATACGAATACTTTCAGCAGTACAGTATATACGTACCAAGAAGTCGTGAAGGCGCTCACAACACGGTCCCCCTTCTTCAAGGTCCTCACTGCAGAGCCAATCTCAACGACCTCTCCCATGAACTCATGGCCCATAATAGGCCCTTCTGGACTGGGCTCAATGCCACGATAGGTATGCAGGTCACTAACTCGCTCTTGTCAGCCATATCATATCATCCATGTCATATAGGACTATAACAATAATCTCCCATCACATCCGTTCTCAGTACTCTTCTGCAGGACTTACCTCCCACACAGCGCGGTATAACCCACCTTGACAACAACATCTTCGGGATCCTGAACGTGAGGAATTGGGCGCTGCTCGACGGCAACCTTGTAAGGTGCCTTAAAAACCACCGCTTGCATAGTACTGGGATTGGCCATGACTGGTCTCTCTAATTGAGCTGTGCAAGAGCGGGATTACAATTAAAGTTCGAGCGTCGTCTAGGTGGGAATTTGGGGGTTGTGCGGCATCGGCAGAGGCATTGTAGTGGGTCCGAGCCTCTGAGGGAACCTTGCATGTCATTCAGCCCTCAAAGACACAGCTCTATTGATGAGCCACCAGCAGTTCATGATCACCATGTAAAGGAAAGAGGGTTTAAGTGAATTTGGGCATGGTCTGTCCAGGCAGAATTGGGTTGAAATGGATGATACTTTTTGAACGATGTGGTCGTGAGTGATCTGGCACATCTAACGAGCACAGACGTTATTAGGTGGTTCACGGGTAAAGATATACTCGGCCTTTTAATCGACTTTCTCCAGCTGACACCCGCTTTGTTTCTACGTTCTCGCACATTGAAGAAATGCGAGATCCGCGATCAGCTACATTATGATACTGGCGGATGGGTAAACCCCTACCGCTCCAAGCGAAAGAATCCGTGAGAATATGAAGCAAAGGCCCGCATTATGGAAGCTGCTCGCTTCATCATCGCAAGAGCAGTATATTGAGCTCTGGGATGCGCACTTCTAGTCACCATAGGGGCACAAGTAAAAATAACGCATGACCACAGCGCCAAAGTATGTTCGGAGAAGAAGCATGTAGCAATGAGACACAGACTTGCAGTGCAAGGCCAACCAGAGGTGGAATGACCGATGGAAAACAAGCATGGAATGACAATCACGGTTATGACAGGATGTAAATTCGACCAGAAATGAGCCCGCATTTCCCCGACGGAACACACCACAGTCTGGGCATGACAACCACGAGAAAGTTCAATTAGACATCAGTCTGTGAATGAGCACCTAGGTCACCTGGCATAGCAGTTCTTCCTCAAGAATGAATTTGCCCTCCTTGTACTTCTCGCTACCTTCGTAGGCCTTGTCATATTTCCAACCCACGGTCTCCTTGCATTGACGGCATGAAATATCACGGACAATGTGACGGCCGGTTGTCATGCTTCGCTCAACTGGATCGGACTGGGTGATGTTGACGACGCTGTTGAAGAGGTATGCTTTGCCATGCTGACCACGAAAGCTCTATGACAACGGAATCAACTTGTCAGTTTGTCCAAAAGCAAGAGGGACTCTGTAGCCCAAAGATCAAGAGCTTGATGAAGCTATGCTCACCCGGCTGATGATATCATTGTAGTCTGCCAGGTGGGTCTGGCATGATTTGCAGCCGAATATCTTGTTAGAAGTCAAATAGACGTTGTAGGTTAGGCCCATTGTGACGATCTCAGAAATGTTCTCTTAGGAAAAATGAGTCGCGTCGCAGCTCCGACGAGGAAGTCTCAAAGGTGATAGCGAGTCTAAAGGAAGTGGATGCCGTCAGAACCTGAGAACGCCAGGTGACACGTTGGCTCAAAGAACCAGTGCGAGGAGCGACCTCAGGATCAGTGTGCTCAAGAGTTCAGAGAGACTGTCAACTTCCCGGCCTTCCTTATTGTGATGCCGCGAAACCCGATATATAGCAACGAGTCGTAGACTCTTTCGGTGGTCGATTTGCAGGAATCAGCCCAGTACGGTCCCAGTACGGTCGGCAAACTTGCCGATGTTTGCTCTAGAGGTGATTTGATGCCCTCACAAACGGTCCTATAGCTTCAAAGTTTTTTCAAGTTCCTCAACTTGTGCATGAGCTGGAGGACCAGAGCTGACGACCAAAGAGGTTTGACGAGAATCCCCGCACGATAAGGCCGGTTGGAGAGACTCGGAACCGAAAAGCGGAAGGCGCAGGAGTGAAGAAAATGGGTGTCTCCTGAACTCGCCACAGGGTCCTCGAAACACGCCTTCTGAGAGTAAACCGAAGAAGGCTCTTAGAATCACCTAAAGGCTGGCAAGTTGCGACACGATAGTAACGGAGGGCAAGAGTTCCAAAGAAAGTCAAGGTATTTCTGGGTGCCTTAGGCTGGAGTCTGGACACCCCGCATTGGACCTGATCAGCTGCGGAGCCGTTGATGACATACCATGGCAGCGGCCTCCGGCGCCGAACTGAATCATTAATGGGTACGTGAATGGAACTGATTTTGAAAGTACTGAAATCCAGGCACTGCAACTGCTTTTCGCCTTGTTATAAGGTGCTTGAGTTGGGTGTCCATGTTACAGAACAGCGAAAGAGGTTACTGAACTTCAGGTAGAGTTCTACCTCTTGCGGCTCATCAGGCGATCTCGGCCCAATCGAGCCACAGCCTCACCCGAACCGAATCCGACATATCCAGTGAATTGCATGCTTTCGTGCACATGGCTGGAGAAGGCCAAAATTTGATGGTAAAAGGGACCAAAAAACGAGTCTATGCATATTCAGATGCTTCCATTAGAATCCTGTACAGAGAAAGAACACGAATATAACGCCAGTAAACATGCTTCAGCATGCTGGTTGTCCGAACTGTACACATGAACTTGGATGAAAAGCTGCGCTGCCTCGAAACCCCCACAGGACTGTTCACCTCGATGTTTTCAGAGCTATTCATAGTCCCTCAGATAGCGACCGGGTAACTCGACATCCCACATGGGGCGCTCAATAATAGCCACTTCCAGGTTGTCGCCGAGACTATGGCCCTCTTCGCCATCGTCGTTCAAGCCTCCTCCGAGAGGTACCACACCGAGAATGTCTCGGTACTTGTATGTGTGCCACCAGCGGCGCGCGGGCTGCGAAACAGCGCCACTGGCTGACGCGACGGACTTGGTCGAGGTATTGATGGTGCCATTGAGACCAAGTGACTTGCCCTTCTTCTGAGGAGTATTGAGCTCGGGAGCGGGAACATCCTCACGGCGCAGACGAGCAAGAGCGGATTCATTGGAAGCAGCAAAATTCTCGTCATACTCAAACGCCTCATCATCTTCAACGTTGCGCGTGCGTTCTTGATCCAGTGAGATCCACTCGCTCTGGGACTCGTCGTTACCAACGATCTTGCGCACCTTAGTCCCCACGTGAACGTCCATCTGGTTTCGTGCGATTTTGTCACCAGCGCCACTGTTGGGCTTCTTTCGTTCATTTTCGTCATCGTCAAAGGGGTCACGCTTGCGCTTTGAGGCCTTGACGAGCTGTTGAGAGGGCTCCTCGTCCTTGCCCTTGAACTCCTCGGGGGAGGGGAAATCTTGTTGCATGTCGAACATCCACAGCCAGGAAGGTCCATAGAGCCAGACCCGCTCACGGCCTTCAAAGAGATCCCACAGGCAACCCATGGCGCGGTCCTTGACACCCCTGAACTCTGCTGGGAGGTAGGCCTTGGGATTGCGTCGAGACCAGTCGGACAATTTGCCACTACGTGCCTCGAACTCGATCAATTGATGTTCGCTTGTAACAACCAGCAATCTGTCCTCTGCAGTCGCGCGCGCTGCTTGGCCATTGCCGTTGGTCAGCGACTTGGCGAGAGGCCGTTGGGGTCTGAAGGAAAGCAAGGTGATGCCGGCCTTCATTCGAGGAATAGGAGACTCTGAGGCTGCAGGCTGCCACCTCTCCAAATCGAAGATAACATCCTCATCCTCGTCCTCATCATCCGAAGAATCGGCGTCTTGCTTGGAGTGCACTTGAGCATATGCTGGGCCCTCCTTGTTGGAGATCTCCTCCAGAGTCCAGGTATCAATACATCCAGAGATGTCAGCGACAGCCAGTATTTTGCTGTCGTCGGAGAAGACGGAGGATCGAACCGTCCGCTCATATTCGCCCAAGGTTCCGTGAGACGCCTTCTCGTGGCGAGAATGACGCTTGACACGTTTGAGAAGAGCGAGCTGGGGCATGACAACTGGCTTTTCTGAGGTCGATGAACCAGACTGGATGCGAGCCACGTAGATACCGCTGTCGGGGCGAACGATACAGAGCCAACGGTTGTCAGGCGAAATTGTCACAAGACGAGCGCCATCTGCAGAAAAGGCTTTGGGGGTTTCGACTTTCTTGATCAATAGAGCCTTCTCATCACCCTTCCGTTTGCGAACAGCGAAGAGTTTCACGTCGGAAACAGTTGCAACAGTAAGAAGCTTGCCATCTGATGACAGCATGGCAGACGTGATATTTTCTTCGCCCTATACATGAAAACAGAAATCCATGAGTGTTTGCTCTGCGCCATGGAATCGTGTTTTGGAATATTGCTCACCTGAATCAAGACTTTCGCAACCAGTCTGTGCCTCTGGCCATCGATGTTCTCGTTCAAAGAAGCGGGACCTCGAGAGACCCGCCAGAGACTGACTTCACGGTCCCAGAAGCTCATCACCAGGCGTGGAGATGGTGCTGAAGATAGTTGAGGGATTTGTGGTAGGCTGGACAGCTTTCGATGATGTTCCTTGCCAAATTCGCGCAGAGGAAGGACGACGGGTGTGGCATCGGGACCTGCGAGTATTGCGTTAGCCCAGTGTGCCCTTCCTGATAAGCTAAGCATTGTGCTCATGTACCTCCTGAAACAGCGATACTAATTTCCTTGGTTTCGTAGACGGCGAAGGTTTTCACATCATGCGTATGGTATCGACGGTGCATGACCTCTGCCCATCGGCTCTTCTTGTCACCCTTCTCAACATCTTTCTTGCGGTATACCACGGTCCTCTGGTCTGCGCCACCACTGATAACAGTGTCACCATTCACGCTCACAGCAACGTCAAGAACATCGGCCAGATGGCCCTGTATCCGTTGAATGAGGGAATAGTTCTTCGCGTCCCAGAACCGAATCTCGCCCGCCGAGTCACCAGAGATGATTGTCCCGTCTGGCAGGCACTTTACAGACCAAACCAGCAACTCCTTCGGTCCACCCGCAGGGCCTTTTCCGAGCGAGATTGTACGCAGTTGTTGACCGTTTCGGATGTCGAAAAGGCGAATGGAGCTGTCGGCGTAACCGGCGACAATCGTGTTCCGATTCTGGAAAGTGACACTGAGGACTCGGGCTCTTTTCGTAGAAGGACGCATCACTCGAAGAAACTTGAGGTCGTCGTCTGCTGTCGAGAGAATGACGATAGATCCGTCTGCACAGCCCGCGGCCAGATGCTGGCCAAGATACTCGCCCTCGGCGGGGGGAAGATATTTGCCATTAGCGCCCTTCTTGGTGGGCTGCCACTGCGGTTGAGCGGCCAGACACCAGATCTCACCATAGTTTCCGCTGGAATGGCGCAGAGGACGGCCTTGTTCCAAGTCCCACTCGGTAACGGCTGTGGAATAGCCAATGCTGAATAGGCGCAGCTTTCCCGGCAATTTAGAATTCATGGGGCCATCTTCTTGGGGGTCTTGGGTCCAAGCCAGTCCTTCAATGCTTCGGTCTTTCCCACCCCGCAGCACAGTCTCCTGGAACCAGGCTCCGCGCATAGGATTCCATAACTCGATGTCGCCGTTCGCACGACCGATCGCTAGTCGAAGAGTCGGTACGCCGCGTCCGGCAAGATCTGCGGAGGGAGGATGTGAGAATGCAAGCGAATTGATTGCCTGCGGATTATAAGATACGAATCGACAGCGGTGGATGTCCATGGTTGCCTCCAGGCGCTGGTATTGCAGCCTCTCGCGGTCGAACGGAAAAGTAGGCGGATTCGGGACTCGATGCGTGATCGTGAAGTGCAGAGGGCTTCCGTAATTCGATGTATTTCTGAAACGCGATGCGATCTAGTCTTTCACGCAGTCATGTCGAATTTTTTGCTTCGTTCGGGGGTCTGGATCGCCGTTAACAGTTACGGCTATATGCGCGCTCTTTTTTTTCTTCGCGATAAAATTTGGCGGGCCGGATTATCTCAGCGGAGAACATCTTCGCTCACGTGACGGTAGCTATCATCACCTATCATCAGCTCTGGATGCCTTAGCGGCAGGGCCTCCAACGCGCTGTCCGGCAACCTCAACAAGAGTAGGATCAATAATTGTTACGAGAATTATGTAGACCGAAGAATATGAACCATCTACATGTCACTCCGGGATTTTATTCCGTTGACGTGAGCCTCCAGCTTGCTTCGAGATCTCAAACCGAATTTGCAAAAGGATTTGCATATGTGTAGTGAAGCTGTTCTCTAAACTAGTCCGTTTGAATCCTTGCGAATACATCGTCTTTGAACGTATCGAGTCTCGAGGTCTTGGTAGGATCGAGGAAATCAGCTTCAAAAAGATGTCCTGGGTCAGTTCAAATTTCTTCAGTCGACAGACGCATCTTGTGCGACGAATGTAAATGATGGTCAACGGCAGTTCAAATATGCTTAGCAATACTTGGACCTGGTTTGGAGCCGTTTGAAGTTGGCACACTTCATGCAAACTCGTATTGAGCAAAGCAAGGACAACTCTCGAATGAAGCGCTCGTAGGTCTCTTCGAGCCTCGAAATGTGGCTTGCCTGAGTATTCAATATACTGTTTCTGTACGACATATTGAAGATCACCGTTCGTTGAAAAGGGCTACATGCGTAGATTAACCATCCACTGTACCACAAGAAGATCTATCGAATGTCCAATGAGCCGCTCGTTGGGCAGACATCATCGGGCACGAGGATCTCTCGTCGAATGGCCATTTGATGAAGAAATAGCACTGCCGACCGACTGTTGGCGGGATGCTGAGTGACTTTGCCTATCAACCATGTCAGCGTTGCGTTTCATATCAAGCGTCCGGCCACACGAACACTGCCACGTCAGGCAGCTTCCTTTCTCTGCCTTGCAAGATACTCTGTGAAATCATGTCTGTCGATTCGCCTCGAACCTGGATGTCCATCCGTTACATGTGCCATTGACCCATTGTGCGATGGATTCGATTGGCGGCCAGTGATTTCCTGGGCCACATACAGCATGACTTGCCGCTTCAAAAGTTCACTGGTCAGCCTCAGCGGGTCAGGGACAGCATCCAGCTGAAGAAGACGAGCGAGTAAGCCATGTCCAGCATCCCATTGGCCATCGAATGAGGCACGGTTGGATGTGGCGGGCGGGGGAATCTCTCGTACACGGCGGTCCATGCGAGAGCCAGCTCGGTGGCAGTAGAAAGCCAGGGAGTTGGGCTTAGATGGAGTTGACGGACTCAGGTGATTCAGAGGAGCAAGCACCTCGTCAGATCTGTGGTATGGTCCAGCAGTCTGTCGGATGCTTCTCCAACCCGCTCGAGCGGGCCGTGTCGGGAGCTGGTGCCAAGTTGCTCAGACTGATCAAGGATTCAGAAGCGGGATGTTCAGAAGGAAGAGTGCTGAGTGCACTTGCCTATTTGAATATAATTATGTCGAAGACAGGAATAATAATAACAATAGTGATAGTGGTCGGAGTTTTCCCTCTAAGCAGGTACTGTTGCGCCGCGAGTGTGGCTTTTCACGTGTCTGCTCACATGTACTTGTGGCTCATGTAAATCGTGACAAGGCGCGTGTGAAACCCCAACCTGGAAAAACCTTGAAACTCAATCTCTTCGGGACAGAGAGAACAAAGTTTCTTTGCCCTGATCTGTGATGTGTAGACTGGAAACATTTGCTCCACCTCCTAAGATCAACCAGTTGGGCCGCAAATTTGCAGGATCTAGCCCGTCCCCTTTCCCCGGGTCTTAAGGAGCTACAAAGTTCGATAGCATATGTCCAGCCTACATTTCGCGTCATTTGCCGAAGCGATGAGAATCATCTCGGAAAAACTTGGGCCAGTTTCGGTTGAGACCTGCATTCAAGAGAAAATGGTTCCAATAGCAACCACGGGCCCGTTGAAAACTTACACCCTCGGTCGACGGTCAGATCCATGGGAGACTGCTTATCCCGTAGGACAGCCTACGCGATGCTGGAGAATCTCCCAAAATCGCGGTCGGGGATTTTAGTTTCAGTATGACTGGATCATTAGTGTCTCGTGTTCAATCCAGTGAATTCAGTCTGTGTGGTCCCAAAACAGTAGGATGATTTTGGTCAGCTTTGCCTCTTGTCGTCTACTTCAAGTTACCCCCAGAGGCGGTGCTCATCAGCGCGGGCTTCCAAATCCCACCTTCTGCTCCGCCTAGTCACTTTCCCGCCACTAGGTAGGTGGAAGCGGTTCCTGAAGTTATTTGTCTCGGTGAGCTGGAGGTGAGCTTTAACAGTCTCTAACCTCACAGTTGATACTCGTATCGAAGCTCTTTGTAAGGGCTCAATAATGAGGTATTCGAATTTGTACCGATCGTCTTCGTTTTGACTCGGACACTGCGATCAAGCCAAATTGTGGGACGCGACCACAGTGATGACGGCATTGTTGACTGCCTCGATCGTGGCCAGCGGTCGCAGATTTCTTTTCTTTCACGTTTTTTTCTTGAACATTCCCGCTAGGGGTGGTCCTGTAATAAGAGAAGAGAAGATTCTGGATTCCATGAGCAGCATCACATCGTCGATGCTAGGGGCTTGAAGAGGTCTACCTAAGTGGAGTATTTAACTATTTATGCATCACTACTCATTACACTATATGACTACATTACTACACTACTACAGTAACTTCCAATCAAAACTGGCAATGACAGGTGATGAGTTCCAAATTCTTAGGGTGGTAAACCACCAACGCTCAAAATACAGACCACATTCCGTAAGTGCATTCAGATCTGCAGCTCACTTTGTTGGGAAGTTATACTTCACTCGAGTACTTGACGTGGCATTTTTCCAACCTCGGACACTCTCTGCTCCAGAGTCTAGAGTCCTGACTCCAGACTCCAGAGTCCGGACAGCTGAGAAGGTACGGTAGTTTCATGGTAGACACAATAATCACGTGATAGTTCTATGGAATTGTGCAGGATGCGTGTCCATGCACTAATGTGGAGTAGCGTTCTTGTGAGCCCCATAGATGAGCGGGTAGTCCCCACTTCCGTCGCACCCCTAAACCTAATCCAGTAAAGCTGTGTAATCTAAGTGCCAGCACGTCCTGTCAACCTGTCGTATAACGATCAGCAGAGCGTTCAAAGCCATTCATTTGCAAATTCATCTTAGCAGCTGCTTATATCTCTCCAAGCATGCTTGCTTTTCAGACTTTGTGTAAGCAATAGGACATCACTGGGCAAGAAGCTGCAAGACTCGGAAGTGCGAGCCATCGTTCGTCACATCGAAAGTGTGTCGAGGAAAGCCAACCGAGAAATCCAACGCCGATGCCACGGTTCTGTCTCCGTCAGCCCCATTCCGATTGTACCCAATCGTAAGGTCATCATGTTCTCTACTGACGAGATCACGTTGCTAGCTCGCAACCACTTTAATTCATAGTGGAGACTGGCGACGACACCGGCGCGCACACTGGGTTTTTGGTGGCCTGTTCACGTGGCATTTCACAGACCTGTGAATCAAGATAAGAAGCGTTGGGTCTGGAGTACAACATCTTGCTGTCATGGTTTGGAGATGATTATCAGACTCAACAAGTCCGACTGGCGGCCATGTACAGTAGCTCCCACATCTTGCTCCCCGTCGTTCAGGCTGGTCCCGGCGAATATTGTTTGCCCGGCTGACGTGAAATTCACGAAGACGCTGAGGTGACGTTCACGACCGCAGAATATAGTTAGGCTTAAGGACGCTTCGGGAATGAAAATATTTGACGTGGTGGGGTGGAAAGTGACTCCACTGCTGCGAGAAATTCACTTCGTGATAGAGACGATACACAACGTACACCCGATGGAACATGTAGGTTTTTTATAAAGAGGGGCTGTTCCTCCTTGGCAATGGAACACTGGAAAAATGAAAACTCTTTTTCACCGGTCATTCATATGACCACGAGTGGAATGGGTATTTTACAATGAGAGCGGAATGAGAAATCAGGTGCGTAGGATAAAGGCCATTTTGAGCGACCGCTAGTATTGAACAGGAATCTTTAAATTTCTAGAGAATCAAGTCAATGATTGGATGAAGAACCTTGTGCTTGATTATCGAAAAGGGTTCCAGAACTATGGTGAATGGTCAATGATCACTGCATGTAGTGCATGGATTGCTTCCGGTGACTCGCGACTTCGAAATTTCTGGAGATGGCCGATGGCACTTGCTGTATTTCAAGCGGGTTGAAAAAGTATGAACCAACAGCAGTATTGGAACCTTTGTCCATGTCGACTCTCGACTTCGAGTCTCACTCTCACCTAAGTATCGCCGGTTTGGCCTGTCATAAATTGGTAACAGGTCTACCTATAGAACGAAAGTACGAATCCACCCACTGCACGAGCAATGTGGATCGCCGAATACAGTGGGCTTTACAAACATACGAGATGGCTCGATCGGGTAATTTACTGTACCATGAGGAGCAAAACTTTGTTACTTTGGGGTGCCACTACGCCGAGCGACTAGCTTCAACAAATCTTTTCCAAAAAGTCAACCATGTTGCTGGCCAGGGAAGACTACCTGCTTCCATTGTCACGTGCATAGCAGCGTACTAGCGACTACATACTATCTACCAACCAAGAGATGGAATCATCTTGTATTGTGTCTCGAGTACTGCTTTGAAGGCTCACTTGGATATGTCTGTATGCTCCGTGACTCTCATGAATCCCTGCTTTTCTTGATACCCCGGGTCTTTGGTGCTTACTGTGTACACTGTACAAGTGTACAGTGTACGCAGGAAGAAAAACGGATATTGCCCTATCACTGGAGTAACATTCACGTGATATCCATTCACATACTGATATAGTAGACCTCGCCAATGAACTGAAACCTGAGCGCACTGTCTCGTAGATGTGTAATCTCCAACAACAATTACAACAGGAGAAGACTACGACTCAATTCAAAGTCTCCATCCCACAAGAGCCGTCAGAAAACAGCTCCTCACCTTTCAAGGACATGTGAATGTGAAACGCCGATACCTTATGAAGATGCGGTACTTGTCGACTAGGAGGTAGCCATGCCAAACTAACTTGATATTCAGTGTCTTTTTCACTATTTATCGCTGAAGGTGCGTCTCTCAGCTTTTATGTGGGAATCTATGACAGGGATTCGAAGACTTTGGAAAGACATTCACCACCCCCTGAGCAGAGAGGAGGATAGGTTACTGGATAGTGACATCGATACATAGTGATACATATTTTGCAAAATACAGGGAACTAGGCATGTCTTCTATCAAGATTCCTGCTTACTCGGGAGCACCCTTACATAGGAGGCAGCTGAGTCGTACAGACGCGGTCCTGTGATGTTGAGATGATCCAGACATCACTGGATGCTTGATCTGTCTTACTCTTCCGTCTCTCGAGGAGGATGCACAAAGCAGCAATGCTTACGTGTTTGCGGAGATCGGCTTAGTGACAAGGTACTGTCTAGTAGGTCATCACCTATCTGCTGTGTAAGACTGACACGTACTGTACCGAGCTTGGTGTTGGTTGAATGGCAAACTGAAGCTCAGTTACGGGGTTCAAGGCATGCAACACTGTTGAGCGTTGACTGTACTGTTCATCAAGCACAGTGTCGAACCTATTACTTCTGTTTGCCAGGTGACGGGACATTGAAATAACCTGTGCCAGTTCGATTGGTGAAACCTGTCTTACCGCCTGCACCGACGTCTGGAAAGGACGGGCTGAATGGGATCGGGAAAGCATGGCGTTAAGGCGCCAGTTAAAGTAGAGCCCCTAGCTGGCGGCAATAGTGCTTTGCTTTTCTCATTGATGGTCTCCGGTGCTCAGTCAGCCGTGTTGTAGTGTTGATCACTATAAAGTGTCTGAAGTGACATGTAGAAACTGTGATACCTCAAAAGAAGGTCAATGACGGCGAGACTTCCTAATCAATGCCTTTCATGGCCGAGGAACTTTCGGGAACATGAGGAAACATAGTTGGATGGATGTACATATCTGAGCTTGGTTCCTCGTTATGCAAACCTTATCTCGGAATCGAGGAGTCTCGGGTAAACATACGCGGCAAATCGGAGCCCGGCGAGGCCCAGCGAGGCAAGGTCTAGCATGTCGCTCTCCAGGCTACATGTTGAGGGATAGACACATAAGGGCGCTGCATGAGGCGCGAGGTCTCAGAAACTTAAATGAGAGTCCAGCCTAGAACCCACTTGACACAAAGAGAGTGTC